AGGATGGGGAAAGAGGGGGAAGGAAGAGCAGGGGAGAAGTATGCACGTGTTAGCGCACGACGGGGGGTGAGAAAGCTGGTTTACATACTATCTTTCGGGAACTGTGTAGAGAGTAGCGTGGTAGACTGGGCAGCGGTTCTAGCATTTAGTCGTTTTGCGTTTAGATCGTTGGAGGGGGGAATAGCAGTGTTGACATTATAAGGGGAGTGCGTGGGTGGTTTGGTGTGGCGTGGTATGGTACGGAAGAAAAAAGAAGAGAAACAACACCCACTCTCCTCTTCTCTTCTCTTGCCTCCTCTTCTCTTCTCCGTTTTTTGACCGTGTTGTAGCGCGTCGTGTAATAGTGTCACGTGTCATCCTAGCCATGGTTTTATATGGCATGATAGTTTGCGGTCTTGTTTGTTCGTGTATAAGGGGTGGGAGTTGGGCTACGGTGGGAGGACGGGGTTGGTACTGCTGGTGCTTGTCGTCGTTTTCGTTGGTATGTTGGATTCTTTGGATTGCAGGTTGTTGTTTTGAGGTCGCTTTTCTCTTTGTTGCGATTTGCCTTGTCTGAGAAGAGAGGGAGAGAGAGTGTGTGTGTGATTGACAAGTTGTGACTTTGTAAATAGTAGGATATCTATTGCATGTAATACGTTCTTCGTTGGAATGTTGACCTGGTGCAGGGGTGGGTGGGGGGGTTGTTATTTGCCGATAGGTATGGTTCGAGGGTTGAGGAAATGCTGGTTTGGAATGTCTGGCTAGTAGGTCGTGCATATTGGGTGGTGTTGGAGATGAAATTAGCGAATTCATCAGCTATCCCAACTTTGATGAGATAGAGATAGATAGGGTCTGCGAGGTATGCCCTCATATTACTCAATCAATTGTCTCAGTTCACTTATTCACTGGTCTTCTGGTGTACCCATTCAAAGTCAAAGAAGATAGCTAAAATTGGACACGAAAGGAACGTTTATAGATGTAACTCGACGTTAAAAAACAGTTTAGAGTGAGCGGCCTTCGATGAGTGCGTAGTACTTGTTGTATCGAAAGTTGGCGGATGATGTGGAGAAGTATTGTCCAGGTTGTGCGAAGCTGGGAGTGGTAGAGGACATGGCGACGGCTATCAGTATGGTCTACTCCAGTTCGATGTCGGTGACGGTCCAGTCACCGATCTTGTCTCCGGGCTGTATATCGCTCGAGAGGTCTTTGATGGCTGCATGTTCGAGGAAATTCGGTATGTACGCTGTACAGACGTGCCAGTAAACGCCGTTTTTTGGCCGCAAGATAACATGAAGTGAGCAGCCTAATAGGACCCAAATCTCATCCCCTTCTTGAACTTCGCACCTCGGTATAAGACCAAAGAGCTGGTTCTCTGTCATGATTACCATTCTTCTTGACAAGCCCCCAACAATATCCTCTAGTGCGAGTCTAACCATGTCATCAGTGTCCGTGAGCAAGTCTGCAACACCAGTTGCTCTCCACCCGAGTTCACGATTTGCAGATCGTTCGTCTTGAGTAAGCTCAAAGAAGACGGACAACGCTGATACAACTGCATCGTAAGTAGGCCTCTCCTCCCAAGAAGATCTATGTGTGAGGATTTTATACAGCTCCTGGGACAGTGTTTTGATAATCAAACCCGAGGAGTCCAGAAGGTAGTTAGCAAATGGAGAGCTCCAGAATTGTATCGTTGACATGTCGTAGGCTGAAAGACCATTGGTCAAAGACTGCTGTACACTGTCCACTCGGAAACCCCGTGCTCTTAGTCGCATCTCTTGTGCGGATATCGAATGAGACGAGCATTGAGTGTCCATTGCTCCAATCTCGAGATCAAACAGGGACCTTGAATTCTCTTCCATGCCTAACCATTGCCGTGGAAGCCATGTTGGGATATCCCGAGGAGTGTCGTCCTGTCCCAGGAAACTTTCGTGCAGGAACCTCAGGTGCTGGTTCTGTCCCACATGATATGCAATTGCGCCAACCATAATTTCCGTCTCTGATTTGTGATAGTCCACGACCATGCCACCGTCCTCGTAGTCCCTCGCAAGATGCATGACAGCGTACACCCGATCTCGTCCGTCGGTCATATCTAGGCGTTTGCATCTGTCGATGATCTCAATAAGTGACCAGAACCTCGCTCCATCTACATATTCACCCATGTCATGCGCAGCAGGAGTGATATATATCTGCAGTGAACGCAACAGGTTCATCCAGTCATCTTTTTTGGACCAAAACAATACAGCATCACTTTGCAGACGACAAGCAACTTGGAATTTGACAAGCGAATCACCAGGAACTATGATATCAACGCAATGCAGCTCGATCCGACGTGCATTCAAAACCTCCTGTTGTATCCATGCCCGGTTCCAATATGGGTTCTCGAAGATTGGCACCACATGATCCCAGAGACTAGGATCAGAGCCTAGTCCTTCAACGTGATCGTCCGAGGCATTTCTGTAGTTCTGCAAAGCCGCGATACCTGCACTTGTCTTATCGACGGTTGGATCGTTGATCCAAATTCGTACGCAATCCGCTTGCTGGTACACTCGTCGCATCAGCTGGACTTGCTCGGCGCGCTCGTCGAGGTCGTCTTGGCTGATGCATATCGCATCGCACCATATTGATAGAGGACGATCAATGTATCGTAGTTGGTACAGGGCAGTCGCGAGATTGGCCGCGATTGGCAACACTCTACCTTTGGGACGTTAGTCTACTTGATAATCGATGCAGGTTGCTACTGCTTTACAAAGACTGGGTTAAGAATTGATCATAAAAATGCAAACTGCTGGTCTGACAACAAACGATGGGATAGATAGTGTTACGCACCTGAGATAAGTACTGTGTCAACTGGGGCTGGGTCGCCCCACATGTAGGACAGAGCTTCATAAAACACGGATTCCAGTTCGTTGTCCAAGACGAGTTTCGGTTCGCCGAAGAAGTCAAGAACACCGTCATTGCTCCATCGAAGGTCATGTTCAGAATATTGGTTACTGAAGGCTTCATCATCTAATGATATAACCCTGAAGTCGCCACAAAGCCGAGCAGACCGAGGACCTGGTCGAAGTTGAAGCACACGAATGCTTCTAGGTTCCAAAGGCGTGTATTCAAGTTTCTGGGTCTCGCTTGGGTATCGAGCATGATCCATGTTTTCGATATTCAGCGGAACTTTCAGCATTTGACTCGTTGGGTTATCTGTGTAAATGGTGGCGACCCGCTAGAACATCTACTGGATACCACCACAGTTTTGGACACAACCTCCGATGGAGGCTACTGAGTTTCCGTATCTGCCTTCGGATGTATGTCCAACAGATAATCTGCTATGGATTGGGAAAAAGTGGGCAAAACAGGGCTGTAGAGACAAACGTGCAAGCTTGCTCTCACTCATGTAGTGGAACTCATATCAGGGCGAGTGGCAGTGCAAAGCTGACACAACAACCCAGAAGTGGCTGGACATCCTCTAGCATCGCGATGAAAGACAAACATAACATAATAATATACAACCAACACAGCGCCAAATCAATAAAACAACGGAATTTTGCAAACCTCTAAAGGGTAGATGAAATCTGATAGCTTCTTCTAGGTTTATTACTTCGTTCTTAGATTGTTCGGACATAACGTTAGGTTAGTGATGTTTGATTAGACAGGGATCCCACTTCCGGTTTTCATCGCGACGCTAGAGACAGCTTCCTGCATGTCAGCACTATCCCTGTAGAACACTCTATCTGGAAGGGCTCCTTGCCATACGATTATAGAACATAAGAACATGATACATTAAGAGGCAAATAGTTGTGTATGATCAATTTCCGTGTGCAGTCAAGTGGGAGATGTAATGCCATAATCTACGTCATTCCAATTGAAAAAGACGGTCCGGCTTCAGCTAGTCAGGGTCGAAGTGAAACGAGTATTTTAGCACGTGGCTAACCTTGCGCTACTACATCGACTGTCACCTGTAGCTTAGTTTTAATCCCTACTAGCTAGAAACAAACTGACCCAGATTTATGGTAGCAGGGAAGCATTGATAACACCTTGAGGGAACTTTTCCATGCCTTTGTTAGGCGGCTCATGGCAGTTCGCAAATCATCGTCATCTGACTACGTCTTCCTAAGCATACCGACTGCAGACGATGTCGTCCCAGCAGGCATAATCTTGTCGTGCTGCTGCTGCTCTCAGGGGCAACACCGTTCTGCGGGTCTAGCCAACTATACACGTAGGAATCGCAGGGAGTGCTAGCACGCCTTACCGTCCACTTCCCGGAGCCTAAACATAGCCCTGTTCGCTCCGACTAATCCCTACTATCGTCTATGATGACTTTTCCTTTCCCTCTCTAGCCTTATTTCAGCCTCGGGTCTTGCTGATTCAACCTGTTCCCGCTTTCTTTGTTGATTCCCCTCAATTATTGGCCAACTACTACCAAGAACGGTTTGTGGTTTGAACTCACGGTGCAATACAATATCAAGTCTATACAACTATGTGTATGTATCAATTGCTCTTTATGAAACCCAGACATTGTGCGCAGTGGCATCCTTTGCTGCAAGTCAAGTATACTGTTGACCCTGCGTGGCAAAGTTGTGATCCGCTCCATGATCCACTTTGGCACAACACTCTGCTGCGACCGGTAATCATCTATCAGAGTATTGATCAGGTGAGATATTTCGGTATTTTCAATGCTCTTTGTAAAGAATAGCATCCAGATGTACGGTGAAAAACCTAAGCTTGGAGCTAAGTTTAACGTGCATCAAATTTCCGGACGGTATCAGCGCTACTCGAAGTACAGTATAGCGTGTAGCATGGGAATATGGAATGGGTAGGTGTCCCGTACCAGATACCGTTTTTGCCGTGTTTATCTTTGGTCTTTACAGTTGAGCCGACAACTACTACACGTCAGGGACTAGATGTATAACGAAATCTTCATTAGCGCAATTAATACGGTGGCATGGACCCTTTAGGCGGACAACGTTGGTGGATACAAAGTGGACCAACGATAAAACCACCATCACCGGCACGAGTAAAATGTGGAGATGACCTGATCTGGTACTCGGGACTATCCAGATTAGCCGACTAGTCGTACATCTAGTCTTGCTTGAAACTCGTTATATAGGTTGTAGATTTCCTCTATCTTCGACATTACCTTTCTCAACTCCTTCTGTTCTACACTACCAACCATCATGAAGAACCTCTTCCTCCTTCTCGCGCCTCTTCTTGTGGCTGCCTCCCCCGTAGAGCGCCGAGCCTCTACGGTAGAGAGCCTTGACACTCTCTACAAAGGCATCGGAAAAATCTACTTCGGTGCCGTCACGGAGCAGGCCAGGCTCGAATCCGGCGAGAATGCCAATATCATCCAATCCAGGTTCGGTCAGGTCACGCCCGAGTACTCGATGAAGTGGGACCAAACAGAGCCGACTCGCGGTCAGTTCACCTTTGCCACCTCCGACTACCTCGTCAACTGGGCCGTTCAGAACGGAAAGAGCGTCCGAGGCCATACGCTGGTGTGGCATGAGGCGCTTCCACAGTGGGTGAAAGACATTACAGACAAAGCAGTCATGCAGAGCGTGATCGAGACCCACATAAGCACAGTGGTAGGCCGATACAAGGGCCAGATACGTGCGTGGGATGTGGTCAACGAAATCTTCGACGGTGCTGCGATGCGCAAGTCGGTCTTCTACAACGTTCTTGGAGAAGACTTTGTCGGAATTGCATTCCGCGCTGCGCGCAAGGCAGACCCCTCGGCCAAGCTCTACATCAACGATTTCGATCTCGAGGATATGAGCTATGCGAAGCCGCCCGCGCTTGTGGCCAAAGTGAAGCAGTGGCTGTCGCAGCAGATCCCCATTGATGGAATTGGATCGCAGACGCATCTCCAAGCAGGTAATACCCACACTCAGCATCCCTTTCGATGCATAATATCATACTGACCTTGATTGTCACAGGCAAAACCGCCCCAATCGAGAGCGGACTGAGATATTTGACTACCGCAGGTGTTGCCGAAGTCGCAGTCACCGAGCTAGATATCGTCAAGGCCAACCCGCAGGAATACAGGGACGTTGTGCAAGCTTGCTACTACGTGCCCACATGTGTGGGCATTACTACCTGGGGCATTCGTGATACCGACTCGTATCACGCTGCTGACACGCCGCTGCTCTTTGCTGATAGCTGGGCCCCTAAGGATGCGTACTACGCGATCAGGGATTACTTGAGGACACTCCAGAAATAGATTTGGGGTGACTGGTAGCTGGGTAGAGGCTGTACATCCGCTGGAAGGAAGGAGAAGCGAGCGCAGCACGTCGATACTTGCTCGGTCAATTGCTGTCATAACCGGCAATGCTTGAGAGAACACCTCTAGTTCTAGATTAGCGATGTTCTGAAACAACAAAAACTTCTTCCTCGAGCGTAATTCCCATCTCAACTATTACCGTCTTCTCTTCGATCTTTGTAGTCTTCCCGTCTCCGATGTCGCACTAATCCACCTATTGCAGGGCAGTTTCACTTGCGATCTAGGTCCTTTCGTGTTGTAATCAGTCTGCTGACCAGAGCGACAGCCATCCGCCATCAGTAGTACCTGATCACTCTGGACGATCGGATATCAAGTCATCGTCCAAATCACAATCAACCGATGTTGCGGGACGGGACGTGATAAGTCCGAACTACCGAACTTCCTAATTAGGTTAAAAGTCTGTGGCACGCTAGCGGTAAGATCTATCATACCCCTGGAGTCTCGACAACAGGCATCGCCGCACTAAACAGACAAACGTCCCCACCCAAGAGTGAGTGGACGGCGAGCTGATGAAACACCTCAAGTGTGGTAGCTAGTGGTCTTGTTTCTCAAGATCTTCCCCCACTCCTTCTCTGGTCAACCAACTAGCCAAAAAGATTGCAGGGTCTTGTACTCCGAGCGTTTTCTTTGTTATGCCCACCCAAAGACAGCGGCCAATAACAACCTGACGGTGCTTGTGGCGCAGTCACTGTGCCACTGTGGCAAAAGGCGGGGCATAACAAAGAAAACACGATCGGAGTAGAGTGTCACGGTGTTGAGCATCGCATCAGTCCCGGATTCTTTCGTTGGCTTCGAAAATGTTGAGATAACCATTCGAAGTTATTCAGGTTCGTCCTCAGGCCTACCACCGGGTGTCGCGACGATTTTCCCAATCACGTGCAACAACATCTCTACTTGACGGTAAATCACAGAATTTAAGCTTTGTAGATGATGTACAGGTTATTATAATAAGGTATAAAGCATAGAAACAGCTACACAAAATGTGTTTGCTATAATTTTGCGCTGTTTTAGAATTCTGGTGTTCGTAGTATTGATTTTGCGCACGTGATTGGGAAAATCGTCGCGACACCCGGTGGTACGCGATGAGACGGTCCGTGAATGACAATGCGACGTAGTCTAGAGTGTCTCGGCACTCTTGGCGGAAATCCATCAATAGATTGAAGCAGTGGCATGAAGATACGCGTCCATACCTCCTGTATTCAAACTGCGGACCGATTGTTGTCTGGAGCCCTGTAATTACAGGCTCACCAGGACAAGGCGTTTCAACACTCGACATCGTGAAGATTGCAGGACAGAATAGATAACAGATGTTGAGGCTGGTCAGGTAGAGTTGAGTAAAGGCTGGTAATATCTATCGGTGCGCAGTAGCTTCTTTCGCAACACGAATATGGTAGAAAAGTCCTGGCTGAGCCGGGACTGTGTAAATGCTAATTTTCAGTATGTAGATGTACAATGAAGGCTAGTTTTGAAATGAAATGCTATTCATCCTGGAGATGCTCCTCATGACGCCAGCTCGGAGATACCAGACCACACGTAAGACCAGAGTGAACCCAGAATACTCTGGCTCTGCGCATGCGTATCTTGCCGCGCATCTTCGATCATCCCCGCCATCACCGTCTCAGCCCGGATATCAACATTCCATTCTAAAATATCTTTTTCCTCTTTCTCTAGTACCCTGTCACCCAAAGGAGAAAGCGCCACCGCCGCCTGGATGAGGCGTAAAGCTTTCGCGCCGTTGGCAGAGTCCTTCATTAGTCGAAGGCATTTAGCATGACGATACATCATCTTGGCTTGTTGCATGTTGTTTGGTGTCCAGGTAGCAGCAGCGTGTAGAGCGAACCGTGCACTCGTCATTCTGCATTTCTGCAGATGTTGAATCGCGATGTTACCACTGCTCTTTATGAAGGTTTGGTCACTCTCGTTTTCCATGTCCACTTGGATGAACTGCGCAGACAGGAGATTGAGCGTGAAGTATAGATCTGCTGTCGAGTTCACGAAGTCTTCCCCGCCGGTTTCTCTTAGCTTAACCCAGGAAGAACTGTGACGCATGCGCTCTAAAGTACGCATGGAATAGTTCCAAGACTCGGAAGCCATGTAGTAGTTGTTCTGCTGCCACTGACGCTTGCCGACATCTACACCGGTACGGATCTCTCCGAGTATCGCGTCAGGATCTGTCCATCGGGGTTTGGCGGTCTCTTCAATGACAGCTCTAGCGAGGATGGAGTCGACAGGGCCGCGGATACTGAGATTTGGGATACCGCGTACGAGGGTCGCAATTGGACGTAGAAGTCGCTCTTGGAACTTCGCAATGGATAGTGGTGCGTAAGTGTGATTAAAACCGATTTCAGCACGGATTGACCTATGCTCGTCTGCAGTCACGTTGACATCCATCATCGCACTCTCAATATCGAGCTTCTCGCAGAGAAATGGAAGGTCAGAGCACAGTACCATCAGTTTGTACTCGGAGGGATCGAAAGTAGTGCTTGAAAGCATAGGCTTAGTAAGAGTCAGGTGCATTGCATACTCCATGAACTGGCTCGTTTTGCGCTCATCGGATGTGACAACGGGGACTTCGTGGAGGAATAAACGTCTGATGTCCATGCCTCGACATGTGATGTGGACGAATTGGTTCCGTTTGGCCATATAGTCGGATGCTTCGCTGTGGACCTGCTTGCTGGTGCGTAGGAGGGCTGTCGCTGGGTACTTCAAAAACCGTCTGCTGAAAGTGCCATTGGAGTTTTGGTCTTGTTCGAGGTCCTCGTCCCAAGAGCATAGTAACAGATCGTACACGTTGTTACGAATCTCACCGGGGAGGTCCATAAACCGGAATGCTTGCGAAGATTGTTGAGCGGACATGTTGGGCAGTTGCGGATGGAAATTACGGCGTCGAAAACTGTCGATGATGTTGTAAGGTGGTTGCGGAGAGTTTTGTTGCGAAAGGGGTTGTCGCTATGGTAAGATTCTCAATGCTGTCAATAATCGAGTTCCGGGAATCAGAAAACTAGGAGGTAATCGCAGGGTCATATATCCTCAAGAAAACCACGCAATACGTTTCTCTTATGGCCTCACCGCTTGCCAGGTTCTGTCTTGTATTGTGACCTATCACCAATTGACATGCAGTCGTCGGCCTCGCGGATCCGTGTTGGCACCAGCGGAGATGCAAAAGGGGTGAAAATTCGAAAGGATCCATGCATGACGCAACGTCGGTGAGGCTGGATGCAGTGTTAGCGCTCGGACGCTACCGACTTCCTTTCTTTCCCGTCGGAAAAGGCGCCAACGTTGTTTTAGACATCTCGGGTTGCTAAAACCTCGAATTTTTATCTTAGTACAGGCAAGAGACTTTGTGTGTTGGCCTAGTGAAAGCAGCATTGGATTGGTGACAGAGGCGTTTGTGGGACCGTGAACCGTATGATTGTGGTGTTAGCAGGAAACTAGGATATGATTGGCCAGATCTCGGCTCGACTTTGATTGGCCTAACCAAGCGCACGATGCACGTGATGACGGCGCCATAGAAACCTAATTTCCGCTGACGCGCGACGCGCCCTCGCGTAAGAGTTGCTAGAGTTGAGAGTACGACTACAAGATATCTTTACCTCTTATTTCACCATAAAGTATCTACGCTCAAACGCTGCAATCGTCGTGACATACTATTGGTTCAATGCACTACTGCTGCGGTCGCTGCGATGCCTGCATTCTCCCTCTCCTATACGCTCGTCTACCTCCACGGACGATAAGCTTGTACATGGCGCTACTCTCTAAGCTGGTTATGCACCGACTACTGATATTATGCGAGGACCGCGCCGCAAACGTACCCCGCAAAAACCCGCGTCTTGGCATCGTTGTCATACAGTTCTTCTTCACGTTCGATGAACATCTTTCTAGAAGACACTACCTTCTAATTGCTCATCTCTTGCGCTTTCAAAGAAGATGGTTTTGGATATCTCTCCATCACTGGGTGTCCAAGATTTGTTGGCAGCTGGACGTTCCGCGGCTGATTTCGTTATGTGGCGTGGGCAGCCCAGTCTCTAGGTCCCCTAGGTCATGACGCCTCCATAGCTTATAACGCCTCAAAATCCTTTTGCATTAAATCCCTTGCAATCTGCGCCTCGGTATCGCGAACCCTTGCTTGTCCGTATAGTCGGGATGTATCGTGCGATATTTTCCTTTCGTTGGTTGAGTGACCTTGTTAAATATGGCTTTGGTTCCCGACTATGTCTTGCTGGGTAGCTAGCTCACAATCCTGATACTTATAAGAGAGGACAGGAAGGTGAATTATTGAATTCCTCAACGGATTTCACAAGATGCTCTCCTTTTCTGCATCAAACCTTTGTCACCTCCTGCTTCTGAGCCTCTACGGAGCTACAACAACCCTAGCCTATGATGCCGCGCCAACAGCAATCATCGATGCTGGTGTCTTGATAGGAAAGACCACCTCACTGCCCGTCGCATTAGGACCAGTGAACCAGTTCCTCGGTGTCCCATTTGCGCAGTCACCACCAGAGAGGTTTTCCGCACCACAAGCCCCAGCTCGGTTCCGCAAACCCATCAATGCTACAGCATGGAAACCAGCTTGTATCCAGCAATTTCGATGTAAGTCTAATCACGGGTATAGTCTTCGAACTGTACACTGACACCTTCAGATCCGTTAGCAAGTTCGCAGGTGACCCAGCAGATCTTCAACAATCCGCGACCAGTCGAATCGGAGGACTGCTTGTATCTCAACGTATATGCGCCGTCTACTCCAGCAGGCGGTGCCGGCAGAGCTGTCTTGTTTTTCATCTTCGGCGGCTCTCTCCAATTTGGAAACGGTGGTAAGTAGAGTTGTCTTGCCTCACCATATTTGAGATGAATCTAACAAGGCTTCAGGACAGCCGATGTATGATGGAAGTGCATTCGCTGCTTATGAGGATGTGATTGTTGTGACGACGAATTACAGAACCAATGGTAGGTTTTACTATATGCGTGCTCCAAACACCTCTAACAACCCCTAGTATTCGGTTTCCCAAGCTCTCCGGAACTGCCTCCAACAGGACACAACCTCGGATTCCTCGACCAGCGCTTCGCTCTTGACTGGGTGCAGCGGAACATTCATGCCTTCGGCGGTGACAAGTCCAAAGTCACTATCTTTGGCGAGAGTGCAGGCGCGTTCTCCATCGACTCGATGCTTACAAGCTATCCTAAGGATAGCAAGCCGCCGTTCCGTGCTGCTATCCTGCAAAGCGGACAGTACAGTTATCGTGCAGCTCCTTTCACTTCCAGTGTCCCTGCGTGGTACAACCTTACGGCACAGCTTGGCTGCCCAGGTACTTATCGCAACAACTTGACATGTGTTCGAGCAGCCCCTGCGACGAAGGTACAGAACATCATCAACATGAACTCACTCATCTTCAATCCAGTGCCCGACAATGTCACACTTGTAACAAATCCAGCTGCGCAACGTCTGAGTGGAAATATCGCGCACATACCTGTCTTGGGTGGAACCAACTCTCAGGAAGGACGGTAAGCTTCCCATCAAACAGCAAGACTATCTTACTGATAAACAATAGAGTCTTCACTCTCGGACAGACAAACATAACTGCATTTTTGCAAGCTAATTATGCCGGCGCCCCTGCATTCATTCCCATCATCGAAGCTGCATACCCCATCGGCAGCAACGGCCTCGTCACCGGTAACGATGTGATTTCGCAAATCGTCACAGACATCACCTTCCAGTGTGTAAGTACCACTGAAGCTAGACATCCTCACATTGTTCCAGAATACTAATTTCTCGTCACAGGCGCAAGCTCTATGGGCCAACGCTACTGCCTCCATTGGAATCCCCGCCTGGCGCTACTACTTCAACGCATCCTTCTCCAACACGCAGGCGTTCCCGACGCTGGGCGCATTCCATTCTTCAGAACTACCGCTCGTCTTCCGCACATATGATCAGGCCAACGTAACAACTCAAGAACAAGCGCTCGGTCAATTCATGTCCGGTGCCTGGGCGAGGTTTGCAAAGAACCCGTTGGCAGGGCCGGGATGGAATCCGATAGGTTCTGGCGGTGAGGGTATGGTCTTGTCTGGTGCCTCTGAGCAGGTGCGTGGCGGTCTTTTGACGGATCAGACCGCGGGTGTTGTGCCGGGCGACTGGAATGTGGGTGTCCTTGGTGATGTGGGGAGGGTTAAGGGGAGCGGTGTTACTGTGCTGCCTCAGTCTGATCTGGACTTCAAATGTAGTCTGTATAGGCCAGTGTATGAGGCTATTGTGGGTTCGGCGGGGATGCCACCGGTGTAAGACCACTTCCTGATCTCGTCAGTTGCTTCGAGCGACTAGGAGATTCTTCCACCATTGATAGAATCGAGAACAACACGTATATAGACCAGTTGGTAACCTGTAATAGTAATTTGTTATTCCGAAACTAGTAACTCCCCGCATAACGATGCTGAATACAGCCACACTCAAACTGCCGAAGGCGGGGCAACAAACACCCGTTCAAGACGTCAACCGCGCCGGCAATCGGGACAGCAGATCTAAGCTACGCTACCCCGGATCGTCACCACGGCATCCAAAACCAGCGCAGTCACGGATTCAGAAAATCCAAGTACAAATACTGAGCGAGGCTACTCACAAAAGGCTCCTCACTTCCGCGCTCTCCCGGTCCTAACTAGACTCTAGTCATAAAAGAGAAAACTCGCGATTTCCACAATGCATTTCCTCAACCCTCTAGCTGTACTCGCCGTACTCGCAACATCCTCAATGGCTCAAACTCCTCCTGCTACGCCGCAATTGACCCTGCTGTACAGCATGACGGCTCTCCTGGGGACGAGATTCTCTCTCGGGCCTATTCCGACGGGAGATGAGCGCATTGTTATTCCCATTGTAGGCGGGACGTTCACGGGTCCCAGGATGTCCGGTACGTTCTGTTTATGTCAATTGGAAGATTCACCTACCCCCTCCAACTCACATGCTCTTCTTCCATAACCACGTTTATGACGTCATACACATCTCCATCCAACCACACACACCACACCTCACCACCTCCTAACACCTCGCAGGCAAAGTCCTCGATCTAGGCGCTGACTGGCGCCTCACCGACGCCAACGGACGCATCCGCCCAGATGCACGTTACAACATCCAAACCAATGACGGTACGTTCATCACGGTGCAGACTGAGGGGCGGCCCCCGCAGTCGGACGGGCGCACGATGCTGGCGGGCAAGTTTGAAACGGGGATGAATGGGACGTATGCGTGGTTGAATGATGTGGTGGGTGTGGGTGTGTTGACGCGGAATGGGACTGAGAGTGTGAGGATCGATATGTGGCAGGTGAGTTGAGGTCTTTTCTTCTTTGATTGGGGTATGGGAGAAGAGGGATATGGTCTTTTGGAGTTCTGCACTTTTTGGTTGTTGGGGTGTGTGGGCTAACTGGTCTTGTAGGCTGCGACGTCTTCGTAAGACGAAAAGGAACTATATTCAACGTAGAAAAATATGAACTACAATATCTCCCTAATTTTGCTCCATCTTCGCTTTCATCCACATCTCAAATCGTATGACTTACGCCCAAGTATGAGCTTCAGCAGAGTATTATTACTATTATCGTAGAGCAAGACTATCTTCTGAACTGTATCCACAGTCTTTATGTGAAAGTATCTTTGAAGTTATATTGATTATTACTCTGAACTTCGACGGTTCAATTCGTAAGCTGGTTGTGTGGTTGAATGTATACAGTTCTGTCTTGAAGATACTGGTAGGAGGACAGCATGAACTTGAGACGAGGAAGAACATACTTCCCTTCTGCCAGAGTCCAATATATGATTACGCCACCCAATAGAATACCAACCTTGCTACAATGAAAGTGGCTTGTCTCCTGGGCCATACAATCATGGTAAGCGCTTGTACCATTCTGGTCAATTTCTTTGTCTCATTGCTTTGTGATTGGCTAACTGTCGGTTTTATCGTACCGTAAGGAATACTGGTCATATGGAAGGCAAGAACCCTCGCCAAGTTTCCTTGTGAAGTCTGTCGTGCGCAGACTGAAGTTCCTCGGTTCAGGCCAGTCGTCGCGTCTGTGCACGTTGGCTTGAAAATGTGGGGAAGCCGCGGGGGAGCTTCACCAAGCCGCGATGCTGAACAGCAGCACACTCAGCGCTGGCGTGTGTAATCATTTCACATTTGGTCGAATTAAGACACGGTCGCCCTGCAGTGATCACATGCATGGAATAAACAGTCCAGACATCACGAGTCACGGCGCATCCGTGTGTCCATCAACGTACGTCACGCGGGTCTGTGTGGGCTTACCTTTCGCCGACAACCTCGGTCCATGGGCCAGGTTGCAAGCTCCGTTCACGGCTACCGACCCCAGAAGTGCCAGTGCGTGTTTGAAATTCAATTTCCCATATTTATCGTTTTCCTGGTCGTGTCCTCCCCCCCAGACGTTTCTTTTGTGATGTTCAGTAGAGTAGCACGAGCGCGAGTACCTGCCTCGATCCTTCGCAGACCGACTTTGAATCAGCAGATACCTAGAGTGAGTCTTTTGGAGTGGGAGTGTGGTTTACAGGGAGTATGTGCTAATTTGTGGGCGTGCAGATTGCAGCCATGGCTCCCATAAGGAAACAGTCGTCGTTGCCAGCAGGTGCGTAAAAATGGCTGCTCTTCAGACGTGTTCATAAGCAAGGCGCGGAATCTAACATGGCGCGCGCAGGCTACAAGGAGGACCTCAGCAAGGGCGCTATGCTGCGGTTCGAGGACTCTCTTCCACAACTTCCTGTCCCCACACTCGAGGAGACTGCAAAGCGATACCTGAAATCCGTTCACCCGCTGCTCTCCAAGACCGAATACGATGCCACCACAAAAGCCGTCGACGAGTTTGTAGCGCCTGGCGGGCCTGGAGAGACTCTCCAGAAGCGCCTGATAGAGCGGAGAGAGCGGCCAGAGGTCAAGAACTGGATCGCCGAGTGGTGGAACGACGCGGCATACATGGCCTACCGCGACCCGGTCGTGCCCTATGTCAGCTACTTCTACTCCCACCGCGACGACAAGAAGCGGAGGAACCCGGCCAAGCGCGCTGCTGCCATCTCGACGGCCGTATTGGAGTTCAAGAAGATGGTCGACAACGGCACCCTGGAGCCAGAATACATGAAGAAGCTTCCCATGGCCATGAGCTCGTACGAGTACATGTTCAACTTCTGCCGCGTACCCAAGAAGCCCGCAGACACGGGCGTCAAATACCCATTCAAGGAGAACCAGCACATCCTCGCCATCAGGAAGAACCAATTCTGGACCATCCCCACCGAAAGCAACGGTAAGCAGCTCAACACCAGCGAGCTCGAACTCCAGTTCCAGCGCATCTACGAGAAGGCTGAAAGAGCCCCTGCAGTCGGCTTCCTCACATCGCAAAACCGTGATGTCTGGTCAGACGTGTATCCCAAGCTCCAGGCCTCGAACGTCAACGCCGCATCACTCAAGGCCATCGAGTCTGCCTCGTTTGTCGTCTGCCTCGACGACGCCTCACCCGTCACCCTCGAAGAGCGCGCACACCAGTACTGGCACGGCGACGGCTCCAACCGCTGGTTCGACAAGCCGCTCCAATTCATCGTCAACGACAACGGCACCTCAGGCTTCATGGGCGAACACTCGATGATGGACGGCACCCCCACGCACCGTCTAAACGACTACGCCAACCAACAAATCTTCACAAACGCCCTCCCCTTCGACGACCCAACCATCCGCTCCGACCTCCCCAACCCAAAACCCCTCCGCTTCGAAGTATCCCCCGACCTGCAAAAAGACATCGACGCAGCAGCCACCCACTTCGCCTCGCAAATCAACGCCCACGAACTCCGCGTCCAAGCCTACCAAGGCTACGGCAAGGGTCTAATCAAGAAATTCAAATGCTCCCCAGACGCCTACGTGCAAATGATCATCCAACTCGCCTACCACAAATTCTACGGCAAAAATCGCCCCACATACGAATCCGCTGCTACCCGCCGCTTCCAGCAGGGCCGCACGGAAACATGCCGCTCCGTCTCAGACGAAAGCGTCGCTTTCTGCAACGCAATGGCCTCCCCCGACGCCTCGCCTGAGGAATGCCAGAAGCTACTGCGCGCCGCGCTCAACGCGCATGTGGCGTACATCTCCGACGCGTCCGATGGCCGCGGCGTGGACCGCCACCTGTTCGGCCTGAAGAAGTGTCTGCGCGCCGGCGAGGAGCTGCCCACTCTGTACAAGGACCCCGCGTTTGCGTACAGCTCTACGTGGGCCATCTCCAGCTCGCAGCTGTCGAGCGAGTACTTTAATGGGTATGGGTGGAGTCAGGTGGTCGATGATGGGTGGGGGCTCGCGTATATGATTAATGAGAATAGCATTCAGTTTAATGTCTGCTCTAAGGGGTTGGGCTCGGTAAGTTCTCTTTTTTTTTTCCTATCCGTGTTTTTGAGTGGTGGGTTGGATGGATATGTGCTAATGTTTTTTCTGCGATAGGAGAAGATGAGCTTTTACCTCAATGAGGCGGCGGGCGATATTAGGGATGTTATGCTGCCTACGCTTGAGGCGCCTAAGGCTAAGTTGTAGATTATGCATTGGGTGGGATGAGGAGAAGTCTGAGTAGCGCTGTATAAAAGTGATGGAAGAGGATTGCTGGATTGCACGTAGAAATGAGGTTGCATTTTTGGTGCTCTTTCATGTAGATAAGAGCTGCCAGCCAAATGAAGACATCTATCGACATTGGATATCACCATTCATAACACACACAAAACAACCATGGAGAAGCGAAAAGGGAGTATTTTGTGCTGGAGTACATATCTAAATCTACATCAAGGCCAAAGGCGCAAATCATGAACACCATAAATTTCGGTCCAGCAGCCCATAGTCGTCATTACTAGTGTACACAGCGACCCACCCGTCATGTCAGGACATTTACGGGTTCTGCTTGACGAACTCGACACCCTTCTTGATGTTCCCCTTGAGGTCAGCAATGCAGGCATCGAGCAGCTTCTGCTCGTATTCGGTGACCTTGCCGACGGGGTGGATCTTCTCGACACCGTTGGGGCCGAGCTCGACGTTGGACGAGAAGTACTCGACGCCCTGGTCCTTGTACAGAGGCGAGTCGACAAAGGTGGGCTCGATGACGTTCTTCTGGCCCTGGGCAGCCTTGAGGAGCGACTCGGTGAAGCGGGCACCAGCCATGGCCATGGAGAGAGTGGCAGAGCCAGCACCGTCCTTGGCCTGAACGACCTCGTCACCACCGAACTGGACGCGCTTGACGTAGGCGGCAAGCTGGTCGCCGTCGAGGTTGTAGCCGGACTGGGAGAGGAGGGGGACGATGGTGGCGCCAGAGTGGCCACCAATGACGGTGATGTTCTCGCTGGCGGGGTCGTTGTTCTTGATCTGCGAGATGAAGCGGGAAGCGCGGACGACATCAAGGGTGGTGACACCGAAGAGGCGCTTGGGGTTGTAGACGCCCTTTGCCTTGAAGACCTCGGCGCAAATGGGGACGGTGGAGTTGACCTGGGTGTGTCAGTGGGTGGTTGAATATTATGCAGCACAATGTGAGCATACCGGGTTCGAGATGATCAGGATGTTGGCGTCGGGCGAGTGCTCAGCGGCGGCCTTGGCCAAGTCGCGGACAATGGAGGCGTTGGTGTTGAACAGGTCTGTGTGGTTGTTAGTGGCATAACAATGATAGAAGCTGCCATTGCCTACCATCACGGGTCATGCCGGGCTTGCGGGGAACACCAGCGGGGATGACAACGATCTCAGCGCCCTTGAGGGCATCGGCAAGACCGGAGGGGGTCGCCTCGTGGCCGGTGACCTTTGTGTCTGTCAGCGGGGGATGCGTGTGCGGTCTTAGATTGTGGTGCATACCTCGCTCTTGGTGTTGATGTGGCCAATGTCGGCGGCGACACCTGCAAAACTGCATCAGCACTCGTCCATCCAAGTTGTGTGTGTGTGTCGCATGAGCTTACCGGGGGCAAGGCGGATGTCGTAGAGGGACAGCTTGCTAACCCTGGGGTTGAGCTTCAGCAGCAGGGACAGCGGCTGGCCAATACCACCGGCAGCACCGAGGACGGTGACCTTTGATGACTGCGGCGCATCCAATTAGCATTTGCCCTTCCTTCAATTCTTGTGCCTGGACGAAGCCGAGGCTCCATGGCAGCAATTGGGCGGCGCTGAGCATACCTGGCGGGCAGACACCGAGAAGGCGCGGCGCTGGGCCTGGGAGAAAGCTTGTCTGGCAGCGAACATGATGGCTGTATGTGGGGGAGATGGAGGCGCTGGAGTGAGTTGGAGCGTTGGTGGTGGCAGAAAGTGGAGCGGCGAGATTTGCGAAGCCGTCACCTCAACGCCAAGCTCGGAACTTTGACCGTTCGTCCGCTGATCGCTTGTGACAGCTGCCAGATGCTCCACCTCCACCTCCACCTCCACCTACTCCTCCATTTGCCCGCCTCACCAGTGCCATGGAGAGGGCATGTGTTTCTCTGTAGACCATCAACCACTCAAACCACCATTATCATAGTTCTGTTCGAGAACACTGCTGCTCAGTCTCGAGTCAATGGCAGGCCTCAATAGTGACTCGGGATTCGTTGCAGCCAGATACTTCACCCACTTCAACAAAGATGCCTTGATTGAAGCGCAGTCATGGGACTAACAAATAGATTTACAGCAGTGCTTCCTCATATTCAATCCATCACATCCATCTACACATTTCTCAATACAACCTCATGGCGTCTGAGCACCATCAACCCCAGTCTCCTGTTGAGCTGCGACCCACTACCACGGCAGAAGACACTCCCACGTCCACAATCAGCGAGCTTCAATCTGCTTCTGGCTCCCTTCTCCTCCCTAGCATAGAACCGCCTCTTCCATAGTCTCAACAACTCACCCCCATCCACCATCCAAAATGGACCGGCGCATTCGAACTATTCTCCTTCCTCTACTACCTCCACCGCCCCAACGGTACCGTCTACAGGCGAAACGGCGTTCGAGGCTTGCCAGTCAACGACAAAAACATCGTATCCCTCTTCCTAACCTCCCGACAAGTCCACGACGAAGCGCTGAAGATATTCAGCCGGCACACGCAAGTAAACCTCGGGAGCTACCACCGCCATCATGATAAAAATCCCTGCCCTCACTTCAAACACGATCTACGATTCCTTCCAGCCACGCACTCGCGCACGTTGTAGCGCGTAGCCAGAATCTACCAGAACCTCAGTCCAACCGAGTCGTGGACGCAGATGCTCTGCGATGCAAACTTGGTTGAATCTTATTGCCCCAAGCTGCGCGACTTCACGGCACATCGATACGTATGCTCAGACGAGCCTGATTGTAAGACGCACAAGGATGAGGACGCCGGTCTGTTCGATCATATGGCCGAAGAGGAGAAGGCGCAGACTTCGCTTGACTGGATGAGGCGCTGCGTAGAGGAGAACGGTTTGATCACGCCCACCTGCCTCGGGTTTCATATCTTGGGTAGTTGGCGGCGGCATCAGGATACGGGTAATGAGGCGTATTCGAGGCTTGTGCGAGAATTTGGCACGAGAGAAGTGTAATATGACCCGAGGGCGCTGTGGAGGGATTGCTGGTTTACTGCTATTGTAAAAGACGTGCAGAGGCCGTTTCCACCTGACCACAGATCTTTTTCTGGGATTATTTCATGCCAGACCGGCTTACTCTGTTCCGGTCCACAGAAGATTAGCTTCTTGGCCGAAGCAAGTTCCGTGGCTCTTGACCACCACTGATCTTGGTCTGTTCCAGTTCTGACCCGCAGATCGCGAGTGGTTGAAGAATTTCGTTCAAGGAGAGGAAGATCTGGAGAAGATTCGGCCGACGATGTATCGCATCATGACCACGTCGCTGTATTGTGGATTCTCCCAGATCTCGAGGTACTTCTGGCTGGTGGCACGGAGTGAAGCGTGTTGTGATATCCCGGTAGAGTTTTCCTAAATCAATACATGTGGTCTCAGTCAGTCAGACAACTATCATGTGAGACTAGTATAGGAAGGAGTCTTATAGTCAATTTCCAATCAGTATACACTCAGCATGTACCTTTATAAATCCCATTCTAGTGTGTTCATAGCTTGTGCAAGCCATAAAGAACACAACTTCCCTTTCCTCCCACTTCCCATTTAATCAAGAGGAACATGCCAGGTTCTCCACAGTCAAACTACACACATACACTCAAACACAACACAATCCAGAACCATCACCAATCCCACCTCTACTCTACACACAAGCTCAAACATGTCATCGAAACAAACCGATACAAACGAACGAGGAAGATAACAGCAAACGGACCCCAACCATCACCCAATCTCCACCCTATCCGTCATGCTCATATCCCAAGCCCTCACCGCACACACCATCCCTCCAGGCCCCCCAATCTAAATAAACTTTACAACGCAACGCTGCGCCGCTGCGCCGCGCTTCTCCCTGCATCCATGCGGCACAGCTGCCCTAATTTATGGAGCTTGCCCACGCCGCATTCTGGTGATAAGCGCATTGACGCGCGGAAGGAAGTAGTGTACTAGTTATTCACATCGGATAATTGTTCCAGATGGGGGGTTTTGCTGGAAGGGATTGGGGGGAAAGCGGGAGGATGGGTTATGGATAGCTGGGATCTAGGACGGTGGTGTAGTATACAGCAGTACAAGGCCAGCAAGACAGGGCAGATAAAAGAACAACCTCGAAACTCTACCCGCGAGACCGGTCAGTAAGTTGTCACTGCGCCGTTGCTGCGTTGTTACCGCGCCGTTACGGCACAGTCGTTGGAATGCATATTTGCTGGCACAACATGCGCATACGAGGCACAGTAGTTAGTACCCAGCCCAATCCTCCTCACCGCGTCTCTGGCATTCATCTACACAAACCCGCGTCTATCAACGCCAAACAGCATTCCGTAAGCGGGCTTCAAGCATCCCGGCAACAACGCGATTGGCCCGCCGTTTGCGACACTACCGGCGTTTCAGGCTGGGAACCACAAAACGCATCCGGCCCAACGAGACACCGTGCTGTGCTGTGCTGCGCTGCCTCATCTCTTGGGAACGCTGGTTGTGCAGATCGGTGGTTAATTTAGTTTTTGGTGCTTGGAGACACATGGCTATTGAGTGTGAGGACGTAGGTAAGATGTTGGTGGTGGCTCCGCCCCATGTTGGAGGACAGGCGCGTTCGCTGGATGCGGCTGTCTGTGAACGTTGCGACTTCGCCATGCGGTAACGGAACATTCCTCGCGCAGTGAGTGTATCTAGTGTAGTGCCAACGTTGAGGTTCTGACATGACATGACATGACATGGCTTGACTTGACATGGGAGGGGCACACGCATGCACGCCCGCTACGCCTCCTGAATGCAGGCGTGCGACCTGACCTGGCTTGGCCTGTGCACAATGATGATGGTGCAGCGATCACCCCCTGAGCATTATATATCCAGATCAGCGCGGCATGAATGAGAGTGGTCTTACGCAGCTACCCACCACCACCACTCCTTGGTACGTGTTTGCACAAACGAATAAACAAACAACTTCTTTTTGTTTCTCTTCTTTGAAGTCTGGTTCTACTGCGGAAGATCGCTATTTATCAGTTCGGGACGGACGGACGAACGGGACTGTCTATTGAAAGAAAAGGTTGGGCAATTAAATTGGGTGTCGAATCACAAGGACAACATCTCCAACGCCAACTCCAACCGCCACTCACCTACGGCCTTCGAACAAACCACCCACCAACACCGCCCAAAGATGCCCCCCCAAGGCCTCCCAAGCACACCCCGCGCAACCCGCCCCGCCCTCTCCCCCCTCCACACAACCTTCCCCTCAACCCCCGCACCACCACCCTACTCCACCCAACCCTTCAAACCCTCCGACTCCATCTTCGCCAACGCCACCATCCCCCTCAGCCCCGCCTCCAGCTCCGCCTCCTCTTCTTCATCATCACCCTACGACGGCCTCGCGCCCCGGAAGCGCAATCCTATCGTTCGCCTGTTCTCGTGCTTTGGGCGCGAGGAGCGGGCTAGGCGGCGGGTGGAGAGGGCGGAGGGGTTTGAGAAGGTGGGGGAGGGGGGGCATTGGACGGAGTGCTGATTGGGTTGGGGGGTTTCTTTGTTAAATGGGGGGATTTGCAGGATTTGCTGTGTTTGGGCTTTGGTGGGATTTTCTGCTTGGGGTTGCGGGTTCGGATCTGGTCTGGTCTGATATCGTCTGATTTAGCGACGGCGTTTCGTGGTTGTTTTAAACCTGCTTGTGTTTGTTGGGTCGATTTGTATCACTTTGCGGGTGGGTTTCTTGCGTTGTGTTTGGTCGGTGGGCCATCTCGGTTGCAGTTTCGGTTCCAGGTCTGAGTTGATGTGTAGTGCGAGATGATGGATCCATCACAGCACCGCGTGGTTTGGAAGGTGGCGTACATCACATCCACGGCATCATGTGGAGGACAGGGAATAAGTGCTGTACTGTGCTGTGCTTCGATGGCTGGTGTGTAGTCTCTGTACAGCAGAGTGTAGAACAATGTAGAGTAGAATAGAGTATAGACGTTTTACCTCAACACAAATCTTCTTCTGCCCATCAGAGAGTTGAAACTGCTGGAACATATCGGGCCAGGCGTATACTCTCAATACACAAGTTCAAAATATAATGTGCGTGTAGTTGTTTAGTCGATGAGAAATATCACTGCACTGTGGTTCCGAACTTGATGTTTCGACAACCCAAGAGGCAGGCACAGCACCTTCACAAGGATCTGGTAAACAAGCGCGAGACAACACAATATAGATGTCCACGCATCCGAAAAGACAATCTATTCAACCCAATGTATGCGAAGCGATGCGTCTACAATAGCATAGTGATATATGTATGTATACACAACAAGTGCTAAATGCGCGAAGAATCCGAAAAGGAAGAATCCGAAAACAACACAAAAAGCGACAAAAGTGACAAAAGACGAAAAAAGGGGTATAGAAAGCATAGCACACGAACACGCACTCTACAAATCAGCAACAGAACACAAAAAAGCAACGCAACACGAACAAAGGCCAAGAATATGTGTGCTCGCTAAATCCAATCCACTGCGCTCCACTCCACTCGAGTCCATCCAAAGCTCTCCCCAAGAATCTAATCCAACAAACCGTGTAAAAGCATCCAAGAAAAAGAATCTATCCCTATTCCAAAAAAAGAAAAAAGAACTCCCGCTACTTGAGCCAAATATCCCCACCTTCGCCCTTCTCCCACTTCCGCCACGCAATCTCATATGCGTCCTCCAGATCCTTAACCCAGCGCTTCGTGTCGAACAACGCGCTCGTCCACCGCGCTTCGTAAAGCATGCGTCTCAGCTGGGCAAGCCGTCCCGTGGAGCGGTGACCGTTGTAGACGCAATCGCTTGCAAGTCGGACAGCCATGTCTTCATATTCCTCATCATTTTTGGCGATTAGTTCCTTCGCTGCTTGGGCTCCCTCGGCGGTTTTCGGTAGAGCGCCTTTGAGGATCGAAGCCGCCATGCGCGAGCACATCTTGTACTTGTAGCGCGGTAGCGTCAGGAGAGGGGTGCCGGACCAGAGGACGTCTGCGGCGGTGGTGTGCGCGTTGCACTCGGGGGTGTCGAGGAAGAGGTCGCAGACGCGGGCGCGGGATATGTGTTGGTGTTTTTGCGCAACGTCGGTGAACATGATGCGGTTCGCTACTTCTGCGCCGGCCCACATGTAGGCGGTTTGTTTGAGGTTGGTTTCTCCAAGATCGGGGAAGCGCAGGAGCCAGAGGATTGCTTTGGGTATGCGGGTCAGGATACGCAGCCAACTACGGAAGGTCGTTGGTTCGATCTAGTCACTTGTTAGTTAAAGCCAAGAGTGGTGAGATATCAATGCACATACCTTGTACAGCTGATTGAAGTTGCCAAGAATAATTGCATCGTCCGGCAGCTGTGGAAAGATCTCTCTGCGCATCGCCCATCTCCTCCGTTGCTCTTCTTCCCAATCAGGCTGTCGACCCTGCGAGTCGGGTGCACTCTGTCGGTGGTCGCAGCAGAAAAACGTGTCGCGGCAGAAGATGATGTTTTCCCCGTATATCCAATCATCGTCTGAACCTCCACTGTTGTCATCGACGAGAGCATCCTCCAAATCAATGTTACGACGCCATGGGCGGAGAGTATCGGGAGGCACAGCAGTGTCATCCGCTAGGAGGTAGTCACACCACTCGGCTCCCAATGTTCCTGCAAAACCCATGAAGGACATCTGGATAGGGGCTGCACGCGCAGCGAACACTTCGTTTCTCGCTCCTCTTGTGTAGCCGTTCAGATTGATAAGTATGTGAATTCCGTCCTTGATAATTTGGTTGACAAGACGTTCTGCCGACCAACTGCTCGCATCATGGAAGACTGGGGCCTCCCTTTCGATTTGCTTGCGATGCTCAGAGTTGTCGCTTGCCGTTGTCGCATAACAGACCGCCTTGACCCGAGAAGGATTGTGAAGACCGAATACGGACTGCATCAGATGCGCCAGCGGGTGGTTATTGAAGTCCGAGGAGACGTATCCTACTTTGAGATAGGGCTTAGGCGGCGCCGGTGGTTCGTAAACATTGGCAGGCAGCCATGGTATTCTTAACGTGGAACTCGAGATTCGCAGACCGTTGCGCTGAGAGATTTGACGGATCTGCTTCGCTGACATAGGACAGGTAAAAGTGTGGAACGGAAGGACTGTAGGAGCGGCAGGCACCGTCAAAGCCGCGGGCAAATGAGGTCTTCTGTAGCTTGCAGAAGGTCTCTGTTTTCCCGTGATGTATCGATCTTGATACCAGTGCCATGTCATCCGTCGAATGGCACGCTCAACTAGACGGATCAAGCGAGCGCCTTCCCACTTTTGACCTCTCCATTCAGCCAGAACAGATATCATACTGTTTTTCTTTGCTTTGATGCTGTCGGCGTCCTCGTCGGAAAGAGCTAGTGGTCGAACGATATCCCGAACGAATTGTTCGTCCATAGCACCTCGGCCCCAACCCTCACCATCGGCAAGCTGCTTCTCTACCAGTTTTACGACTTTGTGAACCCAGCCAGAACTGGAGGCACCTGGCAACTTGGCATCCAGTAGCATACCGTCGTCGTCCACATGCCAGCGGTCTCTTGCGCCGTTGTCGGCGGCAATTCCACCTCTTCCATTCCAGCCACATACTGAGTTGAGAGCGTTAGAAAGCCCACAGACGGCCTCCGCAAAGTCAGGACTGGCCTTTACAGCTCTCCTGTAGTAGAAAATTGCATCACTGATGCGGCCTTTGTCTTTGACTGCATTCGCCAGATTTGCAAGAGCAATGTCGAAGTTCTGATCACAATGCACCGCTTGCTCATACATGGAAATGGCGACGTCCAACTGGCCGATGTCTTTCAAGAGGCTGCCGAGGTTAGTATACAGGTGTGCATGTCGCTTGTCCAGCTGCAGTCCGTAATAGTAGTATGCGAGTGCAAGAGCAACACCGCTGCCGGGCACCAGCCCTGGAATCTGTGGGTAGAAGCTGGGATTTGTGACAGGAATAGGTTTTGATGGCGCTGATTGTTGCACGCCGGCAAGAAGAATACCAACGTTGTTTGCAGTCGAGGGACTCGGCTGCAATGAGAGCGACAAGTAATAAAGAGCCAAAATCTCTCTCACGCCATAGTTGCTTTGGTAAGCGCTACCCTTTGGCGTGTTGTTTGCCATACCGTCTTGAAATATCTTCGCCAGAGAAAGCAACGAATTACTGGTGGTTGAAACGGCAGCCTTCTTAGCAAGCCCATCACCAGGGACGTACTTGAGACCTGGTAATTGACCGTGGGACGGGAAACAAAGGTGTGCAGTCTTCGTTGCTGAATCTGGAGGAAGCAGTATTGGATCTGAGGATGGAGGAACACAACGGCCACTGGGCGAGCGCTCTGCAGCATCGTAGCCAACAACAGAAAGTATGCGCCTGATAAGACTGTTGATCCCATTAGTCAGTGGCCCAGTTCCAACGAGAACGGCGTTCTCGAAGGCTCTCGCCGCGGCAGCATTCTCGCCTAAAGCATAGAGCATGTTGCCTTTGGCATGAACCAAAGCTAGGATGCGGCCATTGTCGCATCCAGGAATAGCGTAGCCACTGGATCCAAAGCCTGGTTGATCGGACCCAGCAAGCTCGTCGAGGTCCTTGAAAATTGATTCAGTTTCTCCTTCAAACTCAAACAGGGGCCGATCTGAGACCTCTGATAAGCTTGGGGATTCGCTTACGGTCGAGGCTGATGCTTGACTTTCGGCATCCAGACTTCGCAGAGCGTCAGCCTTCCTGACAAATCTCAGGCGGCGTTCTACTTCTTCGATAAGCTGGACTGCTTCGCGGCCTCTTTGGTCGCTGCATAAAAGTCCAATGAGGTGCTCGACAGCCTCAAAATAGCTAGGTCGAAGCTTGACCGCTTTCCTCCAGTACGCCTCAGCATCGCATTTCTGGTGGAGGGCTAGGAGAGTAGCTGCCAAGTTCGAGATAGCTTCGACGTGACTATAGAATGTCAGCTTAGTTCGTAAAAAAAGATTGCTCGTTGTTTCACGTACTCTCTGTCAAGTGTAAGGATATGCTTATACCAATCTTGAGCTTTTTGGTAGTCTCCCAACGCATATGCAAGACAGCCACCCAGGAGGATTCCATCTATCCATTTCCATTTACTTTCTTCGCAATGCTTGGTAATGGCCTCTAGCGCAGCGGCAGCCACCATACTCGGAGGTGTGTCATGACGTAAGCTTTGATGGACGTTGGTGACAGATCCAGACATGCGCCGCAAGGTGCGATTGAGATCCACGCTCGGCATTGTGGGAGGCATATGATATTGGTGTGAAGCATTCTGCCATGGCTGTCGATACATGCTCCGATCCATTTCGCTCAATGACCATGCCGAAGATGAGCGTTGATGAGAACCAAATGGTGGCCTTGAAGGTCTCTCCGATCCAGATTGTGAGCCAGTCCGTTTATTAGACGATGATGAAATTCGCCGGTCCGACGATGATGAATCGCCGCTATTTGCTGAACTAGAGAAATTCGCACCTGGCTGTTTTGGTGGCTTGGGATAGATATGTGGTCGTGATGTTGGTCGTCCGTGCTGATTATGCGCGTGCATTTTTCTTGTCGACTGCAAAAACTTCAGAAGATCAACATAAACTCTGTGGGCCCAAGCAAACACTCTCTCCCTCGTTTGACCATTTTCGGATTGGGGTCCAAAATCGTTGAGTGGGGTGCCAATCGATGTGAAGTCGGGCACAGGTGTCGATTGGCCAGATGATAGGAAGTCGTGGGGGCGTTGGGTGGGGGGCGCTGGTAGCGATGTATTTTGATAATCTCGGGCAAAGGTTTGATGCGATTGCGGATAAGACATGAAGTCGACAGCTGGTCCTCCAAGCTCGTTGATGGCATGCGAGCCTGTCTAGCATCAGCAGGGTCATTCCGCTTGGATGACATTTGCTAAGAACGGATCATCGATCAGGTCTTGCTAATGATCTAGTCGAGTTTTGAGAAATCAAATCTCGATAAGTTTCACCAAACCCTAACTTTTCTGCAATGATGTGCAATTTTGACTGGAGATATAGAAAATTTGGGTATAGTACCTTGATTCAGTTGAAAAGAGTTTGCGTGGTAATTAAGCATGTTTGGTAGGTTAGTGTTGTTGTAAGCATGTCCCAGGTAGGCGTTGTGTTGCGGATGCGACCAGTTGGGGCCATGGTGGTGCATGAAGCGGGGGTCTCGCATGGCAGCAGGTCTGTATGGGATATACGTGCCATCGTGCCAGTATGGCCCAAAGGGTCCCTGGTCGTTGGAAACCGTAGGGCCCAGTGGGCTCTGCGATGGACCCATGGCTCCGTAGAAGGGATGGTTGTACATTGGGTATTGCAAGGGCGGGTGTAATGGCGGGATCTGGTTCAGCATGGAATCGATCTGCGGCAGATGTTGACCAGCTCGTCCAGAACCAGTTTCGAAATAGAGGCTGGGACTCCATTCTGCTTGCGCATCTTGCTTCATGTGCCCCAAGGCGCTACCACCACCCGGAGAGCGGAGGGAACCATCCAGCTTGAGGCCATAGGGATGGCCAGTCTCGACGGCGGCGGGGAGCAGGATGTGCTTCGCAGCGTGCGGTTTGTCCGAATCCTCCACAGACGTCCCATCGTAGGCAGCAGCGAGTGTACCGTTCGGCGTCTTACGGCGAAGCATGTGCTCTGGCGGTTTGGCACTTCGACCAGAGTCGGGCGTGTGCGAGCTGTACGAGTTGTGCCTGGACAGCGGGTGGGCATATTGCTGGGGCGCGGGGCGTTGTGCGAGACTGTGTCCATCGGGCGCGGTGTTGTGGCGAAGGAGCGAGGCGCGAGCAGGGGCGGGAGGGTTGTTGTTGTATGGTTCCAGCGGGGAGGGAAGTTGCGACGGTCGAATCATAGTCATGTTGGGGAGGCAGACGTCGGGCTGTCCAGCAGTACGTCAGTGGGCCTGGAGTCGCAGTCGCAGTCGTCGTCGTATAGATGGCGTCGTGGGTGCCAGCGACACACGGCTTCAGCACGCCCGGCCGGTACCTATGCCTTCGCGGAATCGTCGCCTGTCTGCCACGACTAACATGTCTTTCGAAGCCTGATTAAGCGTTATCTAGGCCCGGATGGCCCCGTGCTGGCACGTCACCAGCAGAGACACGGGCAGAGTTTGAGCAGAAGTCGTCGCAGAGTCGGCCCGCGGCTGCAGATCACACTTCAAGGCAGCGCCGTGGGAGGACCTGCTTCGCAGAGGGCGAAGGGCGAGGGGGTGAGGGTGGGAGCGGGGCGTCAGAGCGACGGGTGGGTGCGCGTCGTCGATGGGTGAGCGCGTCTAGCAGGAGGGCAAGGGCGTGGTTCGGAATGCACAAGTATCCACCGCGGGCATAAGACTCACGGATGCCTCGCAACAGGCCCGGACGTATCCTGTATCCTGCCCGTGCTGAGGCGCACAACAGTGGGTTTCGAGTAGGGTGAGCGTGGTACGGCCTGCAACGGGGCGTGGCACCGCTAGGTACGCGTCTCCCGGGTCGGAGGATCAGAGTGAAGCGCGGGCAAGCTCCACGCAGGCGGCCATGTGTGCTTTTTGACGGGCGCACAAGATGACAAAGTGTAGGGGTGGAGACCACAGCCTGTCCCCATTCGCCTCCAAGCACAATCGATTTAGTGGTGGCTTGCCCAACCCCTGCCCCCTCCAGTTGGTGGCCGTCGATGAGAGCGGCACGCTCTCGGTCCAGTGTAAAAGCAGGAAACAAACTGCCTTCGTTGGGGCTCCTATGGGGTCTGATACCACATTGAAGAGATTTACGGGAGTGCATACTGCTAGACGTTGAGGACTACTACACCCCCGACCTAAGCTGTAGTTGTTAAGCTGTTGCAGGAGCTTGCTGCACCTTAGTTCTTAGTATTAGGCACGGGCAAAGTGCTCGCAGACGGCGCCGCAACCCGCCGTGCATGCGGTATCGTAGTCTAGGCACGTACGATATTATGTCGTAGTCGACTATGCACGCTATATCGTAATCTACCATGTGTCCTGGTTCATCTCCCATGTCTCCCATGTAAGTTGCCAGCCTGCAGTGATGGCATGGGATTTCAGCTGCGAGCGGCGTGGCTTGCGTTTCTCCAACGTTGATCGCCGCGTTGCCAATCAGCCATCCATGCCGGTGCCGCTGTATCCACCACAACCATGCAACCGCCATCACCCACACCCTTTCTTACCGGTCGCCATCGTCTAAATATGGGGCGACTGCGCGTCCCGGCTCGGAATCTACCTCATGCTGACGGTCATGGGCTGACGCCTGAACATGTGCTCGTGCCAAACTTGGAAGACAATCCATGGATGTCATCACAATATCAGAATGCACCAGTTTCACATTCAGTGATCAGCAAAAGTTAATGGCTCGGAGACGTTCTCCTTCAAAAGAAATGTGCCCAACAAGGGATGTCGACCAGATATATGGACCGCTGAAGCCAAACCCGGAGGCAAGACTACCGCGGTGAGTAATAGGTCATTCAATCTTCTTTACACCAAAATAGGCCTATCCCATGGTCAAACTCCGAAGAGAAGAGGTAAGGGCCAGAGTGTTGGTAAAGTGGATCACACATCACGCACTGCAACTACAAGGCGCAGCTCCGATTCCAGCAATGATGAAAACAAACCAAGCCACACGGGGAATGAACCGCAGGCGAATTGAACACAGCGCACTGCGGGCGTGTTGCTCGTGGCTGCACGCCCGTGGCACCGCAGAAGCCAAGGTGGTACGCGGCGGCGCCTCCATGAGCACTTCATGAACCATGCGAAGTTTCATCAACCATGCAGACGGCGGTCCACTTGCGGGTGCAATATGGGAAATGCAGGAGACCAAATCGTGGCCATCAAGCTTGCAAATGCATCGAGCTTATTAATGGCCTCTGGTAACCAGCCTAAGGGTTCGATATCCTCCGTGGTGTCGTGTCGTTGTGAAGTGTGCGAGAAAAGAACAACTGCGCAATGCCAGTGTTGAGGCATCATGTGCAAGACGAGGTTCTGGACGTGGTACTCGCCAGGCTGTGCAAAGCAAACGTTGTTGGAAGTGGTTGGTGGTTGAAGAAAAGTTGAGGCTGCAGAAATTTTGATGATACTCGCGCTTAGTCATTGACGCCGGACCGATGGTTTCCCCGCGGCAGGGGGTCGTCATAGCCCAAATGTGGCCTTTCGACGAAACAATTAACCACGTTCACGATATCCATTCAACACAGGCAATCCGATATACTTTGCCACCACTCTCGCAATCACTTGTCAAGCACCGTCTCCGGACTCCCCAAAACTCGACCTAATAATTTATATTTCACAACATCATGAGCGAACCAGGCTCGCCGCCCCGAGGGCCCCCTCAAGGACCCCCACAGGGCATGCCCATGGGACCTCCACAACCAGGCCAGCAACCAACGCCCGAGCAAATGCGCCAAATTCAAATGCAACTCGCCGCTGAAGCAGAAAAACAGGGAATCTCGGTGCAACAACTAGTTCAGAACATGAGGGCGCAAGCCATGGCACAACACCAAGCACAGATGCAAGCCCAAGCCCGAGCCCAGCAACAGCAGCAGCAGCAACAGCAACAACAACAACCAATACAGCCCGGCCCACCAAAACCGGAAGCGCTCGCCGTGGCCAATTGGCTCAAGTCGCAGGACATGAAGCCGCGGACTGTTCTCCATGACGAGAAGAGGAAGGACATGTTCAGAGGTGAGACGCCAAACTTCCAAACAAACTAACGCATGCTGATGAATTTACAGTCAAACGCGCAATCCGTGCCTTCTCCTCCCCCGCCTACGAAAAAGCTCGCAAGAAGAACCCCCTCCTCCCAGAAGTCCACGACCGCGCCTCGGCCGAAAACACATTCAAGCTGCTCCCGCTCTCCCTCCTCGCCCTGCGCGTCTCCAAAATCGACGAGGACGCGCACGAAGGCCACAACCACGCCAAACCGAAGCGCATCAAGGGCCTCTGGAACGTGAGAATCGAGCAGCACCAGGAAGCAAACGACGACTGCTACTACATCTGGCTGTACGAAGGATCGCAGCTGAAGCAGAAACTGTACGCGGGCGGCGCATTGCTCCTCGTAATCGCCGTTGTGCTGTTCCCACTGTGGCCGCTCTTCCTGCGCCAGGGCGTGTGGTATCTGAGCATGGGCATGCTGGGTCTCATCGGGCTGTTCTTCGCCATGGCGATTGTCCGCCTCATCATCTTCCTCGTCACCATGTTTGCCGCGCCGCCGGGCTTCTGGCTGTATCCGAATCTTTTCGAGGACGTCGGCTTCTTCGACTCGTTCCGTCCGCTGTGGGCATGGCAAGAGGTAAGCCCAAAACACCGTGTTTTTATCATTCGCAAAATCATCGCAAAAACTAACTCGACTCTTAGACTCCAGAGGATATTCAAGCCAAAAAGGCGGCTAAGAAGGAAAGGAAGGCTGCTAAAGCGGCTGCAAAGGTCAACGGTCAGCCAAAGGGCAAGAAGGCAATCGCTGGTGCTTCCCGTCCGTCAACGCCCGCGCAAGCACCACCTGCAAACGTCGACTCGGCGCCTCAACCAACAGGACATGATGCCGCGCCGGCAGGTGACCTCACTCAGCGCGCACCAAGAGCGACAGTGGAGGAGGTGGAAGAAGAGCAGTAGATGAACCGACTACCAAGTAGTACACAGAACTGAATGGATGTCTTGCGGGTGTTTATTTAGGTGCATGGGTTTAGCTGGGAGTTCTGGCGTCTCGTCTCGTCTCGTTTCGTCTCATCTCCATCGCCGTGCAGTGCAGGAGTTCTGGCGACGGTGTAGGGCATTGCATCACTCAAGGGTCATGCCAGTAGATGTTCAATTAGAGATTTTCCCCACTTCACTGAATTGGTATCTGGGTACTACGAGGAGGTTTGAATGTTTTTGTCCAACCCAGTTCCTATGAAACTATGCATGTGTTTACGCCACTACGCCTGTTCAATCAGCTTTTCCGCCGCCGCCCCTCATCAAGCCCAACGCCACTACTATGCACTTGAACGGCGAGTTCTACTCCGTGGCCGATGAAGAAGAAGGGGGCGGTTGGTCCGCGCCCGACGCCCCATCTTGCACGCCCAGGCCCGAGGAAACGGCGGGCGAATGCGTGATCTGGCTCGTAGGATTCATGTCCAAGAGTTGGCGTTCTGGACCGGCGAGTCAGTACTAGATGCTATGTAATACGACGACCCCACCGCATAACCATATTCATATACATATTCATGTTCATAAAACGGGGGTGTGGGAGAGAGACGAAACGAGACGTACCTAGTTCGCGTATCCTGCCCTTCAACATCTGGTTCTCGCGCGTCAGGTTCTGCGTCTCGGCTTGGTAGAAGGCGCTCTCGTCTCTGCCTGTTGCTGACGCGGCGGAGCTGGGCAGCATGTCGTGGTCGTGCGGGCCGCTGGCTTGGCTCGATACGGGGCGCAGGGCGGGCGAGCCGAGCTGGCTTCCGCCTCGTGAGCGGTCTGCGAAGGAGGATTGGCGACTGATGCTCATGGGGAAGGGGGAGCGCGAGCGGGGTAGAGGTGAGATGGCGGACTGGGGGGCGTATGTGGAGTGTGGTTGGGAGGGCGGTGGGATGGACATGGAGCGCTCGGAGGTGGGGGTGTCGTTGTCGTCTACGGCGGAGGACGAGGAGGGGTGAGGGTGCTGGGTGGCTTGGAGGGTGTTGATTTGGGACTGTTGGGTGCGGATCATGCTCAGGAGACGGTTCTGTGTGGATAAATGGTTAGTTGGCAGCTCGTTGTCTCGTTCCCAAACACGCATTCACGTGTGTGCAAAGGCAGACGTACCACCTGTCCCTCCTGCTCATATTCCAGCTCCTGATGCAGTTCGCCCAGGCTCGGCGCCCTTTCCCTCTCGCCCCCCTCCCTCCCCCGCCTCTGCATCTCGCCCGGCGCAGGCATGCCCGGGTCTGCAAGATTCAGGTTCATGCGAATACTGGAGCGGCGGCGGGCGCGCTCGACATCTCGCCGCATGCTACCGGACGAGGGTCTGCGGTCTTCGTTCTGGATCCCTGCATTCATGGCGGCCGTTGCAGCGAGAGAATGTGGGGAAGCGGCCATATTTCGGGATGCCGAAGGGGACTGGTTGCGTGAGGTGGCTGTCGAGGATGAAGCAGGCAGCAGTGGGGAGAGTGGCAATGTGTTGAGGTCTGGTGACATTGCTGCTGGTGTGAGCTGTGGGTATAGGAATGAGGGAGTGCGCCTGTCGACGCGGTGTTGGCGGTGTTGAGCGGCGTTGAGCAGTGAGAGGCTGCATCGGGCGAACCACGGCGGGGCTGGACGATGATGAGGGGTCAAGTGTACAAACGGGAAGTGAGTTGAATTCAATGTTGCTCCTAAAAGCTACAAGATAGCACTGATAACATTCACAAAGACTACATGCTACGCGAATACTGCCCGGAATCTACGCAGAAGATTTGCACCCTAATCTTAGCTGTGGTTGTCAAGCTTTCGCCCGAGTTCGTTGCATCATCGTTCCTGCTATTTCGACTAACCGAGAGGCTTGGCACGGAATCTACTGCAGGTACCAACCAAGAAATCGTAGCATCTGCCGGACCAGCCCACCCGGCTCGTCAGCCTCCCACACGAATTTCCGGCCATTTTTTTTCCACCATGGGCTGCTCATTTCCCCTCTCTTTATCGATTATTGTTTTTGCCTCGCGTACAAGCAACACCCTGCTCACGTGTCTACCTGTTTGCGCCCCACACCCTCATCTTGAAGTGGAATACATTGCAGATGCAGCAGCAGCAGGTCACGTCCGGTGAAGATATAATAAACATGCAGATAGCAGCAATCTAAACATAGCGATGTGGGTGGACTCGAGAGTAGCAAGTAAAGTTTATTTTCGAGAAGAGTCGATGGCTTGGAGCGTGCACTGCTGACCACAACGCCGTCTGGTAACCGTATCTCCACCTGAGAGCACACAGAACGCATGCAGAACATGTCGAATTGGCCTCACGTGATGAGACGGTCTGGACACCGACGATCTTGATGCATCTCATGGCGGTGTCGAACCTTGCAATCAACTCTCGCCGGTGGACCAGAGAGATATGTTTCGAGATGCTAGCGGCCTAAATTTGCCGCTTGAAACAACCTCACACCCCAATCCTGACCTTCTAGGATCAAGTATTCTTGAAGCAGCCGTTATGAATCTGGAGCTGCGCAACAAGACGTAATAGCCTACGGAACTAGACGTTTGCAGCTTGACAGGGTCGGTTTCAGAATCTGCTGTCAGGGATGGGCCTTGTCTGTACCTAGACTAGCCTCGGCACCATTAACACCATTCACACTCACCCGACTTCCGCCCTGCTAAGGGGCCGCCATGGAGTCAATGCGATAGCTAAACGACACAGCCAAAGGCCTGGGAATGCCCCCTGCGAGTTGTACACCCCGGTCAGATATGGTTATAGTACAGCGACCGCGGCAGCTAAAGCCCACGATTCTCCTCCCTTACTGCGTGACTCTGTCGAACATTGTCGACCTGTTTCAGTTTCTTCCGACTTCTTCTCCTGCGTCCTTAATTGCTGTACGCCTGCGTTTTAGGGGCCTTCGTCCTGTCCTTTCGTTCGATATATGTTTCTGCTTCTGGCCAGCAACATCCACACTCGTTTTGTTGTTCTTTTCGCAAATTTAGACCCTTTCCATACTCGCGTTGCCCGACGTCCCTAGTCAAAGTCTATTCAAAAGAACCCTTTGTCTTGTCGACAAGGCAAGCCTTCCCTGTAAACGACCCGTATCAGTGCGCGTCCCTGTACGACGAGCAGATTGCGCAACGCCGAACTGAAACCCGGAGATACCTACCCTGACCCAGTGTTGTGGCCACCCTCACACCTTCTTCACACTCTCTATAACGAAAAGTCTTTCCATGAACTAATATCTCGAGCACCCCCATCTCAGGCCGTAGACGCCATGGCTCCAGACGACAGGTCTATAGGGCGTTCCGGTGGTAGCCTGCGTAACTTCTCTCGTGGGGAGTCCTCACGATGGCGCTTCAACCGCTCGACCACCAACCTTGCAAGCGGGCAACCGGCACAGACACAGACGAAGCTTGAGCGCGCGCCCTCCAAGATATCTCTCTTCAATCTATTCAGCAAGCCCAAAGTCGAAAGAGCGCGATATCACCCTGAAGTGGGCATGGCCGTCCCGATGCGACCACAAACCCCCCCAAAAACCGCAAGATCCGAGCTGTCCACAGGGCCTTACATGTCGCTGGGAGGAAACGCCTCTCCCCCTGGACAGCAGACAGTTCGTACACGCTCTAGCCAGATGTTCCGGCCCGTGTCCATGAGACCTACAACCCCATACAAAGAGCCTGGAAGCTGGGAGCCACCTCCACTATACCAGGCATTCCATCAGTCGACCAAACACGCAACCGTACAAGCCTGTGTTTTCCCTCCTGAAGTCTTGATGCGAACACAGAGCCAGAGACGACAGGCTGAGCTACTACGAGAGAAGATCGATATCACACGCGATCTTTCCACGATTGCAGAGAACGGGTCCGAGGCGGCGAAGCTCGACATGTCACACAAGCGACTGGTGTCGACGTCTGCTCCTGAGCTTGTCGACAAGATCTACATCCTCATCGCCACGGGCTATGTCCTACAATACGATGGCGACGGTTCGTACGACAGGCTCCCAGAGAAAGTACTTAAACTTGGGACTGACTCGGCTGCGTTCGCGTGCGATCTGATTCCTGGTAAGCACTGGGTATTGCAGATATCTAGCCACGCTCAGGATGATGGTGCGCTTGGGTTGGGTCCGAAGAACTCTCTTCTCGCGAGACTACGGTCACAGAGCAACAACGCAAAGAAGCCGGCGATATCTTTCTTGTTGGTTCTGGAAAGTGCAGAAGAAATGGACTCATGGATGTCTGCGGTGCGAAAAGAAATCGACCATCATGGCGGTATGAAGGCAAGGGATGAGTCGGATAGAGCATCGTCTTCAATTGATGGATCGATCGAGAAGACGTCAACAGACACAAACAGCCAGCACCATCTCGCTCTACCAGAGTTAAACACAGTCAACGTGGTCACAGCTGTTGATCCACCACTTCAGCCCCAATCGCCAAGTATTGTCACCCCATGGGAAACAGATCGCAGCGAGCGAACCGTGAGTGTCACAGACTCATCCAGTAGCAACTCTGTTGGACGTGCCAGTATGCGTCAGTCGACAGACGTCTCGTCAATCGCTACGACGCCGGTTTCGCCAGACCAGGTCCAACTCGATTCGCTTCGTGAACGCTCGCGCTACTCGTTCATGTCGACGGCAACGTCAGCCTCCGGAGCCGGAACTAGGAACACCTCGCGAGACTCATCTCCAACCCCACGATCTCCGCTCAGAGATACCTTCCTCCCAACTGGAGAAACAGAACCACTACGAAGCGCCATGTCTCTCAAATCGTTTCACATGAACCCTACCAACGGAACTGCCTCCCGTCGCCGATCTATGCAGCCTCTTCCTGTCACCGATGAGCACTGTTCACTATCCGTCGATGAGCCTGTATTAGCGTTGCCTCGTTCTGTCCTTAGCCTTACACCGTCCACAGCAGAGGATGCGCAGACACCAGATTCTGGAGACCTAGTATCGAGTCCACCGCAAAGAGCAGCCCCGCCCCCATTCCATGCTGCGGAAAGGCTCACAGCACACATTATCAGCAGTGCTCGAGAAGACCTTCTCCCTCAGAGGATCAAGACAGAGGTTGAAAACAAGGTAGCTACTGGTGGCGTGCAAGTGCGAGAGGACAGCCCCGTGAGATCCAATTCTCGCAACCAAAATGTACCTTCACGTTATGGCGCTATCTCCCCACCGCCAACAGGACCACTGCCTGTACCACCAGAATCCAACGCTCAGAATCCCCGCAATGGACCCATCCCGTTCCTTGCTGCGATGGCCCCTATATCATTGTCTGAAGACGCAGCTACAAGTCGCCAACGTCGCCTATCAGCAACCCCCAAGCCCTTCATGCGTCCCTTCCCCATCCGTCCCCAGGCTCGACACATTGATACTTCGAACCTCAGCCAGCGACGTCGCTCGGCTATCACGCCTGCACGCGCTGCCTCGCCAGCCGATATGAGTGGAAGGCGGTCGGTGACCTCGCCGGCACTCTACACAAGACCAGCGACAAACATGGCACCTACATCCCACCCAACCACACTCCACTCCGCCTCCGCCGCCCAAGCACCACACGCCCTCCGCCGCCCAGCATCAATGCAAATGCAAATCCGCTCCGAGCACTCCGCTTGCCTCTCCCGGCCCGTCCGCGCCATCGCCTCAACCCCCTCCTTCGTCCCCGGCAAGCGCGCCTCCTACACGCGAAACTCGCGCACCCCCTCCCCAAGCGCAAGCTCAGCCCTGCAGTCCAGCCTGAGCATCGACGCCATGCGCCTCCAAGCCCAGCAGCAGACCGTCGTGCCCCGCATCAATATGCCTGTCAATACTCTCCCGCCTCCCGCCCCGCCGCCTAATATGCCTCTCCCCCTCCCTCCGCCTAATGTGCCGCTCCCTCCCCTTCCACCGATATCCGCACGGGGCGTGGCTGTGTAATTTTCTGCCTGTGCGTCTGTCAGTCAGTGTACGAGTACTATCCATCATCGTATCATAAACATCAATGTACCAAAAATCGGCGTTTGGGTTCCGCGTCACTTCTCGGGGAAAGGGAAAGGGAAAGATACCGGTCTTCGGATCCTTTGTTTACGCCGTCATGTCTTGCGTTTTCGTCATAAACGCGTCTCTTTCTTTACTTCCTCCTCTACGTACGAGCCGCTGTTGCGCCTCACCGATACCACGTCTCTGTTTTCTTTGGGTGTTGGGCTGTTTATACGTTCATTCATTCATTCATTCGTCTGTCTGTCTATTTGTCTGTCTCTTTCTGCCCATGTGGCGCTTTTTATAGCATTCATATCTTATCCTATCCATCGTTTCGGTTGGAACTATCTCGCGTATGACGGCCGTGTTTTGGTTTTTAGATTCGCAATGGAAGCAACTCTGAACATCTATCTGTGTTATGTAGTGCTGTGAATGTTTGTGATGGTTTGGTTGTTGTTGCTTGGTGCTTGGTGATAGGATCGTACTGTGCCTCAGCATGGTACATATCCATGGCGTTTTGTTGTGAGCTGTTTGCGTGCGTGTTGTGTCGTGCTGTGCTGTGCTTTCGTACCGAATGCGCGAGCACAGGCGTTCTGGTGAAACGATCTGGTGTCGTAAGAGAGAGAGAGAGAGAGAGTGTGTGTGTGTGTAACCATGGTCGGCAGGTCATTGAACGCAGGGAGATATCGGACACACGCACTTACACATAACCCAACACATACAAGCAGTGAACAGGTTTGTTGCATTTTATCATTCTTCCGTCTATGTATCACATGTAACCTCGAGTGCCCTTCTATCAGACTCGGTGTAAGAAAACCGTCTATCAGGTATAATGTCTAACATGCATGACATAGTAAATGACGCGTCCCTGGCGATGAGAAAGGGAAAAAAGAGAACAGAGCTTCCGGCCAGCGAGTAGACTCCTTGGAAACCCCCCATCCCGAGAACACATCTAGACACATCAGATCAGCAACAACTCACTCACTCCCCCCGCCACGATAAAAACTTACACTCTCCCCTCTCCACCAAGCCCTAAACCCCCATCCAACCCGTTGCAGCCGGCGCTCCAGCAGCCGCAACAGTCGAAGTCGAGATCGGCGTAATAGTAGCAACCACAACCGTTGTCGGCGTCGTAGGCGCAGCCCTAGGAGCCATGAAGGCACTCACGCTCTGGACGGCCATGGCAGCGCGGGCACAGAACGGGGCGCCGCATGTGGGGCCGGGGTTCTTCCTGTCGTTTGCGAGGGCGAAGGGTGTGAGAGCGAGGAGCAGGAGGAAGGGGGTGGGGGTGGGGAAGTGCATGGTGAGTGGGGTGTGGGTTGTGAGGTGAGGTGGTGGGTAAGTCGTTGTGGTGGAAGTTGAGGGCAGTCAGTGTGGTGGGAGGGGGTTTATATATGGCGTTCGTGCTTGCCTTTCACGGTGAGAGAGCGCAGACAGCTGTGTGATTAAGGTATGACGTTTACGACAAGGGTCAGCGGTGTCGGGGGGAAAGAGTGAGGATGCAGAGTATAAGTGAAAGTGATAGTGATAGTTTGTTATCTTGACAAACGCAACCTGAAAGTATGGGCTGTTAGTGGGTCAGGGCGGCTGCGTAACAAACACTGCAAGAGCACACAATATCTTCGAGCATTGATTATGAGATTGATTGGTGAGGGCATCAAGGCCTTTCGAGATGCGACTACAATCTACATTTGTACGGACAATGTTGCTCTAACTACTGACACCAGCACTTCGAGAATGAGTGTCAGGCGCTGCTTCTGACTAAAACTATGCGTCCCAATCCATTTCATCCTCGGAAGCTACAGCCTGAGGTTCGCCCCCATCATCTTCAACGGACTGTACTGTGTGATCCATGTCTACGCCATTGTCATCGTCTGATCCAAAGCCATTCGCATTCATCACATTCATGAACGCTCTCTCCTGTAACGCTGCATACGCGCGGGGTCCTTGAGTTTGCAGTTCGATCGTTTGGGTCCGGGTTCGTTTATGACGCCTTCGACCAGACGTACCCGTTTCATTGCCGGATTCCGAGCCACTAGTGAACAAATAATTTGCCTGCGTGATAGGCATAGGAGCTTCTGGCTTCTGGTTTGCTGTAAATTTTGCAGCGGGGACAAGAGTGCGCAGTTCCTCCCATTCTGGTTGGTATTCGACCCAGCTACGCCACCCGTCGGGCTCTGTGATGATGTTTTCAGAGTCGTCGAGGTCTGTGTCGTCTTCTTCGTCGCTTTTGGGCGTGTCATCCTTGACGGTCGGCTCGAGACCAAGGAGATTCCACAGCGAACGTTCTTCCTGTCGGCTAGCTTGGCGATCAAACGCCTCGAGGGTAAGAGTGTTGTTCTGGGGGTTTCCGGATGGAGACTCTAGGCGAGGAGATTGATGCATTTCATCGTCTAGAGACTCATCAGACTCTACATTATGGACTTCGAACTCTTCATCGCCTAGATCGTCGTCGGAAGTATCCAGAGCAAGTCGTTCCATAGGCAGAGGGGTCCCACTCCGTTTGGCTCTGAAATTGAAGGGTTCATCTTCGCCACCAGATGTCGCCCACGGGGTTTCTGTATCTGAGCGCTCGCTCACAGATTCTGCACGGTCCATGACACGTTCAACTTCGTCCCAAGGCACCTCTCTCTTCGATTTACCCTGATGACCAGGGGCATATTGCCCTGCGAAGACCCGTACACCACATCGCCTTGCAACACCTTTCCATCTCTCTTTTCCATCGCGTTTCATTCCGAGTATGTCGATGGCGGCCAATACATCTCTTTTTTTGACATAAGGTGAAAGCCCCTTCTTGGTTCGATGGCGCTGTGCTCGAAGACGTGAAGTAGCCTGTACGATGGCGGTCTGCATTAGGCGTTTAGTGACGGACAAAACGAGAGTGTGAAAATCGTTGAATGCAGTGCGATATATAGATGGTTCGGTAACAACGTCTGACACGTACTGAGACCAATGTGGCCAAGGAGATGGTATGGTCGAAGAGCGATTCATGAATAGGTTCTTGGAAAGCGTAAGCATCGCCTCAGGCTGGAGGAGACTCGCTTCTGGAATAGCCTCAAGTATATCTGGAGCTGATGCATCGCCAGCCTGTATCGGCGCATCTTTTTGGTCTTGTTCTTCGGATACTACTGGGGCCGAGTTGGTTCTGCGGATCATCGGTTTCTGGGCTTTGGGTGTCTTCTTTGGCGGATACACACAATTCTCGTTGCTGTAACGCACACAAGTACTGCACGGAGCTTTTCTATCACATTTGGCCTTTCGGTGCTTGCAAAATGTGCATGACCTATAACATCAGCACATTATATATCTTCAAATGGAGAGGAATACGTACCCAGCAACCCCTCTACGTGCAGGGTCTGGCTCACTCGCCGGCGTTGCCGAAGGGGCTCGCGAACGACCTCCGTTGACCGCATGCTCGATCTCTTCGGCTATCGTAGGTGTAATGAGCCAGTGTCGACCATATCTATCTTGCTCCTCTTTCTCCTCGAAAGACTCCTGGAACCATGCTAGAGCTTCGGCTGTAATGTCAAGCTGCTCGTTGCACTCCCTGCCGACCTCAATTGCAGCCGGGACATCGCGAAGGGTTACTCCTACATCGCCTTGCTTGGAGGCGGCGTCTTGAAGCAAAAGGAGCAACTCTCGTGTCTCTGGTACGCTCTTGGTGCCAATAGCCTTAGCAATGGCTGGCGTGTTGTCCTTCCCGAGCCGTTCTAGTGCTGCAAAGAGTGTTGCCTGCTCCTGCGCGGTCCATACAGATGCGCCAATTTGTGTGCTGTAGTGCTGAATGTCCTCGTTGGCTTGAAATCGCGAAGCTGCGTGGCTCACTTGCTCGTTGAAAAGCTCGCGGTAGGCATCATTGTACCGCCCTTCGAGATGGTACTTGCGAATTCGAGTGGGCTGAACAGACTCTAGTCGGCGTCGTTTCCGGGGAGTTAGGGGAGTGCGTGACTGGCGCCGCGAGAGAGGTCGCGCGTGACGTCTTGAATTATCGCTCGAAGATTCCTGAGATGATTCGACGTGTTTGTAATCTGATTCGGAGCTCATCGCGGGCGTTGCCGCAAACACGCCAGTTCTGCGCCCTCAGATGGGAGTACCGAGGCTACACGTGATCGTTGCGCGAAGAAATTCTCCATGATGGGCGATGAAGAGTCCCAAAAGTCTGGCGAAGTTCCCAGAAAACATTTAGGTGGGGCCGGCGCGGGGCTAGCGCGTCATGTCTTGTGCGTGACTTCGCGACACCTTCGCTCCTGCTTCATCGACGCTCCATGTTTCGTTCTGTCCAGCGTGTGCTGAGGTCGTCTGGGCGGGTAGGCTTCTACCCCGTCCGTGTGCCGTTGAGATACGCGTCAAAAGTGCAACAGACGCGCGCTGTCATCCAGCAAGCTCCACCACTGCCGCCACCAACCGCTGCTCCGTTGAAGATCACACTGCGGGAGTACCAGGAGGACTGCATCCAAGCAGTGCTCTCATACATCGATGCAGGTCATAAACGGCTTGGCGTGTCTCTAGCTACAGGTGCTGGGAAGACAGTCATCTTCACCCATCTCATCGACCGCGTCACTGCCGTTGGCGATGCCACCCAGACGCTCATCCTCGCCCATCGCCGCGAGCTGGTCGAACAAGCGGCCCGCCACTGTACCCGTGCCTATCCAGACAAGCATGTGGATATTGAACTGGGAAACCAACAGGCTTCCGGTGCTGCCGACATAACAGTCGCCTCAATCCAGAGCATCACGTCTGGAGACAGGCTGCAAAAGTTTGACCCTTCAAGGTACAAGCTGGTGCTCGTAGATGAAGCGCACCATATTGTTAGCCAAAAGTATCTTGATATGCTAGAGCATTTCGGGTTGAGGCATAGTACGGATTGGAACACGGTGCAGGTTCCTGCTTTGGTTGGCGTGTCAGCCACCTTCTCGCGCTTTGATGGAAAAAGGCTTGGGTCTGTTATTGATCACATCGTTTACCACCGGTGGGTACTTTCGACACCAGGTCAATATCTTAGCTGACTATCAAAGTGACTACGTTGATATGATAGAGGAAAACTGGCTTTCTGACGTCGTGTTTACCACTGTTGAGATGAAAGCCGACCTCACTAAGGTGGGTGCCAGCGTCAATGGCGATTTCCAAAGCGCAGCTCTTTCCCGGGTTATCAATACCGACGAGACAAATGAGCTTGTTATCAAGTCATGGCTAGCAAAGGCAAAGGGCCGCACTTCAACCCTCATTTTCTGTGTCGATTTGAGCCACGTCACCAACCTCACTGCAAGATTCCGAGAATATGGCATCAACGCCCAGTTCGTGACAGGCGATACGCCAGCAAAGATTCGCAGCGCGAGGATTGATGCTTTCCGTAACGAAGAATTTCCTGTGCTGCTGAATTGCGGAGTGTTTACTGAAGGCACCGACATCCCAAACATCGATTGTGTTCTTCTGGCCCGTCCGACCAAGTCCCGTAACATGCTCGTGCAGATGATCGGACGAGGCATGCGTCTCCACAAAGGCAAGGAAAATTGCCATATTATCGACATGGTCGCTGCATTGAGCAGTGGAGTTGTCTCGACGCCGACTCTTTTTGGTCTGGACCCGGCGGAGATGGTTGAGAAGGCAGACACGAAGACCTTAATAGCTCTGAAAGAGAGGAAGGAGTTCGAAAAGCAACGAGAGGAAGAAGCTGCCGAAATTAGAAATAGGACCATCATCACTAAGTTGCCTGGATCTGTCACTTTCACAGATTACGACTCCATCCACGATCTCATTGCGGACACAACTGGAGACAAGTATATTCGCAACCTCAGCCCGTATGCGTGGGTTGGTATTGGAGAAGGAAAGTTTGTCCTCTCAACCAACAGCGGGAATTACCTTATCATTGAGCCTTCTGGAGATGAGGAAGGCATGTTCAGAGCTAAATACTATTGGAAGATACCAGCAGACAAAAGAGTCAAAAACCCATATGGCACTCCTCGTGTTGTTGCTGAAGGGGAATCGTTTGAACACATTGTTCACGCGGCTGATACATACGCTCAAGACAAATTTGAACATATCTGGATTGCGAAAAATCAGCCTTGGCGTCGGAGTCCTGCATCACAGGCACAGGTTGACTTTTTGAACAAGTTCCGACCAAAGGAAGATATATTGAAGCCGAGGGATGTTACCAAAGGCAAAGCGGGTGATATGATCACCAGACTGAAACACGGAGTGAAGGGTCGATTTGACAAGGCTAGTTCGAAACAGAAAGGCGAAAACCGCTTGAAGAACCGCGCAGAGACTGTTCGCCAGCGTCTTCAAGGTCAAGTCAAAGTTGGGCCTCTGGAGCAAACCCAGTAGCTTCAAACGCGCAGTTTGGTACTGTAGAGGAGGCTAACTTCAATTTCTACCAACAAGCGTTTTTCCAAGATCGCAAGGGCGACCTGTCTATTGAGGCCCACGTTAGTCAGTCAGTCACAGCTAGAGACGTTGCTGGTAGTTGCGCGATCCTGCTTCGTGTCAAGTTATATTACTGAGAGCTATGAAGTGCTAGAAGTCTTCGGCAGTTCTACACTAGCCGCGGAGAAACGCCGTCGCAGGCCATCTATTTATCTGGACAACAACGGCTACGTTCCGTGCGATTCCCAGCGTGTTGATTTTCCGTCTCGACCCGTATAGCAGCTTCTCCGTGGCCATGAAGCACGCGAAAAAGCAAGCCTCGATGGTTGCAAGTCTGAGAAGGTTCATACGGTCCAGCCATTCAGTGGAGCGGCATATGACAACAGTAACTCGCAGACTTTCGCGCAGCGGGACAAGCATGAAAAGAAAACTATAGCGATCGTAGTCCTGTACCTAGCCTTTCAAAAAAGATGGAACGTCGAGTCTTCCATTGGCAATGGGCGTCTTTCTGTTGATGAAGAACTTTCGGGAGACGCTGCGGGAACCCCCACCTGGCGTGCAGTTGAAGGCTGTCCGGCCAGGAACATTATTCTAGCCGCATCGATAACGATGACCAACGCTATTCCTGAATTGGATCCCAAAGATAAGGATCTCGATACCAGATCAGCATATAAAATTCGGTTCTAGTTGTTGATAACTACTAGGATGATGACGGCATGCGGGATTTCGGCGCTTCTCCACACATCGTGTCAAGTTTCCGCGGATCATGGCTTCAAGGCTTGGCGTCAGGTTGCGTTTCTCCGCGATTCTCTGGGACGTGGGACGCACGGTAACGACCATGACGGAAGCCGTAGTGCGTAGGTGGATCTAACTTGTGCTGGAATGACTTGGCTTCTACAGTCTGGGTCAAGGCCGTTGGGTTCAAATCGATTTGCACTCGTTCTTCACAGCTTCGCCACTATCTCCTAGCTTTGTACTGCCCTCATCGCTTCATTGTCGTGAAGGACTGCGAGACAGTGCGATTCCATATTGGCATCGCTTTGTTCATTCTACATACACAGTTCAATTTCTGTACCTTATCATACTCGTAGTCATTTTCAAGCCATACCCTCCGAATACAACACACGATGAGCGACGTCGCAGCACAGGCCCAGGGAGTCCCTCTCCCTCCTCCCACTGAACTGCAACCACAATCTCACGCCGCCTCGACACCTGTACAACTACCACCAACACCACCTGAGACCGTGTATGACGAAGACAGCAAGTCTACAACATCAGATAAGCCAGATTTTGCGCTGCCACCACCATCCACAACACCGCCAAAAGTTCTCGATATCGACAAGCCAACACCAGATTCGCATGTCCCAAGAGATCCGAGATTGATTCGGTTGACGGGTGTTCATCCCTTCAATGTTGAGGCGCCACTGAGCGATCTTTACAACGAAGGCTTCCTGACGAGTCCGGAACTATTTTACGTCCGGAATCATGGTGCGGTACCGGAAGTGCAGGACAACGAGTGTTTGGACTGGGAGTTCTCGGTTGAAGGGTACGCATCCATTTGCCTTATTTCCGGCCTGAGATCACCGCTGATATTTGAGTAGCTTAGTAGCAAATCCGTTGAAGATCACACTACGGCAGTTGCTGGACGAGTACGAGAACGTGACGTATCCTGTCACACTAGTCTGCGCGGGCAACAGACGAAAAGAGCAGAACGTCGTCAGAAAGAGCAAGGGGTTTTCATGGGGCGCCGCTGGACTTTCGACAGCTTTATTTACGGGTGTTGTGATGAAAGATATAATTGAGCGAGCAAAGCCTCTACGAAGAGCGAAGTATGTTTGCATGGAAGGTGCGGACAAGCTGGTAAGTTTTCGTCTCAATATCGAGCACGTGAGACTGACTTTTGACAGCCTAACGGGTATTACGGCACATCTGTCAAGTTGAACTGGGTTATGGATCCTAATCGTGGCATCATGCTTGCGCACAAGATGAATGGCGAGATGCTGAGACCAGATCACGGGAAGCCTTTGCGAGCAGTCATTCCTGGTCAGATTGGTGGAAGAAGTGTGAAGTGGCTAAAGCGATTGATTGTTACAGCTGAGCCAAGTGACAACTGGTACCACATCTACGACAACCGAGTACTTCCGTAAGTGCGACTCTATGTGGATTGAGGCATCGATACTGACGAAGGGTAGCACAATGGTCGATCCGGACGAGGCAGCAAAGAACCCGAAGTGGTGGATGGACGATCGATATGCCATCTACGACTTGAGCCCTAACTCAGCGATCGCCTTTCCAGCACACGATGAGAAACTCGCTCTCAGCTCGGCACCAGAAACGTACAAAGTGCGTGGGTATGCTTACAGTGGAGGCGGACGCCGTGTAACGCGATGTGAGGTCTCTCTGGACAAGGGTAAAACCTGGCGTCTAGCAAACATCGATTATGCAGAGGACAAGTACCGTGCGTACGAAGACCGCCAACTCTACGGTGCCCGCCTGGATATGGACTGGCGTGAAGCGAGTTTCTGCTGGTGTTTCTGGAATCTCGACATTGCAGTTGCGGAACTCAAAGAGACAGACGATATCCTGATTCGAGCGATGGATGAGTCCATGTGCCTTCAGCCGAGAGACATGTATTGGAGCGTACTGGGCATGATGAACAATCTCTGGTACCGGATATGCATACATAAAGAGCAGGACGGGTCACTAAGATTTGAGCATCCAACTCAACCTGCTTTGATGCCTGGCGGTTGGATGGAGAGAGTCAAGAAGGCGGGTGGAAACCTGACGAACGGGTACTGGGGCGAGAAGATTAATGGCGAGGAAGCGGAGCATGCTGCCATCGAGGAAGTGAAGGAAATCAAGATGACAAAAGACGGCCTTGACAAGGAGATATCACTCGACGAACTGAAGCAGCACGAGGGTGCGGAGAATCCCTGGTTTGTCGTCAATGGTGAGGTGTACGACGGCACGGCGTTTCTGGAGAATCACCCAGGTGGCGCGCAAAGTATCGTCAGCGCTGCAGGTTTGGACTCTTCGGATGAGTTTATGGCAATTCGTAAGTTGTACTTCACTGATCTCGATAGTCTGTTTTCTAACACCAGACAGATAGCGAAACGGCCAAGGCAATGATGCCAGAGTATCACATTGGAAGCCTCGACGAAGCATCCCGCAAAATCCTTGGTGAGGGCGAGCCCGTCTCTGAATCTAGCGGACCGCGCCCCGTTTTCCTGGACTCAAGAGTATGGAACAAAAGCCTCCTCCACTCAAAGAAACAAGTCTCATGGGACACCCGCATCTTCACCTTCAAGCTCGACCACGACACGCAAACCCTTGGTCTGCCCACCGGTCAACATCTTATGATCCGGCTGCGCGATCCCGTCACCCGCGAAGCCATCATCCGCTCCTACACACCGATCTCCGAAACCACAAAGAAAGGTTACTGCGAAGTTCTCATCAAGATCTACGCAAAGACAGCAGGGCACGAAGGTGGGAAAATGACACGCGCCCTGGACTCCATACCCGTAGGTCACTGGGTGGATTTCAAGGGCCCGATTGGAAAGTTCGAGTACCGCGGACGCGGCCTCTGCCTTGTCAACAACAAGCCCCGCAACGTGAAGCGGTTCTTCATGATCTGCGGTGGGAGTGGCATAACGCCCATCTTCCAGGTCCTACGCGCTGTTATGCAGGATAAGGAGGATCCGACAACTTGTGTCCTGCTAGATGGGAACCGACTCGTGGAAGACATCCTGTGCAAAGAGGATTTGGACGTCTTCGCCAGGGAGAACACGGATAGGTTGAGGTTGTTGCACACACTTACACAGCCGCCGGAGGAGTGGTCGGGATTGAAGGGGCGCATCGGGGCACCGCTCCTGAAAGAACACTGTGTCAAGGAGGCAATGGAGGATAGTTTGGTGCTGGTTTGTGGGCCTGAGCCGCTGGAGAAGAGCGTCCAGGTTGCGTTGGGGGAGATGGGATGGCAGGATGACGAGTTGTTGTTCTTCTAGGGATCGAGCGCATATGGTTGCTCGGATGGCGTTGAAGCATTGGGACAATTGGCACGAAGGCATGGCGTTTTGGATTTCGGATTTCTTTTGGGGAGCACACCTTGGAATCTCATGGTACGAATTTCACGGCCACTTTTGTAAAGCAGAGCATTTCCTTTGATACAAATTCCATTGATTGATCAAGTCACCTCATCATTCTCACACAGAAGGCATTTCAACGAATGCTCAGTTCGAAACCTCCATCACAATCCACACGCATCATCGAGTTGTACAAACTCTCAGCCCCAGCCGTCAATCCTCCGACTCCTTATCTATGTGCCTACCAAACTACCATCTCTCCTCAAGCCACGCACATCATCTCGCACCTCTCATCCCGCCTTGCCAACACCCCGCACTACAGCCCCTACTAGCTCCGCAGTCGGAGACGCCAAAACGCGACTTTGCTTCTCCGTCAACAATCTCTCCTTCTTATCGCACCGCTAAAACGCTTGGCTAGATCGACTACGCGAGCCCCACCACGCCTCCTGCATGGTAATCAGGATCGCCCGTGCGCCACGTCTCCACACGCGCGTTGCAGCGTTCTCCACGGAGACAGCCAACGTGCTGGGTTAGCATTGCGAGGGCTGTGATTTGTGCGTGGTTTGCGGGTTGGCGAGACGCGATGATGTGTTTTTGTTACGCGCTGGGCTGCCTGGCGCGGCGCGGGGCAAGGTCGATGTGGGCTGCGTGCATGTGCATGGAACGCGAGGGTGGTTGTTGGGCCGCCGGTTCGTGTGGTTACGGGTGGGCGGGGGGCAGTTGTCGTGTGCCACGGAGTTGTTTGGTTCGAGATGAGGCGTGAGAGATATGATATCGGGTTGGTGTTTCTTGTATCTAGGGTTCTGTCTTTTGTAGCTCTTGCTCTCTTTCTTCTACACTGCGTTTCTGTTGTTGTGGAACAATTGTTACCTTTCTATCGCGGCGACGACTCAATGTGTGTTGCCACGGCTCGTTTCTAATATACGCAAGTTTTGCCACGCTCTTCTGCTGTTGCAATTGAGGTCCACGGCTTAGGAAGAGCCTTGTGCTTCCTCACCTAAATATGTCGGACGCAGTCCCCATCGTCACACCGGGCGTCGAGCCTGAGTCCATGGAGTCGCACTCCCCGCCAGGGAACCGCCATGTACACGGAACATGGGGGTCGAAAGACGGGAACATGTCGAACGCCGAGTGGAATGACCCAGAGGCGAACAAGCTGCCTGAAAAGGTAGCCGAGCTGGAGGAGAAGGGCGAGATCCATGACGATCATCCCCGCAAGAAGATTGTTGTAGTGGGGTTGGGTATGGTGGGCATTGCATTCATGTGGGTGTTTCCAAACAATCTGGCGAGGAATAAAGGACTGACGGAAACAGTGAGAAACTCATGAAGTACGATGTGAGGCGGAGAGAGTACGACGTAGTGGTGATTGGCGAGGAGAACCATCTTGCATACAACCGCGTTGGGTTGACGAGCTTTTTCCAACACCGTCAGGTTGAGAACCTGTATCTCAACCCGAAGGAATGGGTTAGTGAGGGAATCTCTCAGACACAGTATGATTACTGACTATTTCTGCAGTACGCGGGAATGCCAGAAGGAGCGCTGAGTTATCACCTCAACACTCTCGTCACGGAAATCAATGCGGAGGAAAAGAACGTAAAGACGTCTTCAGGCGAAACCGTTTCTTACGACATCCTCGTAATGGCCACTGGGTCCGATGCGCTTCTCCCCCGCCACACTCCCGGCCACGATGCGGAAGGTGTCTTCGTATACCGAACGATAGAAGATCTTGAGAGCCTTATTAAGTTTTCCGCAACACGGAAAGGTACAACTGGCGCCGTTGTAGGCGGTGGCTTGCTGGGTCTGGAAGCCGCCCATGCGATGATGGATCTCGAAGAGTTCGCCAAAGTAAAGCTTATCGAACGCAATCGATGGGTGCTTTCAAGACAATTGGACGGCGATGCGGGAGGCATGGTCGTTGAGCAAGTGCAAGCGTTGGGCCTGGACGTTATGCTGAGCAAGCGTGTTGGCAAGATTCTGACCGATGAGAAGAACTCCGTCAGGGGCGTGGTGTTTGAGGATGGCGAGGAGATGGAATGCTCATGCATTTGCTTTGCTGTGAGTAGAGAACATTATGCACGCAATGAAGGGAAGCTGACTTTGGCAGATCGGCATCAAAGCCCGCGACGAACTCGCTCGCAAATCAGGCATCAAGTGCGCAGACCGAGGAGGTGGTATCGTTGTAGGAGACGACCTTTCTACTTCCAAGTCGGACATCTACGCCATCGGTGAATGTGCAAGCTGGGAAAATCAGACCTTCGGTTTGATCGCCCCGGGAGTCGAGCAGGCGGACGTCCTCGCTTTCAACCTCACACAAGCCAAGGCCCATGTGCCACGGAAGTTCAAACGACCAGACCTAAGCACCAAACTCAAGCTCCTGGGCGTGGAAGTTGCCAGCTTCGGCGACTTCTTCGCCGACCGCGACGGTCCCAAAGATATGCCTGGGCGCACAAGGGCTGACAAGAAAGAGGCAAACGGTGCGAACGGGACAACGGCAAGAGAGAAAGTCAAGAACTTGACAAATGGGCCAGCTCCACACCCTGTCAAAGCCCTTACTTACAAAGATCCCTTCCAGCAGGTATACAAGAAGTTTCTGTTCACAGTGGACGGAAAGTACTTGCTGGGTGGTATGATGATCGGCGACACGAAAGATTATATCAAACTGGTGCCCATGGTCACAAAACAGAAGCCGCTTGAGATTCCTCCAAGTGAGCTGATCATCGGCGCGCAGAATGGCGAGGACGATGGTTCAGATCTGTAAGTGCTTGCCTACCTGAACATTTGCGGTGAAAAAGTCTAACGCAGTCATAGCTCGGGCGACACTCAAATCTGCTCATGCCACAACGTCACCAAAGACGATGTTGTGAACTCCGTCAAGGACGGAACTTGCAAGAGCATCGGCGACGTCAAGTCCTGCACAAAGGCTGGTACCGGATGTGGTGGCTGCATGCCCCTCGTGCAGACCATTTTCAACAAGACCATGGAGTCGATGGGCAACGAAGTCAAGAACAACCTTTGCCCACACTTTGACTACTCGCGCGCCGACTTGTTCAACATCATCTACGTCAAGAAGTTGACAGAATTTGCCGACGTCATGAAGGAGTGTGGAAAGGAGCCCGAGTCCACGGGCTGCGAAGCCTGCAAACCAACTGTTGGATCCATCGTCACCTCCTTGTTCAACAAGCATGTGCTCGATGTAGACAAACGCGGTCTGCAAGAAACCAACGACAGGTTCCTGGCCAACATCCAGCGAAACGGCACCTTCTCCGTCGTCCCTCGTGTATCTGGAGGAGAAATCACTCCAGAGAAGCTCATCATCATCGGCATGGTGGGCAAGAAGTACAACCTCTACACCAAGATCACGGGTGGTCAGCGTATCGACATGTTTGGTGCGCGCAAACAAGATCTTCCCGATATCTGGCAAGAGCTCATCGACGGTGGAATGGAGTCTGGACACGCATACGCGAAGTCTTTGAGGACAGTCAAGTCGTGTGTCGGAACTACCTGGTGCCGATTCGGTATCGGTGACAGTGTGGGTATGGCGGTACGCCTCGAGGAGCGATACAAGTCGATCCGTGGACCACACAAGATCAAGGGCGGAGTGTCGGGTTGCGTGCGTGAGTGTGCTGAGGCGCAGAACAAGGACTTCGGCCTGATCGCGACGGAGAAGGGCTACAACATCTTCGTAGGCGGCAACGGCGGTGCGAAGCCAAGGCACTCGGAGTTGCTGGCAAAGGACGTACCTCCGGACGATGTCGTCCCCATTCTCGACCGCTACCTCTCCTTCTACATCCGCACAGCCGACAAGCTGCAGCGAACAGCGCGCTGGATGGAGAACCTGCCCGGCGGCATCAAATACCTCCAAGAAGTCATTCTCGAGGACAAGCTCGGCATCTGCGCAGACCTCGAGAAGCAAATGGAAGATCTTGTCGGCACTTTCTTCTGCGAGTGGACCGAGGTCCTCAAAGACCCCCAAAAACGCGCCTGGTTCAACCAGTTCGCAAACACATCCGAGAACATCAACGACACCATCGAGCCCACGAAGGAGCGTGGCCAAGAGCGCCCAAGTTACTGGCCCAAGGACTCCGTCACAGAGGACTTCAAGGGCCACAAATGGACCGACCTCGCCTGGCAGCCGATGGTCAAGGCCGAGGAGTTCAAAGACGCGCCAACCGGCGACTCAAAGGCCATCAAGCGCGGCGACACCCAGCTCGCCGTCTTCAAGGTCCGCGGCAAGTACTACTGCACGCAGCAAATGTGCCCGCACAAGCGGGCCTTTGTCCTCAGCGACGGTCTCATCGGCGACGACATCGAAAACAACAAACTCTGGATCTCGTGCCCGAACCACAAGCGTAACTTCGAGCTCAGCGGCGAGCAGGCCGGGCGCTGCGCAAACGACGAGTCAGTCAACATTGCCACTTTCCCCATCGAGGAGCGCGACGACGGCTGGCTGTACGTCAAGCTGCCGAGCATCGAGGAACTGGACAGCGTGTTGGGCACAGAGAAGTTCAAGATCAAGAAGAGTGAGACGGAGGATCCGTTCGTCGCCTTGGACAAGAAGCTGGAGAGTCTGAAGTTGAAGGGCCGCAAGGGGTTCCAAGTCAGTCACCTCGAGGGCGGGCTGGGAGAGAAAGCAAAGGCTGCCATGATTCTCGCGGGTGGGGAGAAGGGGGCTGGAGGCTTGGACTGGTGAGCTCTCATCTGCCATGTGTTGGATTAAGAGGATATGTCATGATGGGCATTGCATGTGGCGTTTTGGCGCGTGGATATATAAGACTTGTAAAGATTCCCATGACTGTAAATGAACACGTACTTCAATTTCTCTCCAATTGAGCATAAGCATTGTATCGATGTGGGTTGTTGCGCAAGCTTTGGTCGTTGACACTGGGCAGTTTGTTGATGTGGTACTGGAACGTTTCGGATCGCTGGCATGGAGCTATACCGATAGGCCGACGTAGTGTTGAGGTGTAAGCCCTGGAAGCGTCGGTCGTTCGACATCCACATGACAGTCACGTCAGTTACCATGCGACTAGGTCGTAGGAACGCCTGGTCATAGCTCGAATGTAACTGTAAAGTCCTTCAAGTGGCTCTTGTGACAAGTCTCGACCCAACAGTTTGCGTACAAGTTTTCCTTTTCCAGACATCTATGTCCTCTTCCGGAACATAATCTTGATCATTCTAGTCTATGTGTATTGATCACCGCCACAATGGCAATCATACTTGTATCTTACCCGTCATTAAAGATCGATATATGTTGGCACCCGTGGGAAGTGGCAGTGTGACACGCCTTGGACTAGCACAAGAACGTTACGGAAGATACCGGATTTACATATCTGACTTATGTTGGGAATGTCTTCCGACCCAGTCGTGGGGTGTATAAATGGCATACGTAGCGTTCGACAGGATTGTTTGGTACGTTCAAGCGGTGTGCAAGGATACCAAGGTTACTCTCTGCCCGTGCAATATAGTGTTTGACGAGAGAGAGTTTGTCGCGTGTCTGGTATTTGCTTAGCCTTGGACTGCGCCTTGTAGTGAGGACTGGCATATCACCCTGGCACTGTTAGCGTGTGCTGGCAGCTGAGCCATGGTAAGACAAGCGCCCTCAATATCTCAAAAGTTGGGGTCAAAAGAAGCGTTTGATGTACATGCGCTAGGTTTCGACTTTCTGCTAGTCTTCGGGAGCAAGAACCGATGTCGTCTCCGATCGCAAGGGACGCGGACATCGAAGACCGCAGTGCTAAGATGTCAGTTCCCGACCAGTCGCTGCACACCGCTCAACAAGTCGGTTACTTGGTCTAGTCACTGTGATACGTAACGACACCTCCATGATTCGTGCCCGATTGTCTCTGTTGTGTCATCAGTACGCCTCGTTTCGTTCAATCAACAACAGGCGGGGGTCTGGGAGGCAAGCTCATCACTTGACGTGGTGTTGCCTAAACAGGACGGGGTTTAGGACGTGGAACGTTATGATGAACAGTGGTTGGATGGTCACTGTTGGGATCCTCGCCAGCGGTTGGGTTGTGGCTTCAGCAGCAAACATTTTATGTGCGACGACCGGTGACAACCGTTGAGGTCACGGATGGTTTGAGCTGAGGCGGAGCATGATGAGACTCACAAATCTTGAAGATATAAAGAGGTCTAGGAGCCGTTCAATTGAAGTTCTGTTCTGCTCTTGTACATCAGCATCAATACCTGCTCCCCTTCAACTTACAAGCTCTTATTGCCCACACATTCTTTGACAGTCGCAGTCCATCCATGGATCCTCCGCTGAAGGTCTACTTTAGGCACAACAAGGTCATCCCGGTGTCCTCCGAATCATTCTATAGATGGATACCCGTGGGCCAGGTTATGCCTTACAGCCCGGTCGACGCAGAATACTTCGTCGAACATGTCTACAGCTATTTTGGCTTCAGCTATAGCATTCGAAAGGCCGAAGTCCGCGATGCCCTGGAATCCTTTTTCGAATGCTTGAGAAAACAGACCCATTATATGCTTAGCGAGACTCGCCAGCACGTGGCCGACCACTTGGACACACAACTGACCACCGAGCTCGCAAGTACCAGCAGGTGGGGTACCGACCTGATCCGTACGAGACATCGGTTTGTCATACTCTCCTACTTTGCGAGCATGACAAGTTCCAAACTCCTCGCACAAGCTCTTTTCAAGTTTGGCTTGAGCAACCTACATACGATCCTGCAAAGCGACCAACCCGACTATATCTCCTCAGAGTGGCAACCTGCCACGAAAAACATGCGAGATCTCGTTCCCGCCGAGATGTACCACACACTCATACATGGGTTCTCGCATAAGAACCATCACATGTGGGATTGGAATCGCGGTCGAGCGGTGCAGAGACTAGCTCCACCCATGTTTGAGCACAGGGCCCTTTCAGCACCTGCAAGACGTCGTTCCCGCACGCCGAATTTCCAGTTGGTCCCATTTCAACATGCGATGATGGCACGGACGCCCCCAATGATGTCGCCAATGCGTGTGATCGAGCCCAGTCCGTACGATGAGGTCGGCGCCTTGCAGTGGCAGCAGGAAGAGATGGCCGCCCAACTAGAGAATCTACGGCGCGATGTTGATGAAGTCAAAGAGGCCAGTTGGTGGTGATCATCTTTTTGCTATGAGTACGTCCAGATTCAAAGCGGAGTTCAGCGAGGATTAGAAACTTCATGTTCTTTTCCTGCATGGCCTTCGTCGCTGCATGTTCTAGCGTCATTGTATTTCATTTCATGATTGGAAACGCTGTATTTCGTCAACACCTCTTCCTACGACCATCGATTTTCGCTCGTTATAATTCACTCGAATCGTTTCGTCAGTGCAGCTGGAAGATGGGAAGAGTCGTATAGGTTGTGAGGTTGAATCTTCGTACTTAGTTTCATGGCCTGTGTACTTTCAGTTCTCACACTCGTTGTATCTTCGGTTGCAACGATACTTTGCGTCTGTATTCAAATGAACTTGTCAGTCGAATTCTAGATCCTGTGAATATTTGTTGATATGTACTGGCCATGTCGTCTTTTCTCGCAAATCGGGTATGTCTCGAAAGAGGGATGTGATTTGAAAAATGATGCGTTCCCAAGTCGTCGATATCATGCGCCTTACGCCTCGCTAATCCAGTTAAAATAAGCTCGTCATGCCCAAACAAACCTCTTCTCTCTTCACCTCAAGTAGTGTATGACTAGCCAGCAGAAGGCGAAGAACACCACAACTCCGATCCAGAACACCCACTTGTCCTGCTTCGCCCGCCGCTCTACCATCCGAATGGTGTCACCACTGATGCCTAACGTGTTCGCCACGCTATATAACCGCCTTTGTGTGCCTTTCAACATCTCCCTCTGCTGTCCCAGGTCTCCTAGCACTGTTCTTCCTCGATCAAGAAATTCGTCAAGTTGCGTGGACGTCTGAGCGAAGAAGTTTTGCTCGCGCATGACATGTCCTTCACGATCGTAATCTCCACCTTGTGGGGCACCAGCAGAATATGGATTGGGTCGGTACGGTGCGGATGGATTGTGCGGCTGGGTAGGGGCGAAGGGCGAGTATTGGGCAGCGCTAGGATTGGGCAGCGAGTAGGGATTCTCCGGCGTGGCAGCGTGATGTGGTCGTCGACCCAGTAATTCTGTGCGCGCGGCTGTTGTTTGCTACACCTTGTGTAAGCGGTGTTATTCTCATAGTTTTGTCCCACGCCAGACCGCATGCGCCAGCCAACAAATACGAGGAGGGGTGACATACAACGTCCTCATTCACGCTCTTTATCCTCTTGAAGCTCTCTCTGTATTCGTCTAGCTCGCTCCTGAAGTTCTTCAATCTCTCGATGGCCTTTTCTTGCTTAGTCTGCACAGGCTCATGCTTCGCGAGCTTGGTGTAGTCGTCGATAGTGCGTGCGAATGACGTTAGCGAAGCGTTGAGCTGCGCTTGCAAGTGTGGTGAGGGCGATGCGGTGTCGGCGAACTGATCCAGATCTTTGCGAATGCTAGTCGACTGCCGTAGGGCAGAGTTGAATAGGGCGTTCTGTTTGCGACGTTAGCTGAGTGCTTGTGCAAGAGTAATTGGAGCACGCAAACCATATCGGAATATTGTGCGCAACCGGAGTCCCGCAGTAAGTGTGGTAACTTTTGACGAGATGGAAGTAAGTAGTGAGCGCAACTTTTGGTGTCGAGTTACATAGACACCTGGTAGGCAGATTTCTTGTGTACTTGACAGCTTGCATCATCACGAACTTCGATGCTCGTGAACGCCAAGATACGCTAGTCCTATATAGAGATTGGCTTCAAGCTCATGTCTTTTCATTCATCTCGCCTTGCTCCCTCACATTTTCTTTATCGAACGTTTCGAAGTGTATCGTTATTATTGTTCGTGTTTTCGAAATACAGACTCACCTCTCTGGCCATCTGGATCCGTCCCCACGGCTCCTGCGTATTTCATTTGCCGTCCACCTAGACAATGCGTCTACGCCAAAGGATCAACACTTGTACAGCCGCGATTCCTAGCCGAATATCAGTCGCAGTGTCAGAGGGCCCTCTAGAAAACCTCATGGAGCTTCTTTCATCGTAAACTTGACGTCGTCCTGCCTTATGCGCCTTCCGCTTCGGGTAATCACCTACCTGGTCCTAATCCTTGTCCTGGCAGTCTAGAGATGCCGAGCCGCCAATAGAGCAGAATTCACAATCTTCCGGAACCCATTTCCACGGCAGACCTGGCATGCTAACTCGTAATGGAAGCTCAATCAGTGTCTTGTTCTGTAAATGTGCTTGGGCGTCCCAATGCTCCATATAATGACGCTTATCTGAAATGATAATGGATATCATATAAAGAGAAGAGAGGAGAAGTGTACTCATTGCGTCAGTCAGTCCTCGCGCATAACCGTTATAATGCATCTCCACGCAGCATTCTTTACCTCAGTGCTAGCAACAGCATGTGCACACGACGTTCTCTTCGGGCGTGATTTGCCTCCTCCGATTGCTGTAAACACGGATAGTTACACTTCTTGCGCAAACGCGGCATGGCCCCCTTCTCCAATTGGAGCCGAGCTGGTTCCCCAATCGCCAGACGACGAACTCAAGACGATGGTGGATGAGATCAGTGCGGCAAACGTTGAAGCCATCATAACCAAACTTGTCTCCTTTGGCACTCGTCACACCCTGAGCACGCAGAACAGTACAACCCAGGGAATAGGTGCCGCAAAGAATTGGATAGCACAGCAAATGAAGGGGTTTGCTGAGACTAGTGATGGAAGAATGACAGTGAGCGTGGAAGGATATATTCAAGGCATTGCGAGCCGGATACCTTTTCCGACTAGAATCGACAATGTGCTGGCGACTATCAAGGGAAGCGAGGAATCTGAGAGGGTGTACGTTATGACGGGTCACTATGACAGTCGAGTTACCGATGTACTGGACTACACTTCGGATGCTCCGGGGGCAAACGACGATGCCAGCGGTGTTGCCGGTAAGTTTACATGCCCCATAAAGTTACCGAATCTGACTGTCACTAGTTGCAATGGAACTTGCCCGTATACTAGCAACCCGGAAACCGAAAGCAACAATAATCCTCGGCACTGTAGCTGGCGAAGAGCAAGGCCTCTATGGTTCAACTTTCCTCGCCCAGACTCTGAAAAATTCAAGCACGAACGTAGAAGGCATGCTGAACTGCGACATTGTTGGCTCCTCTACCGGGGATCGCGGCCAGAGAGACCCATACACAGTCCGCGTACTTGCCCAAGGACCTCCGCTATCGGAAACAAACAGAACAGCAGCTCTACGACTCCAGATTGGCGGCGAGAACGACAGTCCAGCAAGAGAACTGGCTCGTTTTTCTGCCGAAGTCGCTGCTAACAACGCCACTGGCATGAACATCGCCCTGATCTATCGTCTTGATCGCTTTCTCCGTGGAGGCGACCATTCGCCTTTCCTCCAGGCCGGCTACCCCGCTGTCCGCTACACAGAACCGAATGAGAATTTCAACCACCAGCACCAAGACGTGCGAACTGAGAATGGTACCGTGTACGGCGACTTGATCGAATTCGTCGACTTTGACTTCACGGCACGTGTTGCCAAGGTTAATCTTGCAACGATCTGGTCGTTGTCGCAAGCTCCGGGACTGGTCCGTAACCTTACTGTCGATACCACGGTTTTGGATAATGACACCCGGCTCAAGTGGATTGTGTCGAACAGCACTAGCGTGTCCAGTTACGAGGTTGTATGGCGCTCCACCATAGCACCTTTCTGGTCGCATATGTTGGATGTCGGAAAGGTGGGCAGTGTCACATTGCCGCTGAGCAAGGATAATGTGATCTTTGGTGTGCGAGCTGTGGGAACGAATGGGTACAAAAGCCCAGCTTCGTATCCATTCCCCGGATAGATAGAATAGGGAACGATTGTTGTTGGTATGATACACAATGCAGACTCATTACCGAGTTCAGCTGAAGACGTTCATACCACTTGAGTTTGCTCCTAACCTATGTTCCAAGACTACAGTGTTAACAATAACTAGCGCAGACTACTGCTACTCACGCCACAAACGACTGACAAGTTTTACATGACATTCACTATTAGCAGTCATATCGATTAGGTGCGTCAATAAACAAAACTAAAACAAGAATAACACATATTAACGATCTTCCTGGCCGTCCTTTCCCAAACAATCACTGACCGTCTCTCCTAATCAATAAGTCAAACTCACACAACGTCCCTCCCATCCCCCCTCAACGACACACTTTTTGAAGATCCACTCCCCAACATCCTTCCTCCCCACACTATACCCCAGCATTGGCCCCAATTCCTTTACTCCATCCCTGGCCTCATCCAACCCCCACTCCCACCCCGCCTTCACACTCTGCGCCCCTTTCGGCTCACTATCCGTCAACAAAGTCGGCCTCACAATCACGAAATCCCTCACATGTCCCCCCCGATCCGCAAACAGCAACTCCTCAGACTTCTTCTTATCCTCATGCGGAACATGCAGCAACCAACGATACAGCGGCCACAACGCGAACGGCACATCTCTCTTCTTGTTACTCAAGCCCGTCGTAGAAATAAACAAAAACAGCGGTTTGCGTCCGTCAACAGCGCTGCTAATGTTCTGCTCGCGCAGGACTTCGAGCGCGGAGAAGATCGTGGTCGTGCAGTCGAAGCAGATAGACATGTCAGTGAGCGTAATGGGGTTGAGGAGGGAGACTTGGAATTTAGGCAGGCTGCCGATGCCGGAGAAGATTGTTGAGACGAGGTGGGTGGGGGAGAGGGGGGAGATAAGGGTTTTTGCTACGGCGGGGATGTCTTTTGCGTGGCCAGGGATGATGGTTAGGTTCGTGGTGAGGAGCGAGGCGTCGAGTTTGTGCTCGCTTGTGAGCATCGAGTGCAGCTTCTCGGGCGTGCGTGCTACTGGGGGGATGTTAGTGAAGGTTGCTTTCCGGGTTGTGATGGGTTGGTGGGGACGTACGAGCTGTGCAGTGGTATCCTGAACGTAGAGCGTGGGCGAGGGCGGAGCAGGCGGTGCCGCCTGTAGCGCCGAAGAATGCGATTGTTGCATTGGGGACCGACATATTTTATGATATGAGTCTGTTGGAATTGGCTGTGTAGCAAGATGGGAAGGTGGATGGTCGCTGGTTGAACTGTAGAAGATTGTTGTCTGAGATGGAAAGACGAGAGGGTGCTGGAGTGCTCTTATTTGTCTTCTGTAATGCAGTCTCTATCGTCCGTCCAGCCAAGTCTCTTATGCATCTGCGCCATGTTCTGACTTGACCTCTTCTCATGGGGCTGGTCTTCGGGCTCTTGCAGACCAATTTTCCATTTCCTCTCTTGACGGGGTATCTGCTGTTGAAATCGGAGCATGTTCACTATCAAAACACGATTCCGCAACAATAAATGTGACTTCGTGGTGTTTTGAGAACAACTATTCACCCGCACGGAGGGATTGTTAGCCCGCCTCTAACCAATTGCGTCCTTAGTGGCTCTCGTGGAGGAACCGGTCGCATCAGGCATCCCAACCCACACATAAGCCTCCTCGCAACGCATGCGTGTCTTGCTGACAGCTGCAGCCTGGCATCCCATACAAGGTTAGGCAGCTGTCTACGCCCAGCTTTACGATTGTCGATTGAGTATGTGGAAAATCGTAGGTGTTATTCGAGGCTCGGTGCAGACTAGGCCAGGTATTATCGTCTCCCAGATCATGATGTGTAATGCTATGAATGTAATAGTATAATGTGATCGTTTGCAGAGGGAAGAGCTGCACGTAGATATTAGATGCAGAAATAATTGAAAATGGGCAGGTATCGATACTTCACTACATGGTCTAAATTAACTCTCTATTGTCATATCTCCTTGGGTTGACGCTGGCCACGAACGTGAGGCAACGACCATCAATAGCCTCGCTTGTTTACTCCAACAAATGCATACCCATAACGTGAATATCGCTCCGTTCTATCCACCGTCCAGTCAGCCAAACCGGTCCCCCAGTCCACTCATAGATGCCCCTGTCCTTCATGGCTACCTTTGCCATGACCCTCCGACTTGCCAGGTTCTCGTCGTTCACAATAGCTCTTACGTATACCTTCTCGTATGGCGCCCAGAACGACTTGTTCGTCCTACCCGCCTCAAACACCGCATTCACCGCCTCAGTCGCATAACCTTTACCCCACCCTTTAGGTAAGAATTGATACACAAGCTCGGTGGTCAAAGTCGTCGCCGCGGCAGAAGCTGGGAGCGTGAGATCTTCCGGTAAGGGCAGACTGCCAGGTCCACAAGCCTTGAGGGTCACCAGGCCAATGAACTGTGTCGTCTGATCTTGAGAATCAGAAGTTGGCGGGAGAATCTCATGGACTGCATATGCGATTATGTAGTCCTCGTCTGCCGGAAGACATGTGTTTGCGAATTTCTCTGTGTCTTCTAGGGATTTTGAGTTGCCGTTGATGCTTGGAAGAATTAGCCTCTAATCAAATCAGACTTGAATGGAATGAGGAAGTGCATGCGCTAGCTTACCTCCACCACGTAGATTCCACGTCACTTCGTAATTCATGGAGCCATGCAAGCTCTGGGCTCCCTCTTTCTACCGTCGTGATCAACGTCAAATTTAGCCGCGGTGTGGAGATTGTTGGATCCATCTGTGCTGCGATCCGGTGTGCTCTTTGTGTTCTTGTTGTGTGGCGGGGTAGTTTTTATATCCTCGAGGTGGCAGATCGCAGGAGTTGTACGGGACGCCTGATTTCTCAGATGTAAGAGGAAGGGCGCGATAACAACATTTCAATATTCGTATGAAGGGCGTGTTGATAAAAAAAAGCCTCAGATAGAGTGTTTGAGCCAAGTCGTTTGAAGAGCGTGAAAACTTAGGTATTATCGATGATGCACTACCATCCGTAAAAACCCCCGCCATTTTCTGATGCTACACATAGCGGCCCCCTGGCATGACATGACATGACTTTGCAGTAATTTCCGGTCGCGATATATCGCCAATATTCAAGGTACTGCCTGTCTGAGGTAGATCGAATTGTCATGGAAAGAGAGGTGTACGTTCTGCTATGCAAGTTGGATGACGATAGCTTGCACTGGGGTTCCGATAGAAAAGTCACGCGCTCTATGTTAAAGTCACCCGGCAAGCTGTGTTTTCAAACATCGAGGTTTCTGTGTTTTCTACTGTGGCAGCTCTGATATCTAGTTGAGCGCCATGTCTAACGATGGGCTACTAACAAAGACAAACGCATGTCTATGAAGACAATGGCAACGATAATAACAAGTAAAACATGGAAGGTATACAGCAACCCAAAAATCAGCCAAGCGCTGCATGGTATGCAACGCTCTAAACAAAACCTAACTCCGTATAAGTCATGAATCATCAAGGTTCAAACGTCCACATTATCCCTGACCCGCATAGGATGCTGTGTATACTCTCTTCCATCGTAATCATTGTCGCTTTCATCGTCCTCTTCTCCGTCCACAGTGATCTCAATGTTGTTATAACTGATGCTCGATCTTCTAGTCTCTTCGTGTTCTTCGCGCGGCACCGCAAGTCCAAGACCCAAAGGCGACGTCGGGGTATTTTGGTAGGAGAAGTCGTGATTCGTGACGCTACCTAGATCCGGACTCTGCACAATCCGAGGTGTAGCCACGAAGTTCTGCGCAGTCGGTGGAGAAGAGTAAGGTTCGTACGCGGTGTTGACTTGCTGGAGGGGTGCTGAATTGGGTGCTGGGGTAGATAACGGGCTGGGGTACTTGGAGATGAGACCAGCGCTACCTGGATCGTCATGGACTGTTATTCCGCCCCAGGAGTCCCCACGTTGGTGCGATGCGCGACGAGCAGTGTGATGTGAAATGGCGAGAAGGAAGTTATCGAGGATCAACACTGGAAACATGTTAGCTATACCGTTTTTTCTCGCTCAGGATCGCAAGGTCTTACCACCGACAAACAACATTACAACTATCGGGATAGCCCAATGTGACGCTACGAACTTGAACCCAGAGGTCGATTGGTTCCCAAGCACAGCCACCACACCCACGATGAGTAGCGTGAAGCCGACAACCACCCTGTTGATCATCTCGCCGAACTCAACCTTCGTCTTGTGCAGCTTGTTGAACCAATACATCACAGCGAGCACAATCAGCATCGCACCAGCGCCAGCGTAGAACTGCGTGACTGTGACGTTGAAAACGCCGTAGACGGCTTCCAGTGTCTTATAGCGACTCGTAGAGGGAGCAGTGACAGCGTTGAGTTTTGCCAATGTATCGGCGTGTGCTTCAAAAACGAAGATCTGTGCGTTGGTGAAGATGTAGTTGACGAGGCTGCCGGTTTTGTTGTTCCACTCATCAGAGCCAAAGCCATATGAAGCTGTGTAGTTCTCGATAGCGGTGAAGTTGCTTTCCCACTTGTATGTATCGTTCCAGTATTTGCTTGTAAATTGCGCGTTGATGCTGTACATACTCTTGTTGAGGTGACTGAGGAAGGCGGCGGTGTCTTCGAAACCCGCAGCTGGGTCGGAGTAGTCGCTTGGTTCCATACTCCATATCCATTTCAAGGCTTGAACTGCAGAGTTCCAAACGATGAGAGAGGTATTACCTTCTACGCATATGAGGATTGCCATGTGCAGGGGGTAATGGAGGAGAGACCAGATTTGCTGACGAACTGTGCCGAAACGATCGCTGGACAGTTGATCGAAGTAAAGCATCCACAGGATGTACTGCACAATGTATCAGCGGGTCTGTTCATGACCAAAAGACTGGCGGGCGACTTACTAGCAAAAGAACAGCAGCTCCCACCGTTCCAAACTCTCTCAGATTATTACTCGTCTGCCCTTTCGTTATACATGCTATGCTTTTGACCACACCAATTATACCCTCGCCGATGATGATTAGAGTCAGAAGCTGGAGTCTCTCCACCAGATGAGTGTACTTGAAGCTGACGATGCGCCAGGTCATGGCAATGAGAAAGATCAGCAGGCCTTCTACTATGGAGATGATGAACCTAGTTTACATTGTTAGTTACACTGGAACAGTAGGTCGAAGGAACCTAGGGACTCACCAAGTAACCTGTTCCGGCAAACCGACAGGCCCCACAGGGAAGACCAATAACGTGACCATATAACCTACAGCGGCACTGATATGAACCAAGGTGCTCAGCCCCAGCGGCAATAGAGTCGATTTGAACAATCGTCCCTGCCACATGACTACTGCATACTGTACTGAGATCGCGACTCTGCTCACAATCAAGACGATCGCGAAGTCCTTGTATGACTTTGAGACCCCACTCTTGCTGTATTTGTCGTAAACTGGGCCGGCAAAAACGAACCCTGCGAAGACACCGAACTGTATAGCCTTGTGCAAGCGATTCCAAACACAGTCGATATTGAATCGTACGTCGAAGAGTGTAGTGCTGAGCCAGGTAAACCACAAGAGGGTAAACAATTTGAGGTAGTTGATCAGCGCTGACAAATATTAGTTACACACATGTGAAAATGCGGTGGGGGCGGAAGCTTACACTCAGCGTCTGTATGCTGGTGCATAGCCGTGAAGTATGCTGCGAATACGTCAGTGAATTGATCATTATATCCTGGAAGTTTTCAACGTACCTAGATTCGCAACAAAGAACAGATCGTAGAACAACTCGATCGTGCTAGCCTCATGATGCTCTTTGTATATGATGACGTTCCCACTGCTTGTTCTCCCGTTGCCTACGAACGTTGTGGTGGCATCAGAGCTATCGCCTGTACTCGTCGATGCGCTTCTCTTTTCAATGTCCGCAGAACTCATAGAAAGTCGTTCGTAGATGTTTTCATTGATCGGACTTAAAAGCAGCGGAAGAGGCTTTTTCACTCTGGCCTTTGGATTGCTGAGCTCCTCGGCCTCCGGGTGATGCTCATCTTTCCGTTTTGTGCTGAAATAGCGTGTGATATCCATGGTAGAGGGAAGGAATATCGTGACCAAAGATTCGAAGTGCTCTGATGTTTGGTTGTGGGTTGATTTAGTGGTGTAGATGGTGGAGGAAGTTCAAGGCCAAGATACAACTAAGTAGCTATGGGAAGCACTCAGAGATATATGCCAAGTACATACTAAAGGCTTATGCTACCGTGACATGATGGTTTAGTTACGAAGTTGGGTTCGAACGCAGTGAGATGATGCTCCCAAAATGGATCGTCTCAAACACGTTGTGCAAAGAGCGTAGCGTTCTAAGCACGTGCAAGGCCCCAGCCGTTTTCCATATATCATTGGATCATACTCTAGTAGACGCAAAAATAGACCAATAATATGTGGGTGATGTACGACGCATGTATGGAAGCTTCTGTTGTGTAAGTGGACGCCGCGTTGGTGTGCATGACAGGAGTCCCATTAAAGAGAGCGATGGACATGTTTGAGCTTCCAGTGTAACGCATTCGCGTACGCTGTTCGTCGTAGGTGTAGTTTTGCACTGCCGATTGAATAGTAGCTTGAGTCAAAGATAAGAAGTTTCCCGTTGTGCTGCAGGGCTGAGTAAGACCTTTCGTGATAGGGTTGTGCCAACTAGGCTGTGATGATGGTAAGCCACGCCTAAGATGGCAACATTTGGCGGGCATGATCCCCGGATGATTACCGAAAATCTGTATTGCATCGAGAGCGGATGCAGAACCGACCTACCCCGTACAACCGTAAGCTCCACGTATAGCAATCCCGAACACCATTTAGGCCATGCAGTTTGTTTTGTGGAATGCGAAAAAGATGCTTGTGTACATAGCAAGCTTACAGATTATTGCCACAATTGATGGTCGTAAGGCAACCAATGTTGTCGGTGGAAGGTTGATCGCCGTACGGTGTGGCAGTGGGGTGCGGATCTTGGAGGCCTGATGGGTTAGCGCATCTGATCATCGAATTGGAGTTCACTGCTAAGATGTGGAGTAAGCTTGGAACTTACAAGCCTTTGATCTCCATTGCCGGACCGCAGCATGTAGCGCGAAGTCCAAAATAAGACGCAGGCTAAGAGTGATCACAAAGGTAGTCGCATTTGGAAAGAAGGCTCGACGAGGACGGTGAGCGGTGATACTTGTTTGAGAAGGCTCACTAACTCGACTGTTACGCATCACTAGTCAAATTGAGCTTCGCATACGCACTTGCCAGATACAACAGCGAAATAAGACATGCCAACAAATCTGCTTCGTCCAGGGAAGATGCCTTGAGGAAGAGGCGTGAAGTTGAAAAAGTTTGCGACCATGATCTGATGTGAAGCCCAGTGAATATGAAGGTGACTAGAACGAAGCGGGCTACTAACATTTTTCATCTCCTTCGGGGTGTTTCAACATATTCACTTTCGCCTTCATCGTCTCCATCATCCTCATTGCTATCAGATGGATCATCGTTACCGGCCTCTTCGTAGTCGCCATCATCTTCGTCTTCCTCGTCGCCCTCATCGTCCTGATGTTGCCTATTTGTCTGTGTCCGCCGTGGTCTTGCCTCGTGGTCGACAATCGTCCTTTCACTTTCAACCTTCTTCACCATTGCTCGGACTCTTCCTTGCCTCCCTCTGCCCTCGAAATCTAACGTCCAGGTCAACTCCAGATTCGGTTGTCTCGGTGTATTGTCATCGACGACCCAACCATAAGGCTCCTTAAGCACAATCTTTGCCTGTAGAGTAAAGTATCCCCAACCAAGACGTCTCACTTCAAACGGTGGGTTTCGTAGAACAACGCGTGGAGGTCTAAACGTAGGGTGCTATGCTTCTGTCAGTACAGGAATTGGGGAAGGAATCAAAGTGAAACTGACCAGATTGATGCGCACTTCCTTCACTAGATCAGGCCGTGAAGTCCTCACGAAGAAAGTCCAGTCATGCTGGTTCGCGTCTTCTGTCCCTCTCTCCAACCTATGTCTGTTCCCAATCAATATCATAACTCCTTCTACGCCATCCTGACCCACTCGAGAGCCTCTCTCGACCTCTTCTTCGACCTTTCTTTCCGCATATGTCGTGGGGTACTTTCCTGCAAGCCGGCGAGCCAATGCTTTGTCCGGTGATGCATTTGTATGAGTCCTGCACATGGGACAATTCGCTTCGAGGTCGTAACTTGGGTCATAATTGGGGTCGAAGTCGGCGAGGTTCACGTCTAGGCTCGAGTGCTCAATGCGGTTTGTGGAGGAGACGTCTGCCCAATGCGCCATGCATGATGCGCAGAGGAGATGGTTACATTTCGTTCTCACAGGCGTGAAGAGGAGCAGCTGACAGATCTACCACAAGTCAAACACGACTGTTTGCACTTGTCTGTGGGGCAGATATGTCTTACAGGGCAGAGGTCATCGTGTGCGATTACTTCTGGAGTTGTGGCAGCTTCAGCCATTGTTGAAAGCAAGAGACACTCAGGTCGCAATTGTGAAGAAGGAAGGAGCCATGCGCTCGGTCGTCTAAAGAGGAAGGCAGCATTCTATAGAATTCGGGACTTTCGACTTTGGGTTGATCGTGAATCCATCAGGCATCAGCTTCGCGTGCACGGACTGGGCCCGCACGGCGGGGAAATGGCGAACGCCTTAAGATGGGGCTATAACCGCGGCTCCACCACGGTTTCCCCATGATGCGTTCCGATCCTACCGCCAATCTCCCGCGTTGGATTACCAGCAACGCCTTATGCAACTTCAGGCGTCTGATGCCAGGGTGGCTAACTCCACAGATCTGCCTTATGGGCAACGTGACATCGTCAACCACACTTACGAGATGGCGAACATGGAACTGCAAATACCCAGTAATGGCCTCGGAATACCTACATCCCAGTCACAGTCAAATGGGTACGCGTTTGGAAGTATCGAGGCCTCCTCAGAAGTCGCGGCGCTACCAAAAACAAAGAGGAACGTGGCAATGTGACCATGCACTTAGCAGTGTCTGACCCTGTCTAAAATAGCCAAAGCACGCATACAGATGCTTGTGCAAGGAAAAGACAAGGTATATTTTCCAGGCTTAAGCATGCATGTCAGCTTACACACATTGGCTTAATTGCTTGACCACTTAAGCTCTGGGGCGGATCTCCGGGATGAGCCTCGTTCAATCAAGACACCATAGTTCCCTACGCGTCCTGTGTGGTGCTGTACATTCTATGGCTCACTGAAACCTAATTAGAGACTTCGCCGAGACCAACAGCCACTCACGTCCTACGTACAGTTGCACAAGCTCGGAGCATCATCACCGAAAGGGGAAAGTGCGATACCCCTACACTGAAAGTCTCATGCATGGAAATCGCGAGGTCGAGATAACTGTCGTACTAACCTGACAGGGGCACCCGGAGATCAGCATGGTACTGTACCGATCAGTCAGCGGTGAGACGAAGAGATAAAGTTCAGGCCGCAGTTTCGCATTGTACTTTGGTATCTTTTCTATTCATCGATTACTTGGAACTATCATGATGGAGAAAAAGACACCAAGCAGCGCTGCGGATTATGCAACACCAGACATTTTGTCTGGAGACGTCGAACCCCAAGGTTTTGATGCTGCAGCTACAAAGAGGCTTCTTCGCAGACTGGATTGGCACATAATTCCGTTCATGTCTCTAATCTATCTGTGAGTACTTGACTCGTCGGCCAAATATACCAGAAGGCTCATGCTCGTCCCAGTCTCTGCTTTCTCGATCGCACCAATATTGGTAACGCACGTCTTGATCACCTTGAACAAGACCTCAAACTACACGGCATTCAGTACAATAATTGCCTCGCCATACTCTTCCCCTTCTACATCGCCGCTGAGATACCATCGAACATCATGATGAAGCGCACACGTCCCTCAGTCTGGCTTACCTTCATCATGTTCTTCTGGTCACTAGCGATGATTTGCCAGGGATTTGTATCTAACTACTCCGGACTGATGGCTACGCGTGTTTTCCTAGGCGTCTTTGAGGGCGGGCTGTTTCCCGGAGTCAACTACTATATCACACAATGGTATGTGCGAAACGAATGTGGCTTCCGTATGGCCATGTTCTTCTCAGCAGCGACATTAGCTGGGGCCTTTGGTGGTATCCTAGCGCGAGGAATCGCCGAGATGTCAGGCGTGGGTGGTAGAGCAGCATGGGCGTGGATTTTCATCCTGGAGGGGATATTGAGTATCTTGGTGTCGATGTCAGCTTATTGGTACATCCACGACTATCCAGCAACGTATGCACCTGTTCCCGTTTGTATAAGAATAGAAGCTGATAACTACAGTGCCCGCTTTCTGACGGACAAAGAGCGCAACGAGGTCCAGCGCCGTCTCCAAGCAGACCAAGGCCACCTATCCAACGAATTCAACATGAAATACGTCTGGCAAGCCATCAAAGACTGGAAGATATACATCCACATGCTGATCTGCATGGCGGGTTTCTGTCCAATCTATTCCTTCGCGCTCTTTCTGCCCACGATCATAAAGAACATGGGCTACACAGCCAACGAGGCACAACTCATGTCCGTCCCACCGTACGTGTGTGCCTGCTTCTTCACCATCGCCGCGAGTTGGTATGCGGATAGAGTGGGCAAGCGTGGCATATTCCTCATGACATTTCAATTGATTGCTATCGCTGGCTTTTCTATGCTCGCTGCAACTGCCAAGCCTAGTGTGCAGTATGCCGGGACTGTACTAGCAGCTATCGGTATATATCCACAGATACCATTGGGTATGGCATGGAACAGCTCGAATATCGGCGGCAGTCTCAAGCGTGGCACAGGTATCGCTATGCAGGTCATGGGAGGAAACTGTGGAGGCATCATCGCATCGTATGTGTACCTCAGCCGTGATGGTCCGAGATTCATCACAGGTCACAGCATCTTGATTGGATTCATCAGGTAAGTTGAGAAGGTTGAGGTTGAGGCATCATTTTCTGGCAAAACTAACAGTACGCAGCATGGCGTTCTTCCTGACGTTCTTCATGTCAACTTGGTGTCGACTGGAGAACACGAGACGGGACAAGAAGGTAGTCGAGTTGGCAGCTCAGGATTTGACCGAGGAGCAGAAGCGATCGGAGAGTGAGCTCGCCGATAGTGTGCCTTGGTTTAGGTATACCACCTAATGTGTGCCTCAACGGCTGCTACTTCATTTGGGATTTTCTCAGAATCACAATAGACTAGAACTAGCTTATTACAAACTGTAGAACAGTGCGCCTCATAAGGGCCACTCAAAGCTCAAGTTCATCTGAGCTGTAGATAGATTTGTGTGTGTGGCCTTTTGCCCAAGACTGCTGCTCAGAGTACTATAAGAGTATACATACAATCCAGCCTATTTCACCTTCTTGTTATACCCAAGCTTCTGAGCCTGGCTGAAGAGTTGCTCAGACCAAGGCATGTATAATCCCTCGCCAAAGTACATGTTCCTTTACAGTACCGAGGGATCGCGTGGAGGTCAGACGAAGAGAGTAAGAAAAGCGGTCGCCATCTCACTTCTCGAAAAGCTATGTAGTGGGAGGTCATCGTTGAAGGCGCACAACCGGAACATAAATCGAATATTTCGGATTCATTGCGCTTATTGTAGTAAGATCGAAAGAATACTAGCCCGGTATATATTATGGTCATGCGTACATGGAACATTCCAAACCCTTTTCGCAGCTCTACTCCTTCCCAGCTTCCTTCGGCCACATAAACAGAATATCCCCGCCTTTGACATTCGCTATTCCCAACGGATTGCCCTCCCCCTCACACCCATTCCCTACAATTTCATCGAACCCACATCGAAGGTAGAACTTTTCGTTCTCGTGACTTGCTATCACGCTCGCGTGGACATTCTCTTCCCTAGCCTTCTTCACGCCCCAATCCACAAGCTCGTAGCCGAAGCCCCGCTTCTGGAAAGCAGGATCAATGCAGCAGAGAGAAAGATACCAGTTGTTAGCACGAGGACCGTCCCAATGGTGTGCGAAATAAGGATACGAGTCTTGTAGAATGGTGCGTTTAGTGGGGTCAAGAGCGCGGTTTTCTGTAGACGGAAGAGGCAGGAAGACATCACCTGTACCAGCATTAGTATAACAAGTTGCGGTCGTTCCGAGGACACACGCACAGGGATCTGTCCACTCCTCCTGCACCTTCTTTGCGCCTTCATCACTACCCTGTCTTTCCCAGATGGCCACGCCTGAAATCTTCTCCTGCCCTTCTTCCATTGCAGTCGTCACAAGAATCCGGACTCGAGGATTTTTCCAATCATTGCGAACCCAGTCGTGCCAGAAGATCCTCATGTCCTCGGGGTACTCATGGCGATGGGGATGGATTGTAACGCCAAACAGCTCTTCGTTGAAGAACGCTGCGGTGCAGACAGAAACTATGGCGGATTCTTCCGAAGGCTGCGCTAGGCGGACAGGCATTTTTCAAACAGTAGGAAGATATGTGAGTATGAAAGGGTAGAGTAAGATAGAACAACGTAGAGTTCAAAATAAGACCGTCCCGTAACTCCGTTCGGCTAGTGTGCGGCATAGTAACCAAAAATTCGGTCCTTCAACTTCAAAACTCATCACACGAGCGCAAAAACAGGGGTCTTGCCGCGACTCGAACGCGGGGCCTCTCGCAAGTGTGCTCAGGAAGTACCCTAAGCGAGCTGGTCAAAGGTAAGTAGGAGCCATGAATGCTGAGTTGATACTGTTACTTACAATCATACCACTAGACCACAAGACCGAAGAATTAACCGATGACGTCACTCTCAAATTTGATAGAATTCAATCGTGCGACTTCTCCATTCTGTTCGGCGCGTGGGGAACTCTCAAAAAACGAGATTGGCCAGATGTAGGCTGAAGTCAAACCAGCTCGAGCCACATTGCAATTGTGTGTGTTCGCACCCTGACTCCGATATTCGCAACAACCTAGCGAGAGAACTTGGACAAAAATTGCAGTGTGCACGCACCTAAAATACCAGCAGATCTCTCCCACCTACTAGCTAGAATTGAAACGACAAGATGACCCAGACAGCTAAACCCGCTGTCGACATCCGACCCGCCATGTTTCCCAACGACAGGACCATTGTCGGAGAACTCTTCCTCGCATACGCGCAATCTCTTCCCATCAGTCTTGATTTCCAAAACTTCGAGCACGAACTAGCTGGACTTCCAGGGAAATACGCAGTAGGGAATGGCGGGGCATTGTATCTTGCGTACACCACATCCTCAACCGAACCATTCTCAGAGCAGGTGATAGGATGTGTAGCCATCCGCCCGTTCACACCACCAGAGTCTTGCGAGCTCAAGCGACTCTATCTGACGCCCGAATCACGAGGATTGGGCGTATCGAAGATTTTGATGGACGCTGCTTTGTGCAAAGCAAAGGAGCTGGGGTACAAAGAGATGCTGCTGGATACGCTGAGGAGTATGACGCCTGCGAGGAGGCTGTATGAAGGATATGGGTTTGTGGAGACCGAAGAGTACTACAAGAGTGTCGAAGACGCTGTCTTCTATCGGCTGGTTCTACGAGCAAACTACTGATTCCGTGAGATATTGCTCATAATCACGGACGCGTTTTTGGTGCTGCGAATGAAAGCCACGACGACTTGGGGAACCGTTAGACTACATCTGAAGCCTTGTTCAAGAGATCCGGAAGGACTGTAAAAACAACAAGTTAGACAACCAGCCACCGACAGCTCCAGATAATGGATGGCAGGTGTTAAAGTTGCTTGGCGTTGAAGCAATTAAAGTTTGCGGCGTGATTTCGCGCGTCGATGACGCATTCCATCTTTTCGCTTAGCGCGTCGCCATTTCGCGTCGCGACTGAGAGTAATCGTCGCCACATATGCCCCTGACGCTACCATTGATACTTCTGCCTCACAAATCTGTACATACCCGCTTGCTTGTCTTTTGTCGCGCAGTATGACCTCGTCTTCGGTTTCCAGCGCTATTTGTGAGCCCACGCCTGCGTCATCACCATCTCCAGCCGACATGGATACGGAGAACATATCGAAGTCGGTACTGGAGGAGGAAAAGCGCATGAAGTTGCAGCGCGAGAAAAATGACGCGAAACGCGACGCACAATTAGAGAAAGAGAGGCAAGAAGACCTCAAGAGCGGCAAAGAGGTGCTGGACAAGAAATTCCAGCAGCTGGAGTTTTTGATGAACAAGAGCAAGGTGCATATACCGTTCCTCATTCGATACGCATAATGTACTGACGAAACTTGTTTACAGCTCTACGCGACTGTCATGTTAGCGCAAATGCAGCGACAAGAAGATGAAGAAAAGGCGCAAGATGAAAAGACAGATGGCCTGGCTTCGAAACGCGAAAAGAACGCCGACAAGGCAGCTGTCGAATCTCAGCGACGTGCTACACGCGGTTCTGCAGCAAATGGCACATCCGAAGCTCGCAAACAAGAGGAAGATGCAGCGTTCAAGAAGAAGGGTCGAGGCAAGCCAAAAAAGCAGGATGCGAAAATTTCAGGCTATTTCAAGAAGGCGGACCTAGAGAAGAAGACGGACCAGAAAAATGTGGCAGACGCGCTGAAGGCAGCTGCGGACGAGGACAACGTGAAACCAGGCGATGTTGGTGTGCAAAACTTGAAGTCAGCGCGTCAACCGAAACTCGTAGTTGGAGGTACAATGCGATCATATCAGCTGGAGGGCTTAGAGTGGATGCTCTCCCTGTACGAGAATGGTATCAACGGCATCTTAGCGGACGAGATGGGCTTGGGTAAGACGATCCAGACCATAGCCATGCTTGCGCATCTGTGGGAGAACAAGTCCTATGGCCCCTTCCTAGTTGCAGCGCCCCTCAGTACAACTAGCAATTGGGTAGCCGAGTTTGAGAAGTGGACGCCGAGCATACCAGTCTTACTATACCACGGTGATAAGAAGGAACGCGAGAAGTTGCGGAGGACTAAGCTCAAGAGCCCAGGAACAGACCAATTCCCCGTCGTAGTCACAAGTTACGAGATCTGCATGAACGATCGCAAATACCTCACCGGCTTTGGTTGGCAGTTCATCATAATCGACGAAGGACATCGCATCAAGAACCTTGACTGCCGTTTAATTCGCGAACTCCAACAATTTCAATCCGCAAATCGTTTGCTCATCACGGGTACACCACTGCAGAACAACCTCACAGAATTGTGGTCTCTACTACACTTTCTTCTACCAACGGTGTTTGATAAGCTCTCCACATTTGAGAGCTGGTTCGATTTCTCGAGTCTGAAAGACAAGTCTAGTTATGAACAACTGTTATCTGAAGAGCGACAGCAGTACCTTGTCAAATCGCTCCACGCTGTTCTGAAGCCCTTTTTACTACGACGAGTCAAAACAGATGTCGAAAGCCTCATGCCTAAAAAGCGCGAGTATGTTCTCTACGCACCACTTACAACCATGCAACGCGAGTTGTATCAGGCTATTCTCGACGGCACTAGTCGGCCGTACCTCGAGGAGAGAGCAGTCGAGCGACTTAGCGTCGGGCTTGCAAGTAGAGCAGCAACACCTCTCAGCATTCACAGCAAGAATGGCAGCCGGAAACGCAAGAGCCCCTCAAGTGGTAATAGTACGCCCAACAAGAGCGCAAAATTATCGCGTGCGGGTACACCTGCATCTGTCGCCTCGAGACGTGGCCGTAGCAAGTCAAAGCGAAACTACGAGGAGGTCAGTGATGACGAGTATTTTGCCGAACTGGACAAGCCAGAAAGCGAGGATCTGGAGGAAGAGATAGAGTTGGACTCTGAAGCTGAAGAGGAGAGGATACGCGCTGCAACATTCGAGATAGCAAAGCGCCAACTTTTGCAGAAGAAGCTCGGTAACCCCATCATGCAGCTCCGCCTATGCTGTAACTCACCTTATAACTTCTTCAATCCTTTCCTCAAGGCCGACACGGATGATACCGAGACCTTTGCGTCCGAGACAGAACCTGACGAGACCCTTGTTTCCACATCCGGGAAGATGTTACTTCTTGACTCCCTTTTACCTGAGCTCCTACAACGAGGCCATAAGGTCCTCATTTTCTCCCAATTCACAACCATGCTCGATCTCCTCGGCCAATATCTTGATCTGCGCTCTTACAAGCACGCCCGTATCGACGGCTCAGTCGCGCAGTCCGACAGACAGGCTCAAATCCTCGCCTTCAACAAAGTCAACACTTCCAAGAACGCAACAAACGTCTTCATTCTATCCACCCGTGCCGGCGGTCAAGGCATCAATCTTGCCGCCGCAGATACCGTCATCTTGTTTGATTCTGACTGGAATCCACAACAAGATCTGCAGGCCATGGATCGCGCACATCGCATTGGACAAACGCGCAACGTCATTGTATATCGGTTCGCAACACGTAATACCGTGGAACAGAACCTCCTCGAATCTGCAGAAGCAAAACGACGACTAGAGAAACTCGTCATCCGGAAAGGCGGTGTCCGCAACGACAACGGAAAAGGGAAAGGTGTGGACAAAGAACAGGAGGTTGAAGAACTGCAGAAGCTGCTCCGGAGGAGCGATGGTGAGAAATTTGATATTGAGGGGGTTGAGACGGGGAAATTGCTGGGTGGTGAGGAGTTGGAGATCTTGTTGGATAGGAGTGATGAAGCGTATGAGAGAGCCGAGAAAGGGTTGGATGTTGGAGGCGAGGGGAAGGTGTTTCAGGCTGTGGGGAAGAGAGAGGAGGGTGCGCTCATGGAAGGGCTGAGGGCATGAGTAGGATGATTGGTGTCATGTATAGTCAAATACACTTGATGTTATCAGGCACACACTCAGGCATGTTGACGGTTTGAGATGAGATGAATTGCTCGAGCACAGTAAGTGGCTTTGTTTAGTCTGAATCACGGAACCAAGTATGGCTTATGAATTCTTCTAGATCACCACAGGCTACGAGACGACTCTTTGATAAGACGGCGTAAAGACCACGGCCACGCCTATTTCTTGTCCGCATCAATGAAATCCCGGATGGTCTGCTCTAACCCCACATCCTCCACGAATCCCAGCTCCTTTGCCCTACTCGTATCGTATTTGCCTGGCCAACTGAGTACAATTCGTTGGACCTTCTCGTCTTTTTCGACCTTCACTCTATCTCTTACTTCCTTGCCCGCAACCTTCTCCAGCGCATCCAGAATCTCGCCACTCGTCGCAGTATATCCTGGTAGAAGGACTTGTCTGAAGTGCCCAAACTTCTCCGCCGGAATCTCAATAGCGTGTGTGAGATTGGCGGCCAGTGTGCGTGGCGAACAGAGCCAGATGCCAATCTCAGGATCAACAGGCAGGATAGATTGTTCGCCGTGTATCGGCTCCCTCACAATCCCCGAAACGAACGAACTCGCCGCGGCAGTCGGTGCTCCGGCGCGCACGAAAACAGTCGGCAGACGAACAACCCGGCCATCGATCAATCCTCTTCGCGAGTAGTCGTTGAGGAGAAACTCAATCATCAACTTCTGTGTCCCGTAGCTGCTTTCGGGCATGGGAACAACATCGGTCTCCGTCGCTACGTCTTGAACAGCTTTCCGGCCGAATACCGCACACGAACTCGTAAATACGACTTTGATACCGGGACGCTTCACTCGGATGGTATCGAGTAGTTGCCGGACGCTTTCGAAGTTTACTTTTAGCCCAAATTCCAGATCCGCTTCCGCTCCGCTCGACATGATGCCGTGCAGGATGTAGACCGCATCTGGAGACTGGGAGATGAGGGATTCGCATGCTGAACCGTCCGTCAAATCGGCGCCTACACATTGGACATTGGAGGACGTTGTGGGATTCGGAGGTTCCCTGATATCGACGAGGATCAGGGAGTGTGAGGAGTTGGTTTCGACAAGCTTCTTTGCCAGGATTTGGCCGACGAAGCCGCCCGCTCCCGTGATGAGGATCTTCATTGTGATATCGGGTGAAGAGGGTTTCTTTTTTCGGGGTAGGTTCTTCAGACGCTCGACAATGTATCGATTACTTTGACTGTCTGTCTGAAGAGCCACACTTATGCAATTCGGAGATCGGCGAAGAACCGACGAGAGGTGGGGGAATTGTGGAGACGGCCCGTGCGCCGAGATGTCTCGGTACTTGTCTCGTTTCAGGGTATATCAACTCCACCGCATTGCCGTAGGATCCTCGGGGCGTCTTCCATCGTTTACTGCTTTGTTTACGCTTTTGTTTACACCTCCTTTGCCGGTCATTATCATCCCCGTAGTGTAAAACTCTGTGTGAAGGTTGATCCTTTGAGCCCGGTCGGCCCGCTTCAGTGCGTCTTACACAAGAGGGCCTCTCCTCTCCAAGTGACGCTCCCGCTGTCAAGACTCACCTTTCGGTATGGCGGAGTGAATGCCGCCTCATCGAAATCTCGATCGAGATTCTGTAGAAGACAACCGAATCGATGTTCGGAGCATCAATGACTCGTAATGTGTGGGACAGTGGACCTCATTTCGTAACAACAACTCTCTCAACACGGGCATAACAACCGCTGTGTTGTTTTTGGGCAAGATGGTGGTTGTAGTTTGCCAAGATCATGCGACGATATTCAGGTACAGCAGCAGTTTATATGACGAACTACTGTGTTGCCACGGCAAACTCCTTGCGTAGAACACGAATCATGGTCATGATGCATGGTCCAGTGCACAGCGACAAAAAACTTTCGATACATTCGATGATCCCCTGTGAAGATCTTTCGCGGCATATTTAAACATTTGCTTCCCCGTTCATCCTAAAAACTTCAGGTACCTGGTTTCTAGCACCGCTCCGCACCGTACAAGTTCGCAGTCATGGCTCTTGCCTTGATATCACTACTGGGCCTCCTCCAAATCCCTGCAACACAAGCTGTCGATACTCTGCATATTGGCACTACGTCTGGCCCAGTACAAGGTGCCATAGATTCCAGGACCCCAAATGTAGCCCACTTCCTCGGCGTTCCGTTTGCTGAACCACCGCTTGGAAAGCGACGCTGGCTTCCACCATCGCCAAAGTCCAGACAGAATGCTACAATTGACGCGACAACATTCGGCCCTGCATGCGCACAGTTTCAACCCAGCGCGCCGAGTCTCTGGAACCTAGATGCGCCGGAGTTCCTTATCCAGCCCGAGAACTTCTATGGAGAGGATTGCTTGGCAGTCAACGTCTGGACGCCATTCAAGGAGAAGAACAACGGAACGTCGCAAGTGGAAGATTGCGAAGAGGCCCTTCCTGTCATTGCGTGGATCCACGGCGGAAGTTTCCGCACGGGCGGTGCCACAGTGCCATACCAGAACCCAAGTCCTTGGGTGGAGAGAAGTGGAAAGCACATCGTTGTTGGAATCAAGTGAGTATCTTCACAAAACTAGCTCGTCGTTTACATCCTAACCACGATGTAGCTATCGTCTCAATATCTTTGGTTTTCCAAATGCCGCAGGTCTACCAGATGATGAGCAGAATCTCGGCTTTCTGGACCAGCGTCTGGCGTTGGAATGGATTCGTGATAACATCGCCAGCTTCGGCGGTGACCCAAAGCGTATCACACTATGGGGCCAGTCCGCAGGAGCAGCATCAGCCGACAACTACAACTTAGCGTACCCAGAAGACCCCATCATTTCCGGCCTGATCATGAACTCTGGGGTTGCACAATTGCCCCTCGCCACCACCGACCTCCAACGGACAAACTTCACCTACCTTGCCGAGCACTTTGGATGCAGAGACACCGACGCAGCCGAGCAAGTCGACTGTCTCCGCGACATCAACTCCACAGACATCATCCACTTCCTCCAACAGCGTGGCGACAACGGCACCACCCCGGCCCTAGACTTCCTGCCCGTCTTCGACGAGCGCACAAAGTTCACAAACGTCTCGGCGCGCCTCAGAGCAGGAAACTTCACCCACAAACCCGCCATAATCGGCACCACCACCAACGAAGGCGCCGTCTTCCTAAACTACAACCAGACATTCGGCGGCGACCAGGCCGTAGCCGACTCCGCCACGCTCTTCAACTTCCTTTGCCCCGCCGTCGCCACAACAACCGATCGCTACGCGGCCAACGCAACGACATTCCGCTACCTCTACGGCGGAAACTTCAGCAATATTGCTCCGCAGTTCTGGGAAGGCGCTTACCATATCTCCGATCTGCCGCTCATCTTCGGCACCCACGACATTGCTCGCGGTAACTCGACGCCCTTTGAGGTTGCTGTCAGTGAGAAGATGCAGGATTTCTGGTTGGCGTTTGCGGAGGATTCTGTGAACGGGCTGCCAAAGGAGGGGTGGCAGGCGTATGAGCCGCAGGGTGATGCCGTGTTGATCGGGTATAAAAACGACGCTGTGCAGGATATTCAAGAGGCTCGATTGGCGAGGCCGTGTAATGGGTTGGTGCCGAACGGATTGCCTAATCCACCGAACAAGCGAACCATTTCGAAGCGACGAGTCTAGAAAGTTGTAGTTTATTTAGATGTATTATGGTGTGAAAGTATAGATGTGTAATGCTATCTGTACATATGCCTTCCATGAATAGGTTCGCGCGAGATGGACCCAGGAGTGGAGATGTGTGTTTGCCTGAAGGCTAATCTACTGACTCCCTGTGGGCAAACAGCAGGAAACGTTCCAGATGACCACACAACAATTCATAGCAGGAATAACTCTCTTATTAAGCATCACATGTCAATACATCAATCTAAGTATCCAGATAGAGAAGCCACTTTGTCCGCTAACACTCCAGGTAGAACCCTTGCCCTATGATGTCAGCTACCTGAGCCTAAGTAACCAAATCTTAAGTGGAGTCAAGCATCGTAGTTTGCGCATGAATATGAAGGCATCCGATGACGAACAACCGGTGAGTTGATGCCTAACCGTCGCATGAAGGGCAAACATGGAAGTTAATCTAGACGACCAGGGTGCCTAGTTCACACTGACCCACGCCGCCCGCCAAGGTGGCGTAGTCTAGCCGACCATCAAAGCAAGCTACAAGCGAGCGTTCAACTCCGCGACAACATGTATTAGGTAGACGAGGAGCCATAAAACGAAAACAAGGTGTGATGGCTATCTATGCATTGTGGGGTGGGAATAATTACGCCTCGACGAATCAAAAGAAATGGGGATATCTCAGGGAAAGTACAGAGGAACAACATGGGTAGGAAAAGAAACACCGAGCATCCGTCCACCATTAAGAAAGCCAAAAACCTTGCCGGAACCATCCCATCCTGCACGCAGTATCTGGACCTAGCAAGGGTTGTCGTCTAGTTTGAGTCGGCGAAATAGTGCGTTGCAATATATCCGAGATATCACACCCAGCCCAAGACGCAAGACGATACATGCAGGGAGGAACACACCTCCGAAAACGTAAGGGGAAAAGAGAGGAAAGCCGTAAAGAGAATGGGGTATTTCGGAGGAAAACGGGTATTAGGGGTCCAAAAATAGAAAGCCAAACGCCTGTATGATGCAAAGTCGCCCGTCCGGTTTGACGTGTAGTCGTAATCAAGTGGATGCATGGCCCGCATCACTTGATCATGGGAGCTTGTAACGCCGTGACCGTACAAAACGCCTGTTATCCAGATAAGGGTATCGATGATTAGCAAATGTGAGCGAGCCTTGGACGCCGTCTGTGCCCCCGGGGTATCGTTGTGTAATGCTGTCCAGTACCGTAGTGTATGTAAATGTCTTGAGGGAAATTCTCCGTAAGTCAACGCCAAAGGAAAGATCCAGTTGGAAGGGTTAAAATGGGTAACAGTCCGTACAGATTCGGAAAATGAAATAAAAGGCCAAGGTTGTATGCGCGTCGCGCGAGGCAAATCGATGTTGAGGTGGTGTGGAGGGATAGCGGCTATGCCGTTGGTGGTTAGAGCCCGAGGGATCATGCGGACGTTAAGTGGATCACCCGATGCAGATCCTCACCGCCACAATGTCGTGAGGGTGACCTCTAGTGTACCATATCTGATCCCTCCTCTTCTTACACCCTCGTCGTAAGCTGTCCGTATTGTTGGTAGGAATTGTCGACCGATAGTTGTCGCATGACGGGCTTGACATCTGATTGTTGCATCTGCAGCGATTGAGTGACGTTCGGTACTCTTGTAGTCGTGGGACCATGAAGGTATCCGTAGTCCCAGGACCCACGTTCTGCTTGAGCAAGTACTGTCGGGTATTGTGACATTTGGGGTGGAGCAGTTCCCCAGTGAGTCATGCTTTGTCCTGTGGGTGTCCTGGGTGGGACCGGCATGCCATGCCCTGCTGATCCCTCGAGACCCGCTGATACCTTCAGATGAGGAGACAGACTTGTTGAAGTCATGTTTGGTGTGTACGAATTCGAGGTGATCGAACCAGAACCCGATCGCGATGAGGCGTTTCGATGGGCAGCTCCTGCAGCCTGTGAGATGCTGTTGGGGACATAACTAGACGTTGATGCAATAGGGAGAGACCCAATGCCAGCAGTCGAAGAGTAGCTCGCAGACTATGAAATGTTAGCTGTATGCTGTGCTTCGTGGGCAAATAACGTACGTATTTTCCAATGATTTTCTTGAGCGCATGCGCAAGTATCTTCCAAGGGAACACCTTGACGTCCTTCTCAATATTGCGCGGTTTCGGCTTCGGGAATCCCATAATCGTCTTGAAGAATCCTTCGCTATCAGACTTGGCCTTTGACACAGTGAGAGGGCGAAACCCTTCCAAATTGCGTCGAATTCGATTTTTCTCCTCGACAGTGAAGCGGACGTTCACTAGCTTTTCCAGAAGGTAGATTGCGTCGACGCTCGTGATAAAGCACTCGTTCTTATCTTCCCACCAGATACAGCTGACGCAGATGGTGCCTGAGACCAGAGTTTCTGGAGTGACAGCAGAGAATGAGGTCTCTATTGTACTGCCATTCTGCGATCTCTCGAAACGAACAAGCCGCCGTTTTGCGTCCAGCTCTCCTTGCGTCCAACCCTCACTCATGATACCGAGATCGCCCTCGATTCTTAGGACAGCCTTAGTTTGATATAAGGAATACGGATTGAACGCTTGGCTAGAGGAAGCGCTGCCTGCCTGTGGCAATGCGGTAGCTCGAACTAGGATGGGTGTTTGGAGTACGGCCGGGGAAGGCATGATCGATGGCATAGCGGCAATAGGGGCTGAGCCTCGACCTGTATGCGAAAGAGGATTGTATTGGGTGTAGGACTGGAGTCCTGGCGACATCTGTGGGGTCTTGAACTCGCCTTGAGTCATACTTGGATCCGAGGGTATCGCATACAGGCCCTTCTGCAACAACTGAGAAGCATAGTTTGTCTGCTTGGATAAGCCATACCCATCAGCATGTGCATATCTAACAGACGACGAAGACTGGGCTGGTAACGGCGATACCTGTGCTCCTGAGTATGCCCTGGACATCGAGCGCCGCTTCGCGTCGAAGTGAAGTGAGTTGACTCTCTTTGCATCCGTGTTCTCCGAGTAGTCTTGGGAATCGCCATACTCGGTCGAGTACTTTCGTTTCCGAGCGAATTCAGGCGAGGATTGGTAGGCCAGATTTGGCGACATGTCGGTGAAGGTGAAATTTCCGGCGTCGGATTGTCGTATGTTTCCGTTCCTGTCCTGAACTTGCAATTTCAGCATCATGGTTGGATCCCATGAGTTCGTCAAGGGAAATGGAGGGACCTCCACGTTGAGGACGTAGTTGTACCACTCATCATCATATTCCACCTTCTCTAGTGCAGCAACGCACTTCTTGGAGCCGAACATGAGGATAAATGTGTTTCGATCTGCAGCAAGGTCGTAATTCGTCCGAAGTTGAAGGGAGATCGTAGATCCAGCAATGCCTTGCTTGGGCGTAACGTAGCCGGTTGTCTCCGTTTCAGTAAATGCATGAGTAGCGGGATGACGAGATCTTGCATCAATAAATGAAGAATCGGGTTGGTGGTCGCCTGTACCGCGTGACTCGGATTTTAAGCTAGGGATGTGGCTCGTCCCTGCACTCGAAGGCTCATGGGTTAGACGCGCGGGCGCATCCGTGTATTGCGGGGCGGATGAAGGCTGTGCAATGACTGGGTAAATCGGAGCCTGATTCGATCTTGTGGCTTCGGCGTCTGTAGGGTGGTCAGTCAAACTTGCTGATCGTTCTCACGTGGACTCCAACCAGGCACACCCGACCGGACCATGGCAGCTGCCCTCATACGCTTTCATCAGATGAGCCGCAAACTACTTACCACACACAAAATGTTGATTTCTTGCGTAAGTAGACATGGAGGATGGTCTATCAGCTATCGCAGCGTCGAACGTCCGGGTATCGGTTAGACTACGTCGTGCTTGGAGCTGCTCCGGGGAGTGTAGGTCAATGCCTATAGCAAAGGGGGCCTGGTAGCCGTAAGGCTGGGTAGAAAAGTGAGTTAGCAGGCAAATTGATTTGGAGGATCGATGCATAGGCAGCAACGCATGAGCGCAAGGCTGAGTGCTCAAGGACCCCTCGGACACCCCTCGATTTACGAAGGTAGACTCACCTGACAGCGAAACTCTACGGCGCAAGCCAGCTTGACGGTGTTTCCGGTGATCTGGGTGCAGAACGGATAGCTGTGGAGGTGTCTGGTCGATGGTGTGTCGTACTTGCACGAAACCTTCAAAAGACCTGCTAGAGTTGTTCTCACCAGGTAGAAGACAGTGTGTCGCTTTAGCACTTGGATGCTGCACCAGAGTTCCTCTACGGTTCGTAGAAAATGTGAGAGGAGACAAGTCTGGAGACAAGTCGTGTGGACCTTGTGACCACAAAAGTTGAGAGAAAAACAGATGATCAAGGTTACGCTGATGAATCACCCGGGTATCAGAAAGATTTTGAATGTTCAGTGTCAGATGCGGTGAGTCTTGCTCTTCGCCTAGTGCAGGACCGACGAAGTAGCTTTCGCTGTGACGAAACAAGGAAGAAGCGTCGCTTTGGTTGCAAACGAGATTGATTCAGAGCAAATACCAGGGCCTAGTCACTACGGTAAGTACCTTGCTATGGAGTGTCGCACATCACGACTCGCATTTCGATGTGACAGATGGGTTGACTTACATGACAGACAAAGAAACAGAGACATTAGATACTGAACTGGCCAATATCGATGAGACCAGACAGCCTTGCCGTACGGGAAGGAGGGGGGAGTAGCGGAATTGTGGAGCTATGACTTGAGGTTTGGGCGAAGGTTAATACCGGGCACGGCTAGGAAGCGTGAAAAGCACAGAAACTGACCAACATGGTGGAAAGGAACGGGATTGGCCCACGTTATGTGGGTATGCAAGGAAGGGCCAGCACGATGAGATCTTAGTCTTCGAATGATGCTTGGTGATGAATGTTCCCGTCAAGCTGGTAGGCTAGTAGGCCAGTGAAAGCTGGAGCACAACCCTTAACGGCTAGGACTTTTGCCGTTGAGTACTGCGTTGCGCAAAGCCTAACAGCTCTGAGATGGTAAAAAAAGACACAGATGACGAGATCAGTCAAGCGGCTGGAGCCTGACAGAGGCTCTGTTCGCTAAGTAAGGATGGCGCAGTACTCTAGCTTGATAGTAAGCTGAACTGCACAGCTGCTTGTGAGTGGTGAGCACCGCAAGATGGCTAAGGCAGCGAGCAGGGCATCGCATAAGACAGCTTCAGAATGCGGTTCAAAAACAAAGAAGCTGCAATTTCAACAGGCGATCAGTTCAGCTCTTGCCGGAGATGTGGGTAGAGCTACAAGGCCTCCGCAAAATGGACGGAAGCGCGGATGCGGAGAGCCAGAGCCAAAGCGTCGAAACACTAGCCGTGAGGCGCCGGAAGGTCAAGGAAAGTGTGATTGTATAAGCTGCAAACAGAATACTGCAACGGCGAGGCCGGACAGCAAATGGGAGAGATATCTGGCTGGTGTTGAGATTTGATGGGCGTGGCTGAGACTATGGACGTCCTCGCCTGGTGTGGGTAACGGGGAAGCACCCAGCACGGTGGTAACCTACAGGAGGATATAAAATGGCCTGTTGAGGCCATGAGCATCAGCGTCTTTGGGGCTTCTACTGCAGGACATCTGTCAGGGCCAAAAAGAAGCTCTCCCAGGGTCCGGCTGACCCATGACTGGCCACGATGACGACAGGTGGCTGACAAGGCAACAGATGTACCGCAACGCTAAACATCGCCCCCATCTAGGCGGCGTAGTGACGAGAAAGTCGCGTAAAAAGAGAACGCTGTACTGTATAGAGGTGTGGTGGGCAGTCAGCCTTGGCCCCTGCTACCTATTTCTGGTGTGGCTGCAGCCAGCGTTTGGTTCACATCCGTGTCATCCCGGTCAGCTCTGCGCATCGCAGAAAAGCCACCACCAAACGGCAACCGTCCCTTCAGGCGGCTCATACCTATCTCCCATCATGGCCGCTGCTTGAACAACCAGGCGGGCCAACGAAGGGAGCGCCGTCTGTCTCACGTTGGCGCTGCCCCGTGCCCTAGACGACAGCTATCCTGCCGGAAACACTTCTTTGTCTGCATCTTCCCCACACGCAACACATGCGATTCGCGTTTGTTCGGTTTGCACTCCGCATTGAACGCCACCTATTTCGGAAAGAAGCAACAGCATCCAATCGACTTACCAGCCAGGCGGCGCGCGACAAGGCTGGCCTCTGACGGCAGTTCGAATAAAGCTTTCGTTCTTGGGCGGTTCCCAAGGCGGCGGTATCTCAAGTAAAGAGATCAGAGAAGCTCATCTACAGCGTGCACCGCCTCTGCGACTACCTATCTTCACAGAAAAAAATGCAAACGCTTTGCGTCATCAACTCGCTTCTTTACGCACCAGGGCGTTGTCATCTTAGCAAAGATGGTCAATATGGCTGATGGAAGTATTATTAGCCGCTTATGCTCTGGAGTCGTACCACCCAACGTTCTTGCCCGAATGGACATTGCTTGCGGTTGTGCCGCACAAATCTTACCCGCTCCACTTGGCATCCACCAGAGGCAGACAATTGACCTGCATCGCTTCGAGCAAATCGTTCTCATTTTGATAAACTAGCACGTTCATGATAGGAATCTGCATTCCTAAGTCCTCGCGACTCTCAAGTGCAAGACCTAGACAGGGGTATTTAGGTCTATATGCAGGTTCGTTTGGTTTCCTCCCTTCCAAAGGCACGGCCCTGCCTCATGGTGCATACAACGGATCACTACCCGTGCAGGATCTCAACTCCGCAACGTCGCAGTCAAACGGGAGTATCCGTAGCATTTACGGTATGCTTTGCTCAAGGCCTCCCAGTTCACACGTCGTCGACCCCTGCCATGGCTATCAGCGGTAATGCTACGGTGATGGTAACTTGCCTTGTACCATCGCATGTACACTGCAGCGAATCTCGTGAATGTTCTACCCACACTACAGCGATCGTTGTCATGGTATAGCCAAAGATTGTTCATTGAAGTTGCGACACGTATCTTCGACGATAAAGTGCGCATTCTAGAAAGCAGCACTTCAGCTATAGTCGCTGCTCTACTACTGTAAGCAATTCCTCCATCTTTGACCTCTCCCCTACGCCTGTGTGTGATGACATACTCAGCTGTTGTGACCCCCCAGAACGGTTTGTGTTGCGCCTCGAGTCAAGACTGTTTCATTTTACTCTCCTCGCCTCCTCCGTTCGCCGGCTCCTTTTTCCACTTTGGTACCATTGTCATCGCCATAATAACGTACCCAGTTATATGGCCTATGGTATTCGTTCGATTGCGACCATGGCATTTGACAAAATCAACCCGCTTTTCCATGGTGAAATGATCCATGCGCAAGAAGTGTGCACCATGGCCTCGGGTTTTCAATGCCATCATCTGCAACGTGTCTAAAGAATACTACGCATACATCCTGGTAGAGCTCATATAGCTAGTGGTTCTGCAACAACTAATACCACAACCCCGTTGTATCCTTGTAGGAGCGTTCGATGATCGTCGTTGGCTACACATTTTCTAGGAGTTGATCATTGGACTGTTCGCATCTGCTCATCGTCGAAGAAGGCAATTTGCGTCACGATTGCCAAGGAGCTTCGAGCTATGGGCGATATCAAGGCGTTGTTAGCTCTGCTATCAAGTTCCACAAGTATGGCACTATCTATGTCTCTATCGTTACATCTTTGGCTCAAACGGGAACTACCCGCCTGAGCTGATCGGCCAATCGAATCACTTTACTCGTCGCTGATAAACCTCGTTACACGTCTTGCTCATCTTATCCTCGGCCGTCAAGCCGCACCTTAGTCTCACCAGACACAGTATGTATCGGCATACAAACAGCAAACAAAGCAGCTCAGCATTTTAGTGCCGCCTTCAACATCTGATCTATGTGTTTGCCACCGCCACCTTGCAGGTTCAGGCTGAACACACTACTCTATCTCCATTGCTCGACGAGTGGGCATCTCTCACGCCACCATTCTTGAAGCCACACAAACTCTGAAGTTTCCCCACATGCATGTCTCGGCCAAATCCGACTTCCGCCACAGGGCAATCGGGGCTTGCGATCGGGCCCTCCATGACCTGGTTGTTGGGTGCCCCCTGCAGCTCGTTGCACAACGCACAACGTAGTTTGCACATATGCAAGACCAAGATCCTAGTCTCGAAAACCTAGTTCTCGGATCAAGGTGTGACTAAAACCACTGTCAAGTACTAGCCAGATATCTATAACTATGGTACAAGAGATTCAAAATGAGTGAAGTGGTAAGATGAAAGAGTTGGCTGCTGAGTGGAATTGAACTATCTGTGAAGCTAATTCTACAACAGACATGCAGAGTTGTATTGAAACTCGAATCAATGGAATTGTTCAATCCCAAACAATCGACTGATACATTATGTAACCAACCTTTTTTGACTAATCATCTAAAGCTATGCCGTTGTCAGCTTCGTTGGCAGAACAAGAGCAGCAAGACTTACCGTAAAGAGTACCCAGCAGAAGAAACTACAGGCGAGACTGGAGCAAAAGCGTCGTCAGCATTGCTCGAAGGCTTGGAAGATGTGGTGCTTACACTGCCTGGGGCGCGAATAGGAAGCGAGGACTTGGGTTCACAAGTTCCACCGCCGCTCTTGATATTTCCGTTATCCACAAGAACGTCCGCCGGGCTAGCAGGAACAGTTCCAACGTAGGCGTTGAAGTTGTAAAGACCACATGGACATGTGTTGAGGATGTCGCGCAGAGAAGTGTCGCTCATAACTTCAGTGCTGCCACGCGTGAGAGTGAACTTCTGTGTACCGACGCCCATGGGAACTTTGTAGAGACTGGCACCAGCGGGGGCCTCGAAACTCTTGGTATTGGGTCCTGAGGTGACGGTGACGGTACCGGCTTGCGTGAGCAAGGCGACGACAAAAACCTCGTCGGTCATGAGATCCCAGCCATTGGGCTTACCAAGGGGATCGGTACAACCTTCGATCCCCTTGGGCATGGGTCGGTACCAATACACGAGCTTCTCCTCGGTGATTGTAGGGCTTGTCGCACCCGACTTGAATGCGGCAATGAACGGCTTGGCCATCTCGAGCCATCCACCGTGTGGCATGTCGTTGACCCACCCACTGTGGCCATCATCATCATGTCGGGCTCTAAGCGGACCGACATACGACGACTCGCCGTAGTCATTCCAGGCAACGATTTCGATGAAGCGGGGGCCAGTTGTGAGGATTTCTTTCCATCTCTCGAACCAGAGGTCGTTGCCCTGGAAGATCCAGTTCTTGGTATAAGGAACCCAACCGCCGTAATGCGCAGAGAACCACGGGGCGACAGGCGCCATATAACGGTCTTTCGATCCGACGGCACTGAGGTAGGCCTGGTCACCTACGCTAGGTGCGACAGTACCGGGGTTGTTGCTGCCATCGTTGTACCAACCCATCCAGTTGAACAGTCCGTCAGCACCGGTCTGGTCATCCTGAGGATACCAGTTGGGGAAGAAGGTGATCTCGGTTCCAGCAGCCGACTCGACACTTGCCACATTCAACCCTGTACCAATGAAGCTTGAAACGAAAGGCTTGTTGTCGACAATGAGTTGAGCCGAATGCCCCTTGAATGCCTTGATTCTGTCACCAACAGCGGCAGGATCGCCTGTGCTGAATAGGCCTGAGTTGAAATCAAATGAGATGAACACCTTGATGCCAACTTTCGCGGCACTGTCGTATGCGTGGCCGAGTTGTGTATTGCTAACATCAGGGCCCATGTTGAGTGCGAAAGCATCGATACCGGCCGCCTTTGCAATTCCGAACTCCTCGTCGTAGTCATCCGAACTACCTCTGCTCTGCACGATACCCATCTGTGGGAGTGAGTAGATGCGTCAAGTGTTGATAGACTCACTTACCATGAAATGTGCAAACACCATACGGCCGCCACCATCTTGTCTCTGCACAACAGGCTGAGAGGGAACAGCACTAATCGATCTGGCCAACAGGCCAGCGACCAGCAGAATGACAGATCGCATTTTGCAACGAGTCCCGGATATCTCGCGGGTATAGATGGATGGGAAGTCAATTTCTCGAAACACAGCAACAAGCCTATATACACGTCTTTCCGCACCCCGGTTGCTCAACTAATCCAGGTACCCGCCGTACTAGGGCTCGTTTCGGTAAGTCCAAAGTCAGAACGGCATTTGTCAGTCCCAAAGCGGTAATTGATAGAATGACCAGCTTTAAGGCCTCGTTTCATTGCGTCAGTGTGGAGATTAGACAGTTGACAAGTCTGAACGGGGCGATCAAGGAGTGAAGGTCACTAGCAACGTAACTTTACATAGCTTGACATCTTGAAGCCAAAATTATGATTGACTGTACCTTGTGTAACTGACCCAAACTCAAACGTTTGAGAGAACGAAACGGAACTGTCGGATAAAGCTCTCGAGAAAGTCTTAACTCGATCGCTGCACGCTCTAGGAGGCAAGAAAAGATTGATGAACTTTGCGGGTTCACGGCTTACGAAACCTTGGCGTAAGCGCTACAAGCGGGTACCGATACCATAAATAGAAGATGGGGCTGACACTGGTCCCGTTCTATGCATTACTGCATATAATACGAACGCTCTCTACGGGATTAACGTAAATTTGACAGCATCGTCAGATCACACCAGCTAGGGACCCAAGTAAGCGCGCACTGACAAGTCAAGATTTGGTAGCCGTCAGATATCCACCTGATTTCCGTAATGCTGACGTTCTTGAAATCAACGCCAACCAAGTTGAGAGTGGAAGTCAATGTGAAGTCCGGAGTTGTCGATTTTCCTTGCCGGCGCAACGCCGACCGGACTCTCACAACTCTCCACAAACACCATCCACTCCATCAACACCCATCCTTCACCACAACCCTCACAACTTCGCCCTAATCCCAAAGCTCTTAACAACAGCCTCCGCTCCCTTCTTCGCAACATCCTCATCCTGACTCGGCGTCCCAGTACTGCACCCAATAGCGCCGACCACAACCCCATCCCTCACAATCGGCACACCACCCGCAATCGTCGTGAACCTGCCCCCATTGCTATTATTGATGCCGAACGCCGGACCCCCGGGCCACACAGCCTCCTTGTACACGCTGGTAGGTGCGCGGTGTCCCGCTGCTGTGAACGCTTTGTCTATGGCGATATTGATGGACGTGAATTTCGCGCCTTCCATGCGGGCAAATGCAAGGAGATGGCATGCGTTGTCCAGAATGGCAATGTTCATAGGCACGTCGATTTCCTTTGCGCGAAGCTCGGCGGCTGAGAGCGCTATGCGCGCCCCCTCAAGGGTCAGCGTTGGGACGGATTTTGTGGACATTTTGGATGGAGGGTGGAGATGGTGAGACTGATACGAAGAGTATGAGTTGGTGGAGGTTCGCGTTGGAGACGCATTCGTCATTTCCGGGTATTGACGGGAATGACCATATTGGTGGCTTAGTCATCGGAGTTGATGGTTACCGAGGATGAACACCCTCCAATGGTCCATCGCTCTCTTATTGACTAGGGCTAGACAGAGCCCATGACTCTTGGTGTGTATGGGCATATATACAGTCTAGAAGTAAAAGAAACCGAGATTGTCGACGCGCTAACAAAACTACACCCCCTCAAAATGTTGACAAAGCCAGTTTTAGGTTGGGTGAAAACCAGTGAAGGAAATTTAAGGCTAGATTGGCGGCAGAAGTAGAGTACGTAGGAGGTCAGAATTCTCACAGTCTATTACAAAATAATGTACTTGCTTCTCTTTTTTTTCTCACTCACTATCTCGTCAATCACTCAAGTTCACGACTATTCAAAATTTAAGATCGCTTTAACCTATAGCAACAGGTGAGACAAATCGTTTATGAGTAGCTTTATAATAATGTACTATCTGGAGTACGTCGAAAGCAAAATGCATTGGATCCATTCGAATGAGCGCAACCTTCTCCATCACTTTCACTGACTGGCCGCTTTCACCTCTACCATGAGGCGTTACTCTCCAATCTCTCTTTGCGCAGCGACCAGGCACGTCTGTACCTTCACCTTCACAAACTGCTGCACAAATGGCTCAAAACGTCGATACCGATCGTTTCTCCATTTCTCTTACCTTCAACGATCCTCAACTCGAGCGTCGTCAACCCATCCTGATCAATTGCAAACGACATCAACGCCAATGCCATGAAGTCCACTCAAGATATCATCGCACGCCAGTCTCGTCCTCAGCGCAACTCCACCTGGACCCCAAGGACGCGCGATTGGCGCTATGCAACTGGTGTATTCCAGCACGACGACTTCAATGATACACCAAGAGATCGTTCGGTATGGGACACGCTTGACTTGGACCACCAGGTTGATGACAGGAAGAGAGATAGGAATGGAGTTGCGGGTAATCTAGAGCGACATGGTACTATGTCACCAGAGAACGCCCCGAAGCGCAGGAAGACGGAGCACGCGAGCGATTCAGCGAACACAGTGTCGCCGCGAGATAGCGTATCTAGCTCTGTGGTGACGTACGAGCACATACAGACGACGAAGTTGGGTGATGGAGTGTCAAGCTACTCACCAGTCAAACTGATCGTCAAACTACGCTTTACAGGCGGAAACATCGTTGCAATGCAGCACATTGTTAACAACGAAGCTTACCTTCCACCAACACCCGCGCAAACCCCAGCCTCCAAGAAACTATACGCAATCGACTCTCCAGTAATTGCTCGAACAAATTATGTGCCCGATATGCCAGACTCTCCCCGTTCCAACCGCGCAAACTCGCTCTATCAGCGCCCATGGGTCGATGAAACACTCGACTTCAACATGAAAACCGTCCGCTCGACACTCCAAGAAGCAAATACGCAAATCGAACGACCAGGAGCGACCGAAAACTGGTACCCCTCCGCCGTGCCCATCGACGCAATCTTCCCCCCCGGCGTGCCCCTCTCCGCAAAAGAGATACTAGCCTTCTACCCGCACCACGTGCGCTGGCCAAGCGTCATGCAACGACTAACCAGCAACAAATACCATCCCCGCGACATTCTAGGCATACAAGTACACACCCCCCTTCCCCACTCCACCGCACCCTCGAACCCCAACTAACAACCCCCAGACCTTCTTCCGCGGCCCACCACCCACTCCCCCCCTCCTACCCAGCACCCTCCCCTCCTCCCGCCCCACCCACACCCTCCACACCACGCACCTCACCCCACCCCACCCCCAAACCACAATCCCCACTCTCTCCGCCCTCCTCAACGGCCTAAAAAACCTCCCCTCAGGCCCCTCCGCCCGCGACCTAACACACGTCCTTACCTGGTACCAATGTATACGCGCTACCTTCCACCCACCCCTCGATCTAAACGTGCTGCACACACAGGCGCTGGTCCGCGCCCTACGCCGTCCGCTTAGGTCCTATGGGCCGCAGAATCTGGACCGCATTGCGCTGGAGGAGTGGCGCGGTGGGGGGTTTGTGGAGTGTGCTGTTGTGCGGCGGGGTGAGGTTGGGGTTGAGGATGAAGGAAAGGGAGATGGGGAGAGGCGCAAACAGTCCTGTGTCGAAGTCGATCTTTTGAGGGAGGAGGTCAGGGCGCATGTCGTGCTGCCGGTGAGACATGTTCTTTTGTTTCCGTTTGTTGCTGTGCAGGGGCTTGTTGGCGAGGCGCTGAGGAGGGGGGTGGAGAGGGCGGAGGGGAGGAGGGAGGGACGGCGGGAGGAGGTACGGCAGAAGGAGGGACGAAAAGATCAGACAGTCGGCGCGGGGGATACGCATCGTGTCGGAGGATGTTATGGTACGCCAAAGCGCCCCATACCTCCGCCGCGAAACGAATTCCCGCCAACTCCTGAGACTACGCCGCGACGTGCGGAGGTTAGGACTGCTGCGCCGTGGACGCCGGTTCGGCCTTTTGTGTATGCGCGGAGGTAGGGTGGCTGGATACATGCGGTGAATTGGGGGATGTAAATAGGATGCGGGGATTGGAACAGGGTACCGGGGCTTGGGAAGAGAAAGGGGCGGTTGAATAAGGAATCGAGATGGATGAATGGATGGACGGATGAATAGATGTGAGCGGTGGAGGTATATCCAGTCGTTTAAGAAAGTATAGGGAAGGGGTATGAAAGAAACATGTCATTACTCTTCCATCATAAACCCTCGCTCACCCAGGAATGAAAATAGAAAGCCGGCAGTAGACTGCCCAGCGCGCGCACACACACAACACCCTTTCCCAGTACCTCGACAAAGCGGAGATCCTGTACCCTGCAACAAGACATCCCCACACAGAACAAAAGAACCAGAGTAAGTAAACCCCCTACTCCTCCGGACTCCCCCCATCCTTACTACTCTCCCCACTCTCCACCATCTTCCCAAACTTACTCCCCTCGAGCGTATCCGCGCCCCAATTCCTCTCCACCAGGTCCACCAACAGAGACTTCAGCTCAGCAACCTCACCCCTCAGCTTCCTAACCTCCAGCACCGCAGTATCAAACTCGACATTCGGGCAACAAGCCTGGACGCGCTTATCCCAGCCATCAGCCTCAAAGTCGCACTCATGCAGCACCTGTTCCCACTCATGCACTTTATCCTCGTCGTCCTCGCCCCTTCGGCGATTTTCGCGCACGACGCGCGCCTCCTTCTGCTCGAGTGCAGCTGTGATGACGAGTAAAGGGGAGTAGATGACAGCCATGACGTAGTCGTTTAGTTTCTCGTAGCGCGCGTCCGACATCCACCATTCGAAGGGGAGGATGAGGCAGATCATCTCGATGAGGTTGAAGGGTGCGATGAAGACGTTTTCGTCGGGGGCGCGTACGAATTGCATGGTTTTCTGCGAGAAGAGGGCCATGTATTCGTCGATTGCGTTTTCGGTGATGTCTTCGTAGGCGGAGTTGTAGAGTGCGATGAGGATGTTGAGCAGGATTACCATGACGACGAAGGTGAAGATGTAGTAGAGAATTATGCCGAAGGGGGGCTGGAGACGTTAGTTTTGAGTGGATTTCTTGGAAAGAGTAAGGGAAGACTTACGGCGAATCGGTCGAAGCCGTCGAAATCCGGGCTTTGCATGACGGCGTTCAACATGGCTTGGAAGATGAAGGCGGTGTCGTCCGCCAGCTCGTCATCCACAATATCCATGCCGATGAAAGCCTGGAAGAAACCGACCATAACAACAATCAGAAGCGCGAAGAAGATGAGCGACTCGCGCATCATGACCTTGAGCACGACCAGCATGGCCCCGAAGAAGCGGAACGTATCCAGATAGAGCAGCAGTCGCATCCAGAACATAGGCGCCGTGAAGGCCAGGAAGTTGTAGCTGAGTTCATTGTAGTGGCCGCGTATCCCATGATGTGCCGGGTACGCCAGAGCAATCATGCGCAGGACGAAGGAGACGGTGAGCATGGCGTACAGAGTGCTGTTGAACATGTTCCAGAAGGAGATGTAGAAGCGACCGACCTTCCAGAACTTGTTCATCTCGTCGCAGATGAAACCGACGGTGAAGATATACAGCAGACCTTCGACGACATCCAGGTCGCCTGAAGGATTGATGGTGTTGATGGCGCCGGTGAAGAGTGCCAGAAACACCACCGACATGGCAATCTGCACCCAGTTCTGGTAGCGAGGGACACGCATGCGGTCCGGGTCCAGATGTGCCCAGTAGCTGGTGTTTGTCTTGTCCGCGTAGGCTACGAAGCGATTCGGGTCCTCGTCATCTTGAACGATCCAGCCGCGCCACAGGTAGGAGATGCACTTCTGGTAGCCCGACGATCCAATGACCGTCAGGGCGTGCAGGTCGACAGCCTTTTCCACGGCATTAGCAGGTACGGAAGGCTTGCCGTCGACGAGAGTCGAGTATCGCTTAAGCAGCATCTCATGGAACAAAAAGTCCATATCCTCCTCAGCCTCGATCAAGCGCTTGGCCATCATCTCGGCAGCAACGGCGCGCACATCGTGCAGGTCGGCGTCCCAGAGCTCGGCATTGGATTGTTTCTGTACTCGTCAGCCGCGAACGTCATGGTGTTGTACATGTGCATCCACCCACCTTGAACCACTTCTTCACCTGCAGCAGGCAGAACACAACACAAGCCTTGTGCTCCTCTCCGCCCGCCAGCTTCGCCGTCTCCAGCACATCGGTTGTGAGGATGGGGCTGTGCGACTTGATAATCGACTCTTCCTCGAGCTCGCACGGTATAACCTGTTCAATCTGGTGCTTAAGGCGCAGCGCTATCTTTGTGACTTCCTTGGGGTCGATAGTTGGGGGCGGGTCCGGTGCGCGACGCGTGGGAAGCACTTGGCTGGTCAGTACTCGTATCGCTGAGATGCGCGCAACAAAAACATACGCGCGCTGGCTTCATCGGATATCCGGTGTCGGCTATCGCTCCCGTCCATGTTGAGCAGCTTGCCCCATTGAACCATGATTGCGGAGCTTCTCGGAGCTCAAAGGCGTTTGTAGCTTGTCAAAACGCGTCGAACAATCACGACGACTTCAATGCCTCTGAGAGGAGATTCAAGAATATGCAAACACAGCAAAAGGAAGCTCCAGGAGAGAAACCTGCTAGTGTTGGCGGCTGTTGTCGCAAAAGTTGGATGCAAACCGCTTGGCTGGCTGTCAACGATCGTCATCCCTGGCCCATGCTTCCGGAAGCAGCCTTCCAACAAAACGGCCGCGTGGTGTCACATGTCAGTTCGAAGATAAGTTTGGACTTCTTCGATTCAGTTTATTGTCGGAAATTCATACATTGTTCGTCTTCAGAACACTTCCGGTCAAGACAAGGATGACGTCCCTATCAAACTATGCCATGGACACGCTCGCCCCAAACGCCGGATTTCCACTTTTGACAATGCCCGTCATGATCATTCGTGTACAAAAGTCGTCTAAGCATCAGCCTCCGTAACGCCGCCAACCTCGCCTTCGTCGCTCGTGCTCTCGTCCTCGTCGCCGCTGACCTGCTGGTTCTCTCGCTCGCGCTTCTCCATGAGCAGTGCAAGCTCGGCATCGTCGTTCTCTGTGACGGCCCTGGGAGCCATCTTGACCTGGCAGTCGCCGCCCGCCTTCTTGATGCTGTCTGAAATGTCGACGATGGCTTGTTCGAGGGTCGAAATACCCGCGCTCTTGTCAAGGCATGTTGAGGTGAGGACTGGAGTCGTTAGCAGACAATCACACACAATCATTTCACGTCACGTACCGTAGAGAGGCGGCGACACAAGCTTGACCTTGACCTGGTTCTCGGGTGTGTTCTTGGCCTCGGCGCATCGCAGGGCATTCTTGACAGCGTCGATACCTTCGTATCCGAAGCAAGTGACTGCACACGTCAGCATTGGTCCCATGACAGCATCATGACTTTTCCATACCCTCAATATCCGAGCGCACCTTGGTGGGCTGTGGCGTCAACCTCTTGCCAATGTAGCTCTGCAGCTCGTCCCGTACAGTGTCGTTGGGGAACGTAACGTCTTTCCACACTTCGGGGTTGGTGATGCTGAGCTTGAAGGCGTCGATGGCGTGTCCGTACTTCTTGTTCAGCGGCCACCCAATCGTCTGGTAGATGTCCTCGATCGGCGTCTGCGTCTTCTCGGCGACGTGGCGCATGATGCTGTGCACCATCTTGGACTTGTTGTACCGCTCCTCGCACTTGACAATGTCCTCGGGAGAGACTCGGCGCTTCGACAAATCAATGTAGCCCTTGTCCTTGTCCACACGCAGCACGACGACGACTTCGTTGCGGCCCACGCGAATGAGCTTCTGGATGGATCGGATACGTCGTCGCGACAGTTCGGAGAGCAGGATCATGCCGTCGATGTTGTCTGCCAATTAGCCTCGTCTTGTTGTTTGATCTGTATATGGCACCCACCATATTCGAGCAGCTTGACGTATGCGCCCATCTCTGCAATCTGCTTCACGTTCACCATGACGAAGCTCTCCACCTCCGGGTACTTCTCCTCATAGAACCGGCAATTTGTGAGAGACATGTTGTGTGTGTATTCCCGCTCTTCCTTCAAAAGGTGTTGAATGAGTTCCTTCGACTGTCGTGTCGATGTGGGGTATTCTGGTCCTCGTTTGTGTGCGGGAGGTACCAGCGTTTGGTTCGGGGTTACGAGTTTTGAGGGGTTCCGTAATCTTGTTTCAGCGTAGACGGTGATGTGTACGGTGGTGTTATGGGGCGTCGAACTTGTTGGTCGTCGCCGTGACTCAAAGATTTGTGTGGCTCGCCCCGCGGTCTGTCATGCCAAGACTTCGACTGGCTTTAGCCCCATTTGGTCTAGCGGCGATCATGTTCCCATCTTCCATGTCCCTCCCTCAGCCTTGAACACTGCGGCATCACAGAGGAAACTAGCTGCAAATGTCACTTGAGCCTGTCCAAGTAGTTCAATCAATCCCACAGTATTCTTCAACGTTTTATACCCGACAATTCTTCTATTCTCTCTCACTTCACCATCGTAATTCTGGTGCACACGTCTTCCAAAAAGTCTCCATCTTGCTTCCTTTCCAATATTTGAGGCTATCCAATCTACACTCTCCAATAACACCTCAATTCCTATCAGCACCCTTATCTTCTCACCTATGTATCCTCTGTTCATCACTTTTTTTTCTGAACCCATAGGAAAGACCACAAGACATCCTATTCGCACACCTTGACGCGAAGATACAAACGCTTCTTTGCAACATCTGTCACAAACGGGCAAATGTACACAAGCGACATAGTCTCGATACGAACATGTAGTCATGGTTGACTCGCGTCGTCACACAGCATGTATGCATCATGAAATCCGGGTTAGAATAGATGGCAACAATGGTCACTTGCCAGGCGATTCACATTATCCAGACCAAGAGGCAAAAACAATGATCTGGATACCTACGTGCAGTAGCCCGACTATCAGCATAGAACAAGCTTTGTAAACAAAAGCACATTAAAGCAAAGCTCAGCGACCTCCACGCAGCAAGCCCAGTGAGAAGAAAAGCCAAATCAAGATAGGACGCCCCTCAAGACGTTTTATCCATCTACAGAGCAAAGTCTCCCCAACGACAAATTCTGCCTCCCCTCCCCTCCCTCACCAAACAAATAACCACTTCCACTTTCACTTTCACTTCCCCACTTATCCATCACCACTCTTAGCGCCCGTGATCAAAACATCCCCTCCCCAAAACAACACCACATCTACCTCCCTGCCCAAACACCAACCCCCACAGCACAACTACCCACCACCATGCTCTTTTTCTTTCCAATAGCGCTCCTCGCGCTCCTCACGCCCACACTCCACGCCACCTCCCCCAACACCTCCCCCGTCGACATGACCATATCCCTCACATCAACAACGCGCATCACACTCGCTACGACTGTGACTGTAACCATGACGATGACTTCCGCCAACGCCAACGCCAACATCAACGCCAACGCCGATATTCCAACCCGCGAGGTCGTTACGGCGCCAACCATTGCCACTGCCATCGCAACTACGCCAACGACGCCTACAGCGTCTTCGCCTCCAACGTCAAACTCAGCCACGACGCAAGGTCTCAGCAATGGCGCGCTGGGAGGAAGGGGGGTGGGGTATAGTGGTTTGGGCGTGGGCGTGGTTGTTGCGGGATGGGTGGGTGTTTGTGTTTATGTCTGAGCTCTGAGCTCTGAGGATATAAGAGCGAGGGATGTAAGATACGGAATGGAATGGCATGGGGCCTGAAGCAAAGGATGGGGATGTACCACTTCAAACGAATAAATGAATGAATGAGTAGATGGATAACGGATCCAGTTTTTGCATTGCAAGATGTGGGGTCTATGTAGACGCATACACATACAAAACACATCAATCCACAACTCCATACAAGAAGACCATGACCGATCAGTGAGGATAACAAGGTGAATATTAATACTAGGTTAAAAGCGGCACCCCATCGTCAGCGTCTCCACACCACCCCTCCCCTCCCCTCCCCTCCCCTCCCTACAACTCCTCGATCCCCCTCGCCTCCCCACTCTCCTCAATCCGAAAATCCGCCCCATCCCCCCTAACACGCTCAATTTCATTTTGAACAGCCAACACCCAATGATCCCTCTCCGCCCTACTCCGCGCTCGAAACACCACACTCCTCCCCTTACTCCCCAACTTAGCAACGCGCTTAAGCCTCGTCGTCTTACCCTCTTTCCGCTGCTGCTCACCCGCCCCAGCCCCCTCCTCAGCGCGGAACCAACTCTTCGCTTTCCCATGCCAGATGACAAACGTAGTCATGACGTCTTCGTCCGTGCTAGTCCAGCCGTCTTCGAGGTATATGCGAGGCAGGGCGTTATGGCCCGGTTTATTCGCGTCGAAAGTTTGGTTTTGGTAGAGGAGGTCTGATTCCGTGAGGAGGCCGGAGTAGATGTAGCAGTCGCGCAGGTCGAGGTTGGCGATGCGCTCGTGGTGGATGTGAGCGAGTTGTTTTCCTGTTTTGGAGCGCAGTACGTCGCGGAACATGACGAGGGTGCCGGCTGTGAGGAGGACGCTGCAGCGGGTGAAGGGGGCGTGGATGCGTGGCTTGCGGTAGAGCATGCCGCTCATGTGGATGCTGCGGCAGCAGGCGATGCCGCACATGTTGTAGAGCTGGGGTGAGGCGAAGGATTGGGTGACTTCCCATTTTCGGGCTGATTGGCCGACGTGGGCTTCGGCTTCTTCGTCGATGTTGAGCGCGCTGAGGTTGCGGCTGCGTGTGGATTTGTAGAGGGTGATGTCGGCGGCGGTTCGGTGTTTCCAGTACTTTGTTAGGGCGCGGAGGTGCTGGATCCATTCTTTTCGGCGGGCTTTGTCGGCGGCCTGAGCTTGTTGTCAGCAATAGTAGTGTAGAAAATATAGAGGATAACAAACCTGTAAACGTATAACCAAGCCATTCTTCATTACCAGTTCGAAGGCTCGACCCAGATCGACATCCCTCGTCGCACCGTCGTCAGTGCGGGAGTTGTCTACCTCCTCATCGAAATCGACATCTGACCCCGTCTCGAGATCCTCATCTACAGGACTGGCACCTATCTGGGCTTTGCGAACCTTGACCACATCAGCCAAATTGATATACCCATCGCAATTGAGCAGATTCTGTTCCTTGCGCACTGCCTCATCAGCCGCATCCGCATCGTGCAGTCTCCTTGTTTCGGGTGTGCCCGTATGACCCGGCATCAACCATTCAACATGGTTGTCCTTCAAAGGATACGGGTTGACCGTCCAGCTTTCGGGTATGTTGTCAGAGATGGCTTGCGCTGTAGGAACCGCTGAATCAGGAGAAGCCGGTAGTGTTGGCGGGGGAGGAGGTGTGGCTTTTGTCGGACGCGAGAATATGAAGTACTGGTCGTGGCTCGCAAAGTACAATTGCTTGTGATACATGAGTCCCAACCGTTTCGCCCGACCGCGCTGTCCGGTCAATCTGATGAGAAACCCTTCCACGGGGACCGGCTCTGTCAGAGTCTTGTGCTTCTTACGCGTTACCGCAGTCGTAGGATAGTGGATCTTGGGTCGAAGCTCCAGGTCATGTGTTTTCAGCATGGCAATCGTGCCATACATCCTACGCTCGTTGGCTCCGTGAATCCACTCCAATCGATCGTAGCGTTTCCACGCGAGCCCAATTCGATTGTCTTTAATCCAAGACTCGAGCACGGCTTCCCATTCAGGAGTCTCGTGTAATTGATCTAGACATCGTCTGATGAGCGCTTCGGCCACGGCTTCCTCTTCTTGCATGGTCTTCAACATGGCTTCCTCGGTATTCTCAGCATCCTGAACTTCGGCGTGTGACGCCTCAATCTTGGCGAAGGGGTTGGCGATCCGCACGCTTAGACTCAGGTCTGGAATGTTAATCTGGAGCTCAGAACCTCGACGCCAGCCCATGATATTGCGGAGAAACGTGTACCATTCCACAGCGTTGGAAGCAGTTCGAGCCTGCATTATGAAGATCAGATTGCCTCGTGAACCAGGTGTCGATACGACAATCGACTTATCCAATGCTGAGTACAGGTTGGTACTGCTGGTCTTGCGTCCGAGGGGTATCTCGTACGCGGCCTTTTTGCCAGCGCCTGTCTTTTCGATTTCTGGGATGACCTGGATGTTCAGTCAGTATCAGAGTATATCAGATCCAAGAAAGTTGGACTCACGCGTGTCTTATACAGCTGGAGCACAAAATCTGCTTCACCCGTGTGACTGTGTCGACAGACGATCATGTACTCCCGCCACTTGTCCTTGACTCTGGAGACAACTCTCTGATTGACATTCTCATCAAAGTCCTCTGGCACTGCTCCAGTAGCAGCATCGACTCGCACAAGCATGCGCTCCATCTTCACGACAATGCCGTCTTTGATCTTCCGCCGTCTAAGCTTCGAAGGCGTTCTCTGAACAGTCATTTGCGCACGTTTCGCCTGGAGATGCACCTTTGCGCGCTTCGAGTCTTCCGGGATATCGAACTTGACGAGGTTGCGAAGGTTGGATTTCTTGCGTGTTATATTCTCTCCTGGAAGGTCTGTGGTATTAGAGGGACCGCCCTCGGACGAATTCATCTCTGACATCCTCCTGACTCTCGCCATGATGCCCCTGGAGGGAGACTTAGGATCGACGTTAGCGACTAGCGGTTCCTTTTTCACGTCAGCCTTGCGTATCAAAGACGAAGTTGATCCTGCATCGATTGAGGCCGGTCCAAGCGTGGATGGCGGTGCATGGCTTTGCGCGGGAGAGAGCAGTCGGTTGTCCGAGGACTTGTGTCCGTCCCCCTCTTCGCTGGTAGGAACGTGTAAGCCACTTGCCTGTGCTTCTTCCACCTCTTCCTCGCGCGTGATATCGTCTTGTGTCTCTTCAACGCCATGGTCTTCAGCCTCTTCCACGTCATCCTCGTCATCGATTGTAGGGTTAGGGACCGAGGAAGCGGTAACGAAAGACTTTGTGCTCGACCGACGCGGTGTCTGCCTTGCCCGTGGATTGAACGCAGCCTCCTCCTCATCATCCTCAGGCTCCGAGGGCGCATCCACAAACTCATCCTCCTCATTCCCAGACATCACATCATCCTTCTGCTCCGACCCTCGGGGAATTGGCAAGGCAGCGGGTGTCGCCGAGGTCGTAGCTGGCGTGCCATTCGCGCCACTGCCCTCTGCCTCTTGCGCGCCTTCCTCCTCCTGGACACGGACCTCGTCCGGCTGCGGAAAGCTGTGCTGGAAGAGAGCAGAGGCGCTCGGGCCTTCCTGGCCGCTCAGTCGTCGTTGGCGCGCCTCGCGGGGATTCGCAGAAAAGGTCGCGGCGCGATTCGAGTAGTTGATGCGCAGGTGGTGCTTGTACCAGTCTCTGCGGTTTTTGCTGAGCCAGCCTGTCTGCAGCCATGTATGAGTGCTACTCTAAGCGGACAATGTGGGGGGTGGAGAGAAGCGTACGGGGATGGGGCCTATGAAGAAGCGCCTCGATGTGAGGTGGACGTGTTCGGGAGTTGCATGTTTCTGTCGCAATTAGCGCCCTGTACTCTCTCCCCATACGTGATGCGAGGAACAATGTGTACCAATTTCTGCGCCGTGTACGAGTCTGGCGACAGGCTCCCGATGTCAGGCAGCTGGTGCCATGACTGCTGGTGGTGCAGCGGCGGATTCGACATTGATTCTCTCCTATGCTAGGTATCTTCGACGCCGACGTGCGCTTATTCGCGTCGCTGAGGGATATCACAAGACATGGACGCTATGCAGGAACTCAGGGATCAAGCAGAGACACACAAATATAGCTATGCACAGCAGAGAGGCAGCCGCGACAGCTGGTTGAGCGCGTAGTTGGGGAAGCACGGTTGGGGGCCTGGCCCAGATGGAGCAGCCGTTGAGCGTCATTAGGAGCGCCATCCCTGCACCAATCATCACGACTCGGACGTCTCGATCCGTCCACTCTCCACTCTGAAGAAACATCGAAACACGCCAAACTGGTTGAATGAAAGGGATGGCATTGGAAAACCGCACTCAATGCGTGTCGACAGAACACAACGTCTTCTCACATGAAAACAGATTCCCACAACTAACAAACCCAGCCATCACTCACTCAACGCACGCCTCCCCCTCGGAACAAGCAAACAAGCAACAAGTCCCACCACACATTCCCATCCCCCAAATCCATAGGGCTGAGAAATCCCTTCGCCCGTATCCTAAGCACCTCCAGACGCGCCATCCACCCCCCTCCCGCGACCTACCATCAGCCCCGATCCCAAGTCTCACCCACCCCGTCCCACCGTCATCCATGTAGTACACCCGTTTCCCGCACCTCCACCTACTGGATCCGGCAACTCCGCGCCAAAAGCGTCGATTGCGGCCTCGGAAGATCTGTCTTTGTGGCGCTAGAGTGCGAGCCTTGTACCTGGGTTAGTTTGGTCGTTCTTTGCACGGCGTGTCAGTTGTGTCGAGTCGACTTCACGCACTTGAGTATTGTGCTGTGGTATGGATTTGGATGTTGGACTTAAACTATAACTTGCCTTTTTTTTTTAAGGGCTCTAGTGTCTGAGTTGTTCACGTCATTGAGTAGGCAGGTATTAGGTATCTTCAGCGGTTGTTGCTGCGCCTCGAGGCTGGGTGGGAAAGCATGTGATAGCAGGCTTTGCCGAGGACCGTGACGTTTACCCAGAACACCATATGCGCTGCGATGGTTCTAGGTATCATATACAAACAAATGCTTCAACACATTAATATAAAACGAGCATCGTAGATAAACAGACTCTAACAACATACCCAGAGCCCAAAAGTCGACCAGCCCCGAACAACACTGTCCGCCATGGAATCAACCCAATACTACCACCATCCCACTCGATCCCCGTCAATCCCGCTTTTCAGACGCAATAGGAAACTCAACGCCCCGCTGACTTCCACTTCCACTTCCACTCCCACTCCCACTCCCACTCCCACCATCCAACCCCAGAATAACAATCTCATCCTCAACATCATGAAAATACCTATAATCCAAGCCCCTAACCTCATCCTCCTCCGCGATCCTAAGATGGCACCCCGGAATCCTACTAATAACAAACAACATGACGATGGAGAAAACAAACGACCACAGCGCACACGTACACGCAGCAGCGAGCTGGTACCCGACCTGCTTCCAGTTGCGATTATACCAGCCGCCTTCATATGTGTTGCTCACGCCGTCCAGAGCGGGTACGAAGTCCGCGGCGAAAATACCCGTCAGGATGTCGCCGACGAAACCGCCGAGCCCGTGGATGGCGAAGATGTCTAGCCCTTCGTCGACGCCGAGGAGGTATTTGTATTTTGCGGTGAAGTAGCAGCATAGGGAGGTTAGAGCGCCGATTAGGGCGGCGAAGTAGATGGGGATGAAGCCAGCTGCTGGGGTGATGCCTGTGAGGTTGTTAGCTATCTCTTGATCGCGCATGATTCGAATGGTGAGCTGGACATACCGACAAGACCGCTGATGATGCCAGAGCAGAAACCGACAATGGAGAATTTGCCAGTTAGGGAATAGTCGAGCAATATCCAAGCAATGCCGCCCCCGCAAGCAGCGAGGTTAGTATTGCAGACGACGTATATGGAGCGAATGGAGAGATTGGCCGTCGATGCACCTGTATATCCATCAGCAAATGCCCAGGAAGCCTATTTCCCCCAATACACCCTTCCACTCACCATTAAAGGAATACCACCCAAACCAGATCAAAACCGTGCCAAGAACCACAAGAGCCGGGCTATGGGCCTTGAAATGCGGCACCCTAGGATGCAGCGACTCCTTATTCACATCCACCCTACGACCCAGCATAATCGCCCACGCCAGCGCCGAAAACCCAGACGCAATATGCACGGGACCCGATCCAGCGAAGTCATACACGCCGAGTTTGTACAGCCAACCGCTTGGATTCCACTCCGCGTGCGCCAGAGGATAGTACACGAAAGTTGTCCAGCAGAGCAGAAACAGCATCGAAGGCCACAGGCGCCCACGCTCAAGCATACCCCCCGCCAAAATCATGGCAGTGCAGGTCACAAACGTGAAGCCGAAGCACGCATACAGGATATCCGGGATGTCGCTGTTTGCAAGCGACGGGTACCCCAGAACGTTGTGCAGGCCTGCTTTTGACAAATCCCCGAGGAACGCGTTGGTGGTGTGCGATTGGTAGAGCGAGTAGCCGTAGACCCAGAATTGGATGCCCACGGCGCAGGCGCAGAACAGGGATTGGAAAAGCATGGTGAGCGCTGATTTTTTCCTGTGCATTCCGGCGTAGAGGAAGCCTATGGCAGGCGTGATTTGCCTGGGTTTTGTCAGTTGTGGTCTCTAGGCTGAGATGGATGGCGTACCAGCATATAAGACTGCTCACTAACATCCAGCACAAGTCGCCTTTGTCGTACGGCGCATTGAGATCCGTCGTCATGACATCTCCTCCGGTGGGCATGAGATTGTAGTCTGGCCACTCTACCAGAGGAGTGGGTGCTGGAACCTCTGCCATCTTTGCTCGACCCGCTGTCTCTCAGTGTTGAACAATACGTTATCAGGCGTGGTAGCGTCCGAATGGTTCTTCAGGAAGACGGCCACTTGCGATCTCAAGAGGATGGCTAGAAAGTATATATGGATAACTCCAAAACCCTCAATAGCTGATATCTGGTATTAGTCGAGTGGTCCGAAGTTACTGGATCCACGTGGTTGTCTGGAATCAATGCTCGCGCCGTACCGTTCCACCTAGCGGTAGCGAGGTTTTGGCGGTGTAAATCACTTATTTGAGAGCTACCCATAGGGTCCAATGTTCGGTGAACAGCTGCGGGTATATTTAAACGTTCACGCTTATCTAGTAACTCCAGGTAAGCGCCCAATATGCATGTTCTGAGCAGGGTTCCGACGATACCACCACAGGTTGTACCCAACCACCGGGGATGCATTCGGGCCGTTTAGCGAACACGAACCAGCTCTACTCGCCAGATGTAGAATAGTGAGGCATTGCCCATGTTCGTCTTATCGTTCCTTCCCCCTTTAGAATCCGGGGTGGAGTGGGGCGGGAGCCAAGAGGGAGCCATATGCATGCACTTGGCGAAAGATAACGTTGCATGGGTACTGCAGATCGCACCCGGCAGTTCAATGAAACAAGCAGGTGCTGATATGAAATCAGATACTCTTTACGACGAGATCCCAGCACTTGCGCATGCCAGTCGATAGGGTTTCATGATCCATGGACTCGGTACTCACCCATTTTCGTGGTGGTGTACCGCTGATAGTCAGATCAACATCATCAGCCTTGTCGATCTTGAGCGCATAATGATGGACGTTCATGGTAAGTTTAAGGTGCGTGAACACATGAACCAATGGCTCGAAACTTGCAACATATCGCGCCTTGCTCAGATCAATGTTGCCGGCGTCAAGATCCGCTACAAACGCTTGTGCTGAAGTCTTGCGATCCTTAGGTGTATCTTTTGGAACGGGAATTGTACTTTGGGGGAATTGCCTATGGTGGGATATTTAGCAGAAGTCCGACGAATAAGAAAAGGAGAGTACGGCCTATCACAGTCTGATACAGCACGCCATGACCAGATAGGAGTTGTCCGTAGAGCCACCAGGGTAGACAAGATGTAACCAGGGTGTACATACCATAAAGAGGCAAGTAGTCCTGAGGGCATATGTTAGCCTGAAAGTATCCATGAGCCGGACTGCAACGCTTACCTTTTGCCGGTCTTTGTTCAATCAGCCACTTGCTACTCCCCTTTGACGGACGCAGCTCAACAAGACACACGACACACGCTTCTTCAGCTGCCTTTTTCTTCGCCACCTTCTTTGGGTAGAGCGAGCAGTATGCTGATATCGACTTCGACTGTGTAGTAGGTGCAGAGGCCTTTCTCTTTCTTGTTCCATCGACTCGCAAATCGTCAGCAGCTTCTTCGTCTTTTGTCTCGTCACCTGAACCTGCGCTGGGTGTACCAATGGCAAAGTAGTGCGATATTTTGTTGTTGGGTTGTTTTGTAGCAATCTTCCGTTTCTTTGCGGACTTGGGTTTATCGTCGTCTTCATCTTCTCCTCGAGCTGCAATTATGTCCTCGATGTCCACTGCGTCGCATAGATTGCACGCATCCTCGATATCGGGAATCGTAAGCGGTTGAGCCATGTCGGATAATGTCTGCGCCTCGCTATACACTCTACACGTGTTTTGAATCGGACATTCGTCACACTTTGGTCGGGGAGTACATATTGTTGAACCGAGTTCCATAAGCGCCTGATTCCACTGTCCAGGTATAATGCTGTTCTTAATCTCCGGATATTTTGATACACACTTGATCAACTGATCCGCTACTTCCCAAAGAAGGTCTGAAGTTTTCTTGTCTTTTACGTCCGCATATAGACCGAGCTGTCGACTCAAGACTCTCGCTACATTCCCATCAAGCACGGGTTCGGCTTCGCCAAATGCGATGCTAGATATGGCGCCGGCAGTGTATTTGCCTATGCCAGGAAACTCTTGAAGTTCTATCGCTGAGCTCGGGATTGGACAAACAGAGCTCGAGGATTTGCCTACGACTACTTGTGCTCCCTCATGCAGGCGAGTCGCTCGAGAGTAGTATCCAAGGCCTTTCCAGACGGAGAGTACTTCGTCGTGATTGGCTTGAGCCAGGTCCTGAACAGTTGGCCATTTCGATATCCATGTATTGAAATAGGGGATGACTGTGGACACTCGTGTTTGTTGAAGCACTGAATTTTGAGTAAGCAAGATATCAATATTGTATGTCCTCATAGATTGCCGATTCTGATGAACTCTAACATATTCGTGGGCCCACGCGTGATACACGTGATTACGCGTCAAACCAAACGAGTCGCGTCGCCTTCTCCTGTGCCAACATTCAATCGCATAAACTTACTAACTTCAGACACCCAAACCTCGTACGCCCTTCTCGCTAAGATACTTCCCAACTCTTTCTCTTTCCCCTCATACGATTTCGGATCAATCCATTTCTTGCGCCAGGGCATGCTTCGCGTCTCCTCGACGCGTCCAAACCAACTCAGCAGCGCGTCGCATGCTGTGCTGTCGTTAAGAAGAAGTGCATAGTGGTACGCAGACTCATGAGCGCGCAATGGTAGAGACGCCGTTGAGAGGGGTTGCGCGGGTTCTGAGATGCTGGATTTGGGATTGGCTTTTGGTTTTGATTTTGACGTCTTTGGTGCGGACGCGGGTAGCTTCTTACGCGGTGGCATGACGTGTCGCAATCGTGATTGAATCTTGGCTTGATGCTGCTGTCAACGACTATGCTGATGATGGGTTACGACAGATTGGATAAATCACAATTGTGAAATGCAGGGGTGAAGACACCAGCTAGCGCGCTTGCGACTCATGACATCACGTCCGTTGAAATTACCCACGTTTGATCATTCCCGTACGCCAACTCTCAGAGAACTCTCGATTCGTGCTGCCAGAATAACGGCTGCATTCACGCATAAACAATCAAGTAGTACGCAGATGACTGTATTGGCGGAGTCTGTGCAAAGGCTGATGTTACGCGTTATGCTATCTCCCAGCATCTCACGTTTCTAGACTCCAAGACCTTTGATCTGCCACCAGAATTTTATCGACAACAGTATTTCCGGATCAAGAACTGAAGATGATAGATTGACTGATCTACGTCTCCTTCACCGCTGTGTCTTTTGCCACCAACGAGGGCACAGATTCACCCTGTATAACCACAACATCCGACACCTTCTCTACCGCAGCCTTGTGTTCAGAAACCGTATCTAGAACAGTCTTCTTGGCTTCAGCGCTCCCATCCTTCCACCTGAGCAAAACAAACGAATGCTTTCCGAATTTGAACTTGCCCTTACCATCCCACGAAGACTCCTTGATCCCAACCTTCTGCTCCTTCTCCGTGTTCACAACCTGAACGTCGTCTCCAGATACAGTGTACACTTCAACCTTCTCCGCCTTCAGCCCCTCCAAGGAAACCTCAAAGTCTTGGTCCTCGCTGACGTTTGTAACAGCCAGATTCACGAACCCGTCGTCCCCGAGAACAGCGCTGCAGTCGAGATATGGCGTCTCGATCGTTCCACGGACCCAGTTAGGATTTGTCCGACCAGTGTATTCCGGAGCTCGGACATTCAGCGCAATAGTATGACCGCGCATGTATTTGCTGAACAGCAGCAGCGGCCACCAGATCGTCTGCTTGATCAACCCTTCCTTGGTCGTCATCAGAGGGGAAATGACATTGACGGACTGCGCAATGTTCGCCATGCCCATATCCTTCGCTTGTCTGATAAACCCGTTCAGGAAGATTGCAACAGCTAGTGCGTCAGAGAGTGTGTACTTCTCCTCTGCGCCCAGCTCACCCGGTGCTCGCACAGGGTCCCAGACGTTCCATTCGTCGAAACAGATCGTTGGCCTGGGCACCGTCTCCGGGACCTTGTTCTCAATGCGCGCGAGATCGATCAGTGCACTTGCCATCTGGATGGCGCGTTCTGCAGCTCTTGGCGCGGTAGCGTTGGGCAGGTGCTCTTTATCTGCTGTGTAGATGTGGATACTGTGCATGTCGATGAGAGACTTTGTGTTGTCGCCCGCTAAGCCGTGGACGTCCCATTTGACGCACTGGTTTAGAACGTAGTAGTCCCAGGATGAGTAGCCGGTCTCACCACATAGAATGAGAATGATGCTTGGGTCCAGAAGTTTCAGAGCTTTTGCCCATCGGTAGGCCTTCTTTGCGTAGTCTTCCTTTGTCATTTGTTCAACTTGCCACGGACCCCAGCATTCGTTGCCCAAGGCCCAGTATTTGACCTGCAATATATTAGAGGCTGGATGGAAATCACGAGTTGGAGATAAAACCTACGTTGTATGGCTTCTCGCGACCATTTTTGCGGCGGAGATTAGCATAGTATGTGTTGCGCTCCGAGTTACAGTATTCGAGCCATCCCAAAGCTGATCCAAATATGTTAGACTTGAAAAATTAGGCGGAGGGCGTAGCGGAAATACCTTCATCTAATGTGCCGGTTCCGAAGTTGAGGCATAGGTAGGGCTCGGTATCAACCACTTCACACCATTTCATAAACTCATCGGTGCCAAACTCGTTCGATTCGGTGCCTATCCAAGCGAGTTCGGGCCTAAATTGAATGTTAGTATGTATGCTTTGAATTAGAAATGATATCCAAGGAAGACGATAGCACAAAACACGTGCACGTTGTACAAAAAAAAAAGACTCAATATTACCTGCTAGGCCTCTGCTCTTTCGGACCAACTCCATCCAACCAGTGGTATGTAGCAACAAAGTTACCACCAGGATATCTCACCACCGGCACATTCAAGTCCTTGAAAGCTTCGACGACATCTTTACGAAAGCCGTTTTCATCCGACAACGGATTCCCCGGCTCGTAGATGCCACCATATATGCACCGTCCCATGTGTCTGCAATAATCTTGTAAGCAAATTGCATTGTCTCGGCTAAATTTGTGGCGTACTCTGTGAAGCCGCCATAGATATTATCGTTGACCTTAGCAATCTTATGCGAAGGATGGATGGTAATGGAAGAGCTCTCGCTCTCCTCGATTCTGGTGAAACTAGCCATGACGGATGTTTGAATGGTTGCAATTCAGTGTCTGTACAGGCGCATAGAATCTAATTTCAAGACTCTCGAGTCCCATAAAAGATCCGTAAGTCCCATAATTTCACGGCGTGATTACCGTGAAGTCCAAGATAGCTTTGGGCGCGTGATCGAGGAACTCGGAGGCTAGTACTGGAACGGCGAGAGCATACCTCTCCGATTGGAGGAAACTCATGATGCCTAGATTTCGGTCGTATTTCTCGGTAACCACCCCGGTCATTACTACACTTGGTTACGCAGCCGCACTTGACATTGCAAGCTCCGGATATTTCGGGCGATTTTCTTCCGTGCAACCTATCGGCCATGTGAGTGTAGGATTCATGACCGGCTAGTGGGGATAGCGTCTCCATCATGATTTCTCCAGAGCGGGGATGGAGTATCTGGGGTAGTGTCATTCGACGTTGTGCCCAGCGACGCGGGTCGCACGCGAGAAAAGACAGGGAATGAAATTAATATGCAAAGGTATAAAGTAGTTGTGGCCTGCTCATGTGGGTCGACATTCGATGCAGCATCGTCCAAGCCATATCTAGCTTGACATACGCGCTGGACTTTCAACATGGCGATCCCTCCTAAGTGGTACCAGGTACGGCTCTTCAACGTTGCAAACTCTGAGAGGGCAGGGTAGCCATCCACGACTGTCCGATTGTCTAGTCCAGACGTCTTCGACCCTTTTGCGCCTTCGGTGGTGGAGGTGCAAAAGGTAATCGATGCCATCTAATTAGATGATACAGAAGTCGCTGGATGGTGGTCCTTTCTCATACAGCTCATGCAACAATTTCATGTTCTTCGAGTACAGTACGTTCTGACAAATTCATAGTTCCTTGTAGGACTCTTTGCGTCCCTGGGTTCGCTGCTGTTTGGTTATGATTTGGGTGTTATCGCCCAAGTCATTGCTTCGCAGTCCTTCAACAGCGAGTTCAAACCTACCACAGCCGAAACGTAAGCACTCATCAGACATGCACAGAATACACTGAGACTTACACTTCTTTAGCGGAGCAGTTGTGTCCGTCTTTACGGGCGGAGCCGTCTTCGGAGCTGCATTCGCCGGTCCATCGGGTGATAAGCTGGGACGGAGAAAGACCATCCTCATCGGCGCTACAGTCTTCTGCCTTGGCGGTGCTCTCCAGACTGGCGCGAGGGGTTTGTCATACCTCTATGCTGGACGTGCCATTGCCGGTATTGGGTGAGTTTCCAGCTGTGAAAGTATGATTCGAACGCTAACTCAAATATCAGTGTTGGTATGCTTTGCATGATCATTCCTGTGTACCAGGGAGAGTTGGCCCATCCAAGCATTCGTGGTCGTGTCACTGCTCTCCAGCAGTTCATGCTTGGCGTGGGAGCTTTGCTTGCCGCCTGGATTTCTTATGGTAAGATTCCGATGCTTTATCCCAAAGACTTGTTCGTTTCCACTTGCTAATATGTCGCAGGAACATACGTCGGTTTCGCACCTACCAACAGTGGCCAATGGCGTACCCCTCTTGGTATCCAGATCATTCCTGCTCTCGTCCTTGCAGCTCTTATCCTTCTCTTCCCCGAATCGCCCCGCTGGCTCATCGACCATGGAAGAGTTGACGATGGACTCCGAACATTGGCGAAGTTGCACGCTCATGGCAATGTGAACGACCCTTGGGTTCAGGCCGAGTTTCAGCAAATTCAAGAGACCATTGCCTACGAGCATGAGCATGAGGCCAAGTCGTATGTTGAGCTCTTCAAGGACAGGTCCTGCTTCCGCCGAGTCTTCCTTGCTTGTGCGATCCAGGCTTCCATTCAGATGACTGGTGTTTCTGCGATCCAGTACTACTCAGTTTCCATTTACAAGATGATGGGTATCGCCGGAGACGAGACCTTGAAGTACCAGGCCATCTCTTCAGTCATCGCTCTCATTGCTCAGTTCCTCTGCATCCTCTTCATCGACAAGTTTGGACGTCGCTGGCCCCTGATTCTCGGTAACCTTGGAAACATGGTAACCTTTATCATTGCAACGATCCTGCTAGCCAAATTCCCACCTGGATCTAGCAGCAACAAGGCTGCATCATGGGGATTCATTATAATTACCTGGGTGTACAACTTCAGCTTCAGTGCTACTTGCGGACCGCTGTCCTGGATCATTCCTGCGGAAATCTTTGACACCAAGACGCGATCAAAGGGTGTCTCGATAGCGACTGTGATATCCTTCGTTTTCAACACCATGATCGGCCAAGTCACGGGACCGGCTATGGAGGCGGTCGGATGGCGATACTACCTTCTGTTCGTCGTAAGTAGCATACTTTCCCGAGTTTGGGAACGAAACACTAACATTCTGCACAGATTGGCAATTTCACCAATGCGATATTCTTCTACTGTTTCCTTCCGGAGACTGCCAAGCGTCCTCTAGAGGAGATGAACCATCTCTTCAAGAATGCGCCTCTCTTCGTTCCAGGCATGGATAAGCGCGAATGGGCTCCTGGTGTCGATTTGGAGCGTCGTGTTGAGCAGGTTGAGGCCAAGCAGGGATCTGTCTCTCACCATGAGGTTACTACCTATTGATGGTAGTTCCCAGTACGATTTCTTCGTATGGTTGGTGGTCATTAGTGATCTGGGGTTGCCTCAGGCAACGTGTAGTACAGCGGAATACTATTGAAGTGTGTAAAGCTTGAACCCCTTGTAACTGTTGCATGTGAAACTCGTACATACCATGGGCGGATCGGCGTTGATCGATCATGTTGACTCGATCGATCGTGTCGATCAAACAGATCCAAACCCTTGCAGAAAACCACGAACTAAACAAGCCTCCAGAGGTAGCCATGTGAGTGATTTGCGAATGTCATGTACAATTCAGGTAGAGTATAGTTCGCAATACCTGTACACACGACACGCTGCTTACAAGATTTTTAAATCTACCAAGGGGCTAATCCATCGATGCTTTCTACAGATTCTCAAACATACTGACACGAAGACGTATGGAACAGTTTGGTCTTTTCTGTACTCTACTTTCAGTCATCGTTTAGAAAGACTATCCTATCGTTCTCTAAGCCTATATGACGAATTCAGCCAGGCGCAATATTTCGTCCGAAGTTCACGTGTTGTTTCGCAACTCATTCAAGCAGTCTCACGTAAATGACTTTCTCAGGTTGCGCTCAAGTTTGATCAAGGTTGAGAATCCATTGCATCCGTTATACGTATCCGACACTTGACTATAGATTCCTACCATATTTTTACTTACTGCCACTGGTTGCTCACCGCAGCGCTAGCCTGGCAGGCCGGCGCCGAATAGGCCCTGTTCGGGTCACTCTCCCAAGTCACTACTCCGCTGCTCGACACCTTGAGGAACTTGTACTGCACCGCCTGTCCCGCTGCCAAGCTCAGTGTGATGGTCCATACTGGGTTACTGGATGTGTACTGTGAGGCTGAGAGAGCGAGAGCGTTGGCTGGGGCCCAGTTGCCTAGTTGTGTCGTATTACCAGCAATTTTGATGGTGTCGCCAACTGCAGTAGTGACACGCTCGGTGAAAGAAACTGATACCGCTGTCGGGCAGGCTGATGTGGTAGTGCGAAGAGTCGTGGACGTGGCTTTGGTGGTCGCGGTGGCGGCTGCTACGACCAGAACGATAGGCTCGCCGTTGGTCACGTTCAAGCACACTTGACCGTTGCTATCGGCAGTGACCGTCGCGCCGTTGCCGTAAACGTTTGTCCATATTCCATTGGCTTTCTGCGAGTTGAAGCAGTGTTGGCCACTGTATGCGCTTCCGCCATTTGTGGTCAGAACAACAAGGTTGCCACCGGCTCGACTCCACGCATAGGCGTTACTGGCCACATACAAATGTACGTGATCGTTTCCTGCCAAGCCACCTGCTGACTTCCTTGCAGCAGTGAGTTTCGAGACCGCCTGGTACATGGTTGATTGCGTGTTGAAGTTGCTGCTCCACAGATCTTCGCGATTTGCGGGATCAGCACCACCGCCATAACCTTGTTCAGTACCGTAGTACAGGATCGGAATGCCTCGTGCGAGGATGACATAAGCAAGAGCGTTCCTGAGAAGCGCCTGATCGTTCTTCTGGTTCAAGAAGCGTGGGTTGTCATGATTGTCGAGGAAGGTCCCTTATACAGTCAGCACAGAACCTATAGCTTGCCTCCAAACGTACCTAATGCTGTCGGGTCCGGAAATGTGTTGGCAACTGTGTTCATCATATCAACCAGTGCTTGTGATGTGCCGTTTTGCTGGTAGAAGGCGTTCAACGGGTAGTATATCGCGTAGTTGAGCAGTCCAGGCATCAGTTTCGCATATGGAACCAGAAACGCTGGGTCACCATTCCACACCTCACCGATGGCGTACGCACCAATCGCCTTGACAAAGTCTGGCCAGAATTCCTTCTCGACGTGCTTGACGGTGTCGATGCGTACACCATCAAACTGATATTCAGTCACCAAATACTTGACCCAGGTATTGAGTACTGTGCTAACAGCAGAACTCTCAGTGTTGAGATCTGGCAGACCGGAGATACGGCAATCCTCGACGCTGGTTTGGTTGTCGTAGTTGATGTCACAGTTAGAATGGTAGGAGGACGTTAGATTCAACGGCGTTGGGCGGTTGTCAGCGATCGCTCCTGGACCCATGTGGTTCGCAACGACGTCGACCATAACATAGATTCCCTTTGAAGTGGTCAGACTATGCTCTAGCTTGCAGTGGTAGCATGCGTGCTTACCTTAGTATGGGCAGTGCTGACGAGACTCTTCAGGTCGGCCGCGGTACCATAGTTCGAATTGATTGCATATAGGTCTTGGGCCCAGTAGCCGTGATATCCTCCAGGGCTGTCTGTCCATGCCGTCAGCTTTCTTGCCTACAAGACTCCAAACTAATCTTATGGACGCTTGGGTCGAACAAGTTCTGCATAACTGGAACGAAAGAGTTCGACGTACTAGCAACAACAGGCGTGATCCATATCGCATCGAACCCCAGCGTCTTGATGTAATCAAGCTTAGACTCAAGACCCTTGAACGTCCCGCCACAGTAGTTGCCTAGGTTTCCACACGCGGGGCCGCCGGTATCGATATTGCTACGAGCAACGCGGTCCGTAAGGGCAAAGTAAATACTGCGAGACTTCCATGCACTAGTATCTGCCGCTGTAGCGAGGGAGCAAAGATGAAGAAGAAGCGCAACGAGAGTAGAGAAGAGCAACATCTTGACGGAGGCAGATGTCAGAACAAATGCGGGATGTTGCTGGCCGAGGAGTTGAATCGATCTCTCCAGATGACATGCTCAATCTAGGAGATGACATGCCTACTTATAGACACATCTCAGGATTGCCCTAAAAATTTAGATTGTTTGGAATAGAGCTAGCAGGGGAAGTGTGAGACTCAGCCCAAGTACTACAAAGAGTGCGGCCCATTGCAAAGCGGATATACAGGAGTATGGTCATGAGCCACTTGACCAATTAAACATATTTGCTTTTGTGGCGCTATATTTCCGTATATCCGATTTGCAGCGGGCCGCACCTTGAGTAAGCTCCAGAAAAACTTAAATGCCTCCAATTTCCCTGCAAGTACCGACAAGTCTACCCAGTCGATAAGACTTTAGCTATCTTTGGCGTTTTCTTCCCTTGCTAGCTTCGTTTCAAAGAGCCCGTTTAGTACTGAATGTTATTGAATAGGCGTCCCGACTCCACCGTTGAAATATTTATATACAGTGCAGACCTTGACGACTCGCGCTTAGTCATATTTGCCAATTCGACATCCACCTTGTAGTAATGACCTCAATGCAAGATTGCAAGTCTTCTACGAAACAGCGCTAATCGCGCCGGACCGAGCACTGACCAGTTAAAGCGTATCACACAACACATCGTCCGAACATGACGATCTTTCGGACTTGTTTTAAGCTTTAGAAAGATCTCGCGCGGTCTCGTGGACACGGGACGTGAAATGCGGGGTGTGGAGAACAACGGCTATCACGCCTGAAACAGAAGCTGTAAATGGCTTTTTGCATGTTCTGATGCAAGCTAGAATGGAAGCTTTCCCATTTCTAGGTGATGAACCAGGATAACCTCACGTCCCGTCCGGCACTTGTCGGCCTCAACACTGCTTCCTGGTGATGAGTCCGGTACTTGTGGTTTACGCGCATCCTCGACTGTGCAGACCAATAATTTAGAGGATGTAGCGGTATGCTTCCAGGATCCTGGAAAACCAACCTCCGCATCCGAACACATGGCGACGGGATGTAGATTAACACCCCGACGCTGTCATGCTGACCAGGCTCTTGTGATCTGTTTCTACACCCACAAGGATGGGTCCATGTCTTGTGCTTCTAGTATCTCCGACTTCTCTCCAATGAGCAATAAACAGCTACATGAGCTTCAGACCGTCACCTCTTTCCATATGCTGGCACCATGAATTTTGTAGAAGAACGTTTCTAGATTTTCATATGCGAATTCCAAGTGTACCACGAACTGTGATGTATATAACATCCTCAAGAACCATCTGTTGTGGGAACAAAACAGTGTTCAGTTTCGAGAATCTTTAGGCTTTCTGTCCGCTTCTCATTCATCTTCGTTGATACAATTCTTTTCTGAACACAATAAGCCTAATACATAAGGGGCGAAGACACATCATGCGGTCTTCAATCATCAACGCCCTTGCCTTTGCAGTCGGTGTCCAAGCACATGGCTATCTTTCCATGCCAATGAGTCGAACAGGACTCAACGCACAGGTATGTTATACTCTACAACCCAGTCACTATGTCCTTGAACACTACCTCTAACATCATACAGTCTGGCGCGGACACCTGTCCAGAGTGTACCATCCTAGAGCCCGTGACGGCATGGCCCGACCTCTCCGCAGCAAAAGTAGGCCGCAGCGGCCCCTGTGGCTACAATGCCCGCGTAAGCGTCGACTACAACCAGCCCGGTCCACGCTGGGGCTCTGCTCCCGTTATAACTTACAAGTCCGGCGACGTCGTCGATGTGCAATGGTGTCTCGACGCCAACGGCGACCACGGCGGGATGTTCTCCTACCGCATCTGCCAGGACCAAAGCATCGTCGACAAGTTTCTTAACCCTGCGTACCTCCCTAGTGAAGCAGAGAAGCAGGCAGCCGAGGATTGCTTCGTGCGTGGTACTCTGCCTTGCACAGACGTCACTGGACAATCGTGCGGATATAGTCCTGATTGCTCGCCGGGGCAGGCGTGCTGGCGTAACGACTGGTTTACATGCAAGGCATTCGCAGATACGAAGTGCCGGGGTGTGGATAATGCGCCATTGAACTCTTGCTACACCAGCATCGCAGGCGGTAAGTGTACTCTACCAACACCCAACAGTCGCTTTCCTGGCCAATAAAACATTACCTTCTGCAACTACTAACGAAACAACCACCAGGCTACACGGTCAGTTCGAAGATCAAGGTGCCGAACTATACATCCAACCACACACTGTTGTCATTCAAGTGGAATTCCTTCCAGACACCACAGATCTACCTCACCTGTGCTGATATTAAAATCACCGGATCTGGTACAACTCCAACGCCACCCAAGTCCTCCACCACTTCCGTTCCAACTTCAACAAAACCCACGTCCACAGCCTCGCCGATAGGATGCGCAACCCCTGTGCCTACTGTGGCTGTGAAATTCGAGTCCAAAACTACAACCTCTTTTGGTCAGACTGTCAAGATCGTGGGCTCGATTGCGGCACTGGGCTCCTGGAATACTGCCTCTGCACCAGTACTGTCTGCAGACCAGTACACAACATCAAACCCGCTATGGTCGACCACGATCAATCTGCCAGCTGGAACTAGCTTCGAGTATAAGTTCATCAAGGTGGAAAGCAGTGGAGCTGTCACGTATGAGTCGGGCGCGAATAGACAGTACACCGTTCCCAAGATTTGTGCAAGTGGTGCGACAGTAAGTACATCATGGAAGTAACGATTAGGAAGGTAGTGAATTTGGTCCAAGGGACGTGAATGGTTGTCGTGGTTTCAAAAAAGCTCTGTTTTCTAATTCGTATTGGCTATAAATTGTAAACCTACTCTCGAAATGAAATAACAGTTGTTCACACACTTATCTCTTTCTCGATGGCGCTCGTCTTAGATTCTTTGCGTTGGCTTGCATGCGACTTGATCTAAGGATTCTCAAAAGCATGTCTGTACACTTCAAATACATTGCGAGTTCAAGAGCGTCTTTGATAGGATATTGCATACTCGCATTCCGCACATAATCAAGCTTTACAATCGACAATATCTCTGCCGAGGCACGGTTCTCAGGGTAATCATGAATTTATCTTGACATTTATACCTGATGTTGGAGAAATTCAACGTCGTGTAATCAAATTATCTGGATTTCACAATCAGCCTCCAAATATTCAAATCGACCCCCTTGATTGACTGATACTACAGGCTTGCTACAGAATTTAGATCAGGCAACGATTATCTCCTCTTTACTTTCATTTCAAACCGCAACTCATAGAATCTTTTCTCGGCCTTCAACGCGCCAGAGCATTTTCAGCCATAGGGCGATTATATGTGTCTTGGTACTGCTTGGAGTCTTTCTCGCGATCTCGATGGTCTACTACATGGTATACGTGATTGAAAGTCTGGAAAGGGTACAGTTTTTAGTCAAAAGTCTGCAGCTTTGCGTCATTGTACATACGACATGCCCACATTTCTGTGAAACGATGTCAAACTTCATTGGTACAAAACCCAACACGTGAATTCGACACGTTCACATGCGATGATGATTCAATATTCTACACCCTGTGAAGTGTTGGTCTATGTTCACAGCCGAAGCGTCATCTGCGCGACTACAAACGGCCACAGCAGTGATAAAGCTTCCACATACAGTCGACTTCAAAGCGACCTCGCCACGCCAAACCGCACTCATCATCATCCTCAAAACTCCGTTACTCACCGTGTCCTATCATGTCAAGAGCATTCACTATCCGAACCATCGGCCTTGGTTCTACATACGATATCATCATCCTCAAACAAAAGTTCAGAGGCTGGTTTAGAAGCATGAAGGTGAAATACTTTCACAAACATGGCGGCCCGCGAGAGCCGAGCAAAGAGACGGATCTTTACTTCGATTGGAGACGGATGCGTGAGCCAGACAATCAGACTTCAGGGAATGCGCATCCGGGTATGCGGGTTCTTTGAGTAGAGAGGCTAAGAAAAGAACATGACGATAAGGGATGGAGAGGGGAGAGAGAAAAGAGATGGTTGTGGGCCCTTTGAAAAAAAGTATAATAGAAAATCCCGCATGCTCTTATCTTCGTTTTGGAGACTGTTTCGGTGCGATTTCAGTGACAAGGTCATAGCTTAGATGTTAATAATGCTCTTCAAGAATTTTGAACACAGCTGAAGTTTTGGGTTGGCAGTTGTGCAAAGGTTCTCTAACAGATATGACAAGGTCAGAATAAAGGTTGCATAGAAATTCCTTGTATTTCTTGGGCAGGACTTGCACATGTTTGCTTTGCTACTATGATTCCAGAAAACACTGGTAGATTCGCCAACAGTGAGGTCCAAGCGAGTCTTGCTTGAGTTTGAGAATGCACCTCATCAGGCGATGGTTGAGTGATAGGCTAGGATAGTCATGCATAAGCAGTGTGCATGATGATTACAGTCGAGTTCATGATACAACACCAGTGCTAACCATCTGGATTGCCAAACACGTGTCCCATGATATCGCTAGTTAGACATGACGACTCCATGTTGATTTGAGCTGGTGAGGGACGATCGTTAGGAGACTATTAGGATTTTATCTCAGTGCGAAGCCGATTCTGAGGGATTTTGATCATCCGCCTCTCAGCTGGTGAACAGGGAGAAGAGAAGAAACATGAAAAGTTGCGCACCTAGTTCATTGTCAATTTTTTTGAAACAGAATACGCATGGCGCAGGTTGGCCGTATTGAGAGAAGAGACGACTTGTTGTCCAACGCAAAGCGCAATACTCTTGCGGAAGCTGGTGGTCTCAGTCGATTCGACAAACAACAGATTTGCTGTATACCAGAGAGCGCAACAAGCACCTCACCACAGATTCTTCATCAACGTACTCTGATCTCACAGGGAATTTTAAGTCAAGTCCGTTCTCTGATGGCATTATAATTAAGAGGCTATAGGAAGGATATGTAGTAGAGAATGATGTGCATAACGATACAAACAGTTTTCAGTACTGCGAAAAATATTTATAGCAACAAGTATAATCGATCGTTAGATGTGAACGTGGTACCTGCGGTGGTCGCTGAGGATGAGGGAGGCAGCATTGCGATATGACGTAATCGGCTAGCCTCACCCCTATTCTTTATATCTGGCGCCGTCTAGTCTATACATTTTCCTTAAAGTCGCAAAATCTCATTCCACCATGCTTTAGTTCCAAGAATCAGCTTTAGTTCTCTTTCGTTGAATAATCTAGCATCTTGGTCCTCATTCTGATTGGCCGATGCAGGCCGGCATCTTTTTCATTCCTTACTTCCCAGAGTGAAAGGACAGAGACAACCCTTGCTGACAATTCTGCAGATGGACTTGCAACAAATTCAATACCGATCCGTAGAACAATGCTTGTACATACTATGGAAAAGTCGATTTGCGTGTGCTCCGCAGGAGTTAGCGGCCGATTGATACCGATCCTGGCACAAAGACAAACCCCGCATCTTCCACTTTTGCAACCAGAGAAATCAACGGATTTTTGTCTAGTACTACCGCCGCTGGCCAAAGATGCCAGACAGTCCAGCACTTTTTCAAGCAACATATATTGACCAAATTCTCACTCTATGGGAAACGAAGAGGCCGGTTGGCGCAATGGTAGCGCGTAGCCCTCCTAAGCATCTGCTACGGTAAGGCTGAGGCTGTGGGTTCGAGTCCCACATTGGTCGCTTTCTTTTGCCGTTCTTGAGGTTTTCTTTTTGGTACTGGAAAGTTTGCATGGTGCGAGATGGTCGTGGTTGAGCTTGGGTGCTGACTCGAGCGATGATTGGCCCGGCATTAGTCAGCTCGCTTAGTCAGCACTCAGCCTCGTTTATCTCGCCTGTCCGATCCAACAGATTTCGCTGTCCGCCTTCACCTCAACTTTAAATTTGTTTCCAACTGCGTCGAGCAGTTGTCGGAGTAGAGCACTGCGACTTGTTAGCATGTGTCGACTCAGCGATGGGGCTCGTTTTATCTCGTCCCCGCCAAAGCTCACTTCTCCAAGTGTAGACTACAACGAGATACCAGTTGGTATCCAACAATGTCCTAATACCCTGAAGCCTACAACACTAGATTTCAGTGTAGCTTAAGGATCGTAAAGTTCTGTTGTAGTTGTCAACAGCTTTCAGGTAAGCCTTACGTGTTACTTAACTTTCTATCTCTTAACTCATCTATCACAGGTGATGAACGAATTATACGACAAGCCAGCGGCCTGGCAATGAAGATGCGGATGAATCCAGAGGATTTCGGCAGTCGAGGAGTCAAGACGCCGAGCGTGCAACCTACTGGCCAATATCTGGTGGTCATATGCCGAATATCAGGATGGTCATCAGCAAGAAAGTTCACTGCCGGAGGATTGACAGTCGCTCGATCCCAAGCCAAGGTGATTGCAGACCTGGTGGCAGGTGGTCTCACCATGGGAGACCGCCTGGCCGCCAACTGTCCAACCCCGAAGAATTTCCTGCAGATCAAGGCCACGGCGCACCACCGTTTGGGAGGAGACTTTACAAACTTCCAAAAGGCTGGAAATGATGCACCAGCGATGGTGAAAGATATCAGGGCAATATTCAACAGCTTTCCCGAAGGGGCGGCCGTCACAGCCTTAATTCGATCGATAGATGGGATCAGTATCGATGCCACTTTGCAGTTGATCTGCTGAAGTCTATGCATGGGTGACGATATCCAGCCTTTACCACGCGTCAGCATGTCTCTACAGTCTTATGAAACGGCAGACTCTAGCGGGTCGGAAAATCCTATATCACGTCGTGTCGTATTTCATCCTCACTCTGCAATCCTTGCATGCTGATGGTCGAGGTCCACGGTAGTGCTGTACCATTATGGCGGGAAAGAGGGGGCATCAACTCGCTCAAGCTGTACAAAGTGCTGCGTCCCAGTGATGTGGAAACGGCAGGCAAGCTTAGAGAGGCCGGTATTCGGGTTTCTTTTGAAGACCCAAGTCTCGACGATCGTATCAAGATAGGCGCGCAGAAATACGACGGGTGCCAGCTCAATACGATATTCACGCCGAAGACTAAGATGCGTGTTATCGACCAGGACATGATTGTATACATCAAACTGGTCTACTCAAGTGGTGAGCACTCTTACGATTACGTTCTTGTTGCCCATCGCCAAGAGACAGTCGAAATTCTTCGGGCAACATGGCTTGAAGAGCTGTGGGGTCCAGTCTTCGAAGTCGAACCGTCACGATTCCTGCCTTTGCACAAGGGGCATTTCTGATTGCGCTACGACCTGAGATTGTTCAGACTCAGATCACTGTCATCAAACTCGCGCCAAAATAGCACGCTCAGACACTTCTTGTGTGCATGGTGTTGGCAGCCACACCCAAGACATTCCTCAAGGTCGAATCCACAGCGCACCACCGCCTAAGTGGAGTCTCCAAGACCAGTACTGGTGCACCAGGAATGGTGAAGGATTTGAGGGCGATATTCGACAGCTTTCCAGACGGGGCTGCTGTCACGACGTTAGTTCGATCGATAGATGGCATTTCAATTGATTAAGATACCATCGAGTCATTCATCACCATGGCGACCCAGAAGGGCAGAACTCTCTAGTTGATGTTCCAATACGTCAAATCATACGAACAAATACACTACGATGGCCTAGTACTATTCAAAGGACTAGGCTCGGTCGTAGCTTTCGGCAGCGACGAAGTCTTGAAGGGGATTAAGGGCACCAACAATTCAGACGGCGTTAATAGACTTCAAGAGATCTGGAGAGCGATGAAGCTCACCAAGGTTAAGGGGCAAGGCTCGCAGGATCGTAATGTCCTACCAGAGGAAGACCTGTTCGGAGCCATAGAGGGCAATGCAGGCGGAAAGGTCAAGGCGAGGAAGGGAAGGGGGCCGACAGGGTCGGGCACGGGTGTGCTAAGGAAGACCAAGGCGGCGGCGACGACAACGATGGAGTAGAAGTCATGGAGTGGTCTAGGTGTGTGTGCGCGTTTTTCCGGATGTAGTCAGTAAAAGTACTTGTGTTTTCGATAATATATCTCACTTTCACCGTCGCACGTGGCAATATGGACCGTGCAGGCGTTCGAACAGCATTCCACAATATTCACCCTCTTGCCCAAACGCAAAAAACCACAGGCCCAAGGCCTCTACAATGACTAGTCGGAAAAGACCTATCGGCAAATCAATCGCACACAAACTGGTTGGGAGAACGTTGGGTGAGAGTCTGGATAATTTGAGAGTGTAGGGACAGTTGCAAGGCGCCATGCTGACAATCCTTTGCCAACGAAATTTACGCATAGGAAAGGACACAACCATTGTATATACTTAATCCGAATAATGAGAGTTAGATATGCAAATATATGGCCGCCCATCGTGCTATCTTGCCCCCGTCGGCTGTTCTGCCTCGTCCTCGTCATCGACACCGGGTCCTCCACCCCCCGGCAGTGGAACTGCGTCAGCGTACCTAGTGTACTTATGACCACGCTTGGGTGACACAGGGACTTGCGCCCAGTTGCCGTACACTGCCTCATCACACTTCGTATCAAGGCGGCGGATGATACTTAGTGCGACGACGTCTTCTGTCGGAACCTTTGCGTGTAGGCGAATCGCGAAGTTCTCAAATTGACGTTGTATCAAGAAGAAGGCCGCAAGGAAGAAGGAAAGATAAAAAAGACGAGGGTGGCAATTCTGGGCGGATACCTCGTTTGATATTTGAATGTTAGTTTCCAGCTGAATCTATCGTATTCTCCAAAGTTGTCTATCTATCACGATGAAGGAGGGTTACGGTGGAAGTGTATGATCCACTGAGTGGGATATGGGCCATTAACCATTCAATGTACAAGCAAAAAAAGACAAGTCACCTTCAAATGGAGTTCTCCAAGATTCCAGTTGCTTTGCACACGACCCAGTCTATCGGTCAGTCGAATACAAGGAACAAAGGTGCAACGAAATCTCGCAACAGCTGGACAACTACATCTAAGATTCGTGTAGGAGGATTGTGCCGTAGTTCTCAATTGTAAGCGCCTAGCATGTACATTTACAAAATTATAGGCACGGTTCTGCGGTTTGTAGGAGCCCGAAAGAAAGCAGCTTACTTCCCGCTCTCACACTCGGCCGAGAGCCAGTATACTACCGGGAAGAGTTGTACCAACGGACTGTCAATCACACACCAGGCGCCATCCCACGCAGCAGACTTGACGCAGAGGCAAAACGCTTCCTAAACCCCAGCCATCGAAACTTGACCACCACACAAAGTCTCAATCTTAGACCATGGGATCGAGGTTGCCCCCACTGCCAATCATCGAAAACTTTCTTCTTCTCCCACCTCACTCCCGCTCTTCACAGCCGAAAACGCAGGACGAAGTGCGGATAAAAGTCGGACGGTATGGAACAACGACTGGCTTTGAAGGAGCTATAAAGTTCGCGCTACAAGACCAGCGTTTCTGTTATCAGACAACTTATAACGAATGGGTCGTGAGCGTGTGTTGGCACGCCTGCATGCAGTATTTGAGGAGGAAGATAGCTGAATACCGGACACGGGGAGATTATTCGAGAGACGTGCGAGATTGAGTGGCTGGCGTGGGCACTGGAATGTCGCATCGACTCGATGAGTGTTCACGGCTGTTTTATCCTTCCAATCTACACTAAACCCCTGGTAGCGATGTACAGCGAATATCTCGAATCAGTCACCTGCGGCTAACTTCATTGTATTCTTTCGGCTACCGTACGCTACCGATCACTGCTCGATCCCCATGGCGACCACGACGATCGAGCGCATTTTACGCCCGCCTGATCATCCTCTGTCCCGCATCTGCTAAATCTACTTCTTCGAATGGCGCTTCGTCGTCTGCATGGAGACGAGCGTGAGCAGCACCATGGTGCTTCTCCGGAACACGGCAGGCAACCTGGAGATTAGGCACAGCAGAGTTCTTCTCCCCGATTCCCCGTGTAGAAGTCTTACCAACCGGGAAAGTCAAACTGCAGTTCTTACCAATCTTCTCTAGATCCGAAGTTTCTTTCGTGATCGACCTCCTGCGCTTACGTCGCTGGCAGAACACAAACCCAATGGTGAACAGCATGATGATGCTGGTGACAGCGGCTGCAATACCAATTGCCACGAGAGTTTGTTGCGTCTTCTGCTGACTTGCAGAAAGAGCGGGAGCGTGCCGCTTTGGACTTACGCCATGTGGGTGCAGAGACTGGAAGACCGAATCTGGAGTAGAGTTTCCCCAGTCAAAGCTAGACAGCAGTGGGCTGTTGATTGCAGGTGCAGATGTCGACGCAGCCAGTGCACGTATGAAGACTGTGATGAGGCTAATGTTGCCCGTCATTATGTTGTGATGATCTTAGAGTTGAGCTGGGTTTGAGAGGTGGGAAGGGATGTTGGAGTTTTGATAGTATTTGTCATTCACGTTTTGACACGGATCTTTTTAATCACGTTCTGACATTGATCACTCACCAGAGCGACTACTACACACAATGTAAGACGTCGTGGGACTGGTCACGAGTAATGTACCTATTCGTCTTCCAAATTCTCGAGAACGCCTTAGTCAACGAGCTGTCACTGTACACTCACGTCACTGTTCTAGACAAACGTTATCACGTATTGGGCCATGTCCACGTAGCTGCATACGCCATGCAGTGCTGAAGTGACAGTGTGAAGCGAAGCGCCTCGCAACAAGATGTAGCGAGACAGGGCGAGACATGGCGAGACATCACAAGAAGTTTTTCCACGATCTTGCTCTACTGAGACAATCTAAGCGAATAGCATCTCGCTCTGCAGTAAGGCCGGAGGTGATCGGTGCACGCTGCTTGCGCTGGCTGACCTTCTGGGCGAATACAATCACTGGCTGAGCACTCACTAGGAATAGCCGCTCGTTTGCACGCCTCATCCTCCTCCTCAGCGCTCGTTTTGTGACTGCAGATGCATATTGAAGGGCGACTCTGAAGACAGAGTCAAGTTGAAGGAGGGGAAGTAGACGAACACGCCGGGTAGACGGGCTCTTGAAACGTTTTGGACAACGGGCTGCCGCAGCGCGCGGCCTCTACCCACCAGCGAACGGTGCTGACGTTGCTGGCACAGCGTTAGCCGTTTGCGTTCTTTACGGATGCGGATACGGCCAGTTGCAGCAAAGTCTGGTGCACCATTACAAGTCTACCAGGCAAAGGATGTGACAGCTAGTTTTGACGTTGAAACACGAATCGAACCAAAACGTTCGCACCAAGACAAACGACTCGTGTGCGGGTATGAGTGATGGAAAAATACACAGCCTACCTATATCCCCACCCCCCCCATCGGGATACCCAGCTGTCCCTTTTGGCTCACTCAAGGGAAAATAAAGTTCCCTTCAAAGATGCCACCATCTATCCGCCCAATCCAGCGGTAGGTCATAAGATCCAGCACCTCGCCGACCCCAAAGAAAAAGACCGGCGCCAGAACCCCACGCTATCCTCATCGATCTTCACTCGATCATGCACACGAGCGAACGGCGCGATGGCCAAGCAAGCGTGTGCTCAGCTACAACGGGCTACGCCCATCGCGGCCGTTTTCTAGCGCGAATCTGGTCGCCGACCTCCACGCAGACGTTGACGTTGACGTAGACTTTTCTTTAGGCCGATGCCCGGTCCGATCGAGGAAAGCGTTGACGATAACGTTGACGATTTGGGACGTCACGGGATAATGAAGGTCACTGAGGCTGATCTTCAACCAGGACAATGGTCATGATCTACTGCGTACGGTCCGGGGACTCGCAAATCCGATATTAGTCTTCGAACTATAGCCGTTTGGGACTGAATACGAAGACAACAACAACGTCAAGACTGACTTTGTCACTGACACCCCCAAACATACACACTTTCAGACTCCTGCATTCAGCGCGGAAAAGCGTCATGTCCACTATGTACCTAACGATAAGGTGCTGCCAGCTGGCGTAACGCGCTGAATCGTCTGCACCCCCTACTCCACTTTCCCCTTTCGTATTGCCAACGCCGGACGAATCATAAATTCCCATGGAAAAGCGTACACCAATGACAGGGCGGTACTAGAGCGTAGGTGCAGGCGTTGAAAGCCGGGTGGTGTGTCGGTTGAAACGGCGAGAGTGTGTGGGTCCATGGAACGGTGACATATGGGTGAAAAGGCCATGGTATGGATGATGCCATGTTGCTCATTTCCTGCAGAAAGTTCGCAGAATACGACATGCTTCCAGTGGTGCAGATCTTCCGTGAGCGCGGTTTTGCGCAGATTGGATGATGTGTTAGCGGCCGAGTGGAATGGAGATGGATGCACGATGAATGGCACGCTTGTGCAGCATCACTGGCTCGCGCGTCACAGACGCCGGGATCTGCACGGTCATCACTCCTTTGCTAGGAATCGCCAGGTGACAATCTATCAAGATCGCTGCTTGTGATAGAATTCGCTGGTGAATAGCAAAGACATCTCGACAGTTGCAAGTTGTCACATTCATATGAAAGACGATGAGACAGATCAAGATCGTTATTAGGATACATATATTGGCTTGCAGTACAGACGCTTACACAGCAGGAAGGGGTATATAGCCGTAGCGCGAAAGAAACAATAAATCTACATGATGTTTTTTAAGCTCATCTTGTCTTTCGGCGAGACGGGCGCACTCCTTGTATCGAGTGGCAGTGCAGAACGCACATATGACGATGATAATGGTCTCGCCATCGGGCTGTTCGTAGCTGTGGTGGGAGATGAAACAACAGATGGCTCTGCAAGATGCTGGAAAGGTGGCAATGCCCGCTGTGGAACGCTAAACGTCGCTGATTGTGGAAGACGATGGTGATGAAGATGTTGAGGAGCAGGCTGCGTGAGCAACTGGAGTGGAGCAGGTCGCTCAGAGGGTGACTCTCTAAATGCAGGAACAGATGGTGGCCCTTCGGTGCGATGTAGAGGTGGTAGTTGGAAAGCACCACGGGGTCTGTACGGATCGAAAGGAGCCGAGTGGGCATCGTCCTCGGATGCAAAGCCTGTCGAAGGCAGGTAACGTATGCATGAGTTTCTTCGCTCGTCTCTCCCACCAACCAGGGGTGCTAGTGTGATGTCAAGAGGCGATGTTGCACCATGTGGCGAGCGCGACTCGGAACCAGTGTCGGTTATCAGTGATGGGGCGCCATCTGTGGAGACAATCGAATAGCCCGAGGGTGAGGGCATTGGTGTTTCGAATCCTCGTGCTCGTGCGATGACGGGCTGGCCATAAGCTGGGAGTTCGATTGGCAGTGGCCGCGATCCATAGAGTTCGTAACGATGGGGTTGAGGAAGTTTCATCGCGTGAGGCGAGTTAACAGCGTAGTTCAGAGAAGGTCGGCGCGAGTTGTGGTATGAAGAGATGTGTTGATCGTCGTGGTGGGGTATGCTGTGAGGACCAGATGGGTAGTGATAGCCAGCTTGCGAAGGGTGCATCTGCTCGTGTGGCATCTGGTCAGGGCGATCGGGGTTGCGCTTTCTTCGGTTTTGGCCACCGTTCCACCAGTTCTTCACAGCGTTGTCACTACGGCCCTTCAGCCGCCTTGCGATCTCTGCCCACCTCTTGCCCATCTCATGCACCATTTTCTCGATCAACTCCCCCTCTTCTGGTGTGATAGGATCGTGGTTAAGAGACGGTTTGAGATTCTGATGGTACCGTTCCCGGCACTGCTTTGGTGATCGTGAACCAATCTCCTGTGATATGCGGACCCAGTTGTGTGGTCCGTTCCGGGCAACAAGGTTTACAAGCCATTGGTCTTCGTGTTGCGACCATGGGCCACGTCGATGAGCGACCATAGTGAAATATTCAAGGCGACCGCTGATGGTCTTTAAAATTGGCTAAGGTGTTGGTCAGTCTTGGTTGCTCCCAAACATCACGGTTGTGGTGCAAAAGATGACCATGGGATCAAGTCAAGCTAGCTTCAAGGCAGACGATCTTGTCGAAGACAGTATAGGGTAGATGTAGTAATCATCATGACAGTGAGGTAGACTGGGGCAGACGATGGGATGAGGGGGGAGGGTGGATGAACTTACGTTGATATCTGGAAGTAGACGATGAGAACTACAGTTCGCAAGATGGTTGGTGTTGGTCTGGCGGAGGCGAAGTCGAAGTCGAAGTGGTGGTGTTAACTATCGAGAACCAACGGTAACGTGCCAAACAGGCGACGGCCGGTATATATCACAGCGGCGCGGGGAGCGGGTAGTGTAGTGGACGGGCACCAAGGGGGTCGAAGAGCTATTGGCTTATTCCGGGCGGGCAGGTTGTGAGCGAGTGATCTGCTTTTGAAAGATGCGGCTAAGGCAGTGGTGAAATGGTGGATAGGGAGCGTGGTGAGGCGTCATGCGGCGCTCTGGGTCACTAGCTGGCCCCGAACAGCCATGGGCTAAAGTAATCGTTGTCGTCGCCGTGCCCAGCAGCGATTTCCCTGTAAGTGGACCAGATCGTCGGATTCGAGCGATACCCTGTATCACATCGTGGCATGGCGTATGGCGCTCGCCCGGCGCCGTCTTGGAGCGGCAGCAAAACAAAAGCGTGCGCCAAGCGTCGCAATACTATCCTGAATGCGCTGCTGGTAGAGTGCTTCCCCTTGCAACTCGGGCAGGGGCCCTGGCCGTTTCGCCGGCGATTCATGGCGGGTGCAGACGACAGGGCAGGCCGAAGGCGTGTTTTGAGGACAACAGGGAGACAGTCAAAGATACCCCCACCCGCGATACTATGCAACGTACTATGTACATGCCTGCTGGCCCGGGCAAAGCAATTATGAGCAGCCTCACAACCGCCAGGAGAGAATGCTCGGCGACGACACCAACGACAACAACATGTCAGTCATGACCCTAGGCGGCTCTCTCTCCTGTTTCATTAAGCAAAACATGGACGCAAATACATCCATGTGGACCGCCTTTGCCACTTCTCGCCGGATGCCCCAGACATGGCAATCAGAGTTTCGCTTTGCGGCGTGCTGACAGGCACCTGTTCCCCAGCAGCAGTGGGTGGGTGCCGCACGATGCACGTTGCAGTCAGCGCTCGCCCGTCGATCAAACGGGTACTGAGCCATGACGGTGGACCGGGCGTAGACGGGGATCATCGCCGCCATCCTTGAACAAGGACACGAGTTCGGCGAGGTGAGCTTGGCGGGAAGTACCATCCCTTTCTGGTTGTTTGGAGTCTGATGCCTCCCCAGCGGCTCACCAGTCGTCGTCTGCTGCTGCACGTGTTGCAATGCAGCGTCCGTGACCTCGGCATGTTTCTTGCTGTTGTCGTGTCCCCCCCAACGCCTCGACTCGCTCGGGCTCGGGTTCTGGTCAGCGCGCAGGCTCAACAGCAATGCCTCAAGGGCAGCCGTTGGTCGACGGATCTGCGGGCGGGACGAGGGGCCAGTCCACTTTGCTGGGAAGCGCCAGCCAACCCGCGTCCGGTATATAAATTCAAATCATCTAGCGCCGCTGCCCTTTTGGGTTGACACGGACGCTTTGGGAAGGGGCAGACCGCGGGTTCGCTAACGCCAGACCGTTTTGCCCTCCAAGAATCGATCAACTCTCACTGTCTTTCTGCCGGCAAGATCCAGCACGCTTGCACTGAAAGGGTAATCTTTGACGATTATCGATTTCTCCTTGATTCTGCATCGCGATAGCCTGCTTACGTTGTCGTCACAGCACCATATCGATCCAGCTAACCCATTACGCCATCTGTCGACTCACGCCAGGGTTCGTCGACTTCATTTCTACTTGACACACTTGCCAGCAAAAATAGATGCAAGCCGCTCATCCTCGTCGATTCCCATCCTGCCCCACGCCACGGTCCTCGACTTCGTCCAGGCAACGCATCCTGCGCGCGGCTGACCCCCCAGTCAACGTACCGTGAGTGCTTAGACGGCATGTTACGACTCGCGAGCGGTAAGGCGTAGCTGGAGTTTTCAACATTCTGACAGATTCAAGTGGGGCTAGCACCCATTGTGCTCTAGCGCAATCCGGCAAACTCAATTTCCGAAACATCGATACGTACACAGCTTCCTTCTATTCCTCATTCCAGTTTTCTGCCCCATGGTTCGCTATTGCCATCGCTTGGCTTGCATGGCTTAACGGTCGCCGTGGCCGATCCTGTCTGAGTCTGGAGCTTCTTTAGAGTGCTGCAGGCAGGGAACCTCGCCCTAATATTGATCCTGCTCTTCATGGGTCAGTCACCTTTACAAGGGTACTGGCTTGCGTCAAGATGCAAACACGATTGCGGCCGTACATCATCCGTCGTGTTCGCTTTGCTCCAGCTGTTGGAGGCCGTTCATGGTTCTGGGCGCCTCCAGCCGAGCCGATCTGTATATTACAAGGTAACCTTGATTCAAGAAGCTGCATCGTCGAGCTGCTTCTCCACGGTTAACGCTTCTGTACGGCCGGAGTTGCCCCTTGGTTGTGGGAGGAAATTTAAGTAGATTCGCTAATCTTTGTTGGCTGGTCGCCTTTCCTTCAGCCGCAGCAAAAGCACACGTCGGGCGTCCACAAGTTCCCGTGCTCTGGGACCAACGGTCGTTCCAACAGCAAATTGTGGCTCACTTTGTACCTGGTTCGTACCAAGTCTGCGCATTGCACCTCGGGTTCGGGTGAGCAGTAAAGAAGACAGCTAGGGTTGCTATTGCCACGCTTCCTTTGCCGTTGTACGACCTACGAATGGTGCGCCTGGCCCGGACATGCTCGAAGCACAGTAAAAGTCGTGACGACGCCTCATCCACTCTGGAGGTCAGATCCATGATCCCAGTGCAAACAAGGCAACGTGCAGCTGAGTTTATCTTTGTTGTATAGATTTTGCAAATCACGACTCGCTGGAAACCCCAGCATGAACAGCGCTCTGAACACGGAAAGATTCGCGCGGGAGAGAAGAACGATGCACGGATTGGCTACTTTGGACATGATGTTCCCTGCATGTAACTGACAGCATGCCTGTACAATAGGGACATCGTTCCGCGCCGACAATCCCGCCTGAAGCAGGGCATAAGCAAAATACCCAGCACTCAGGTGACGAGATCGATGCATGCCTCTCCCGATGATGCATTGCGCGGTGAAACAGAAGAGGTCGGCGACATCACTGTCAGGGAGTCACAATGCCCCTAACATATTGCACGCTTGAGGCTGGAAGGTGCGGCTTGCCCCGCCATCAATATCGCCGGAAATACACCGGCTTCACAGATGACGAGGGCGAATGGTCACTACCGCTAATAATGCGTCTGTCTCAACGTGTAAATCACGCATTTTGCCATCAAAGGTCGACTTCATGCAACTTCATTGGGATACAGTAAGATAAGTATTTCCACGTTGTCCTCTTGTGTCTTCAACGTTCGTATGAACAATACTCAAGGTGACACGAGGAACAGGGAATCTCCCGGCAATGATCTCCAAGATCAGATTAACGAATGATCTACGCCGAGCCAATAGGAACCCCAGTATCGTACAACACCAACTTTCATGAAACCTATCCGCCAACTTCGCTCTTTTCCATTTCCTTTTTTTCTCTGGGTTGCTCCTATTTCAAATCTTTTCCTTATGTCGGGGTCGTGCGTATCATTTCCTGGACCAGGCCTGTTAGGCGAAGTCCGCATCTCGGACTTCAGTACACACGGTTTTTTTGACAGCGGGATACCACCGGCCAAACGACAGCTTTGATCTTATAGTGGCCCGTTCTTGCTTCTGGTCACTCTCAGAACTCACAGTGTGCATCTCAACATAATCTCGCAGCGTCCTTGAATTGCAATTTGGCTGAAGGCCTCATAACTTCCACGCCCAGACTTGAGGCGAAGCTGAGCTATCCAAAGAACAGCAAGGGTTATTGTCTTAACCTCGCCGGGACTCTAGCGCGTCTGTCGAGCACAGCCATCCAACCGGCGCAAGACAAGATGCAACATGAACAAGGGAAGCCTCGTAGCTCAGATCTGAGTGCGCATCGGACTGAATCGAACAGTCCAACGCCAAGCCCCTTTCTACTGGAACGGTGCAACGAGCGGTACACCAAGAGACCGAACTACTCAGTCAACCTGTCTGTTCCTGTTGTTTCATATTTGCTGGGTAAGGAGGCTGTTGATGAGCCTCCATAACTCCTGTTACCTAATACCTACTTTTCGTAATCCCGTTGTTCTTCCACACTATCTTTGTAACGCTCATCAAGGGATTCAGCATTGCATGGCATTTGACCTCTCCCGCGTCCGACCAATGTCGGGACTGGTTAGCGCTTGGACGGCTGATCATCCCGCAGAACAATGCCGAGGCCACTGGCGCGTGGCGTTCATCACGATTGTCTTTGAGCTAAACTTGACGATGGGAATCAATGAGGCAGGTGCTGTTTATCCTCGCCGAAGTCACCGAACTTGTAGCGATCGTTGATAGTCGCCAAGGCTCATCACGAATCAGTATTGAGAGGAGCATGCGACTGTAAGCACAATATCGGAATATTGGCACCCACGGTCATGGCGAAGTCATTGCAATGCGGATGCGCCCGTTGAATAGCTGGGCTGGAACCGTCTGTTGAACAGTGTAGTGTTTCTCCAACAATGCGGCTTGCAGGATGTATCCGGACTACTGCACGGGCCACTCACAAATGATTAGGGCCCCGTGACAAATACCTTTCCAGGAGTCAGGTAATTCCGTCCCGGTTGATCGCGGTGCACATCGTGGAAGTCAATTTTGACGTCGACTCTCGATCAAGTCAAAATGCAAGATGACCAAAGTTTCGCTTCTGTAGGGATGCACACTCTATTGGTCCACGATGCTGCATGGCAAATCTGCAACGTTTTTAGCGCGAATCGGCCACGACCTTGAACGCGGGAACGAGACTCTAGCCCGTACGCTGCAGCAACATGTTGAAGAGGCTTTCGCATAGAACGACACGAGTTCCACGGCACTGGACACTTTCTCATCATTAATGACGCAAACTCTACCACAGGCTAAGGTAGAACAGTTCTGCATGGCGCACCTGCATCATTCACATCGCGGCCTCTTGACTTTTCCGCAAGATCCACCTACCGATCGTGCAACTAGGACCTTACAAATTATGTGCTAACAGAATTAGTTGAGGGATTGCTGTTGGAAGGCACAGACAGCGGAGGTGGCCACTCGTGGATGGCAACGGTCCACCACTGCCGCAAGGACAGCCTAAACTAATCTACGCTCACGTTCCCCGAATAGGGTCGTGAGATCTCACACCCCACAGTATCGAGGCTTTTCTTGGGCTGAAAATGGATGCTGGATCGTCGATCTGACGGCATCCCGATAACAATGACTTGTAAGCAAGGGAGGGATTTGGAACAAGCAAACCCATGCTACCAACGAGCAGTGTCACTGCATTCCAAAAAGCCGCCGAGAATTTCCAGGATGTCCGCCTCCGTGTACCTAGTAACCACGCATGGTATGCATATCGCAACATGTTTCCATCCATAGACGGTGAACGGACGTCGTTTAGTTGCGTCTTACTACCAAGGGCGCAGGTGACCAACCAATCCAGCTTGACGCTTTTCAGAACGGCCGTACCATTTGACGCATGCCTATGACGGTGGTCGTCCACTTGGTCAAACCCGGTACATGTCTAGCCGCGTAAGCATGGATGATGTAGGTAGCCTCCTCTCGCAGATCCCCACGGTGTAGTGCTACCATTAGAATGCAAGGGGACAGGGGGCAATATATCTCAGTAATCATTAATCCACCTGTCCTTGAGGAAACATAATTCTGGGTTGTGCAATAGGCATATTACTTTTTCAAATCAAGCACCTTACAAAGGGGAAGAGGGGGGAGGGTTGCGCAAAGATGTGACTTGAGTTTTGATCCAATCTTGTTACTGTACTCGAGTCGTTGACTTGGGACGTGATGACTTGAATGTCTCTTACATAAACACTATCTTTATGCTTCTACCATCCAAATTGCCTTGAAGGGCTTATTGCAATAACCAACATACACCGAGGTGACGAACTATCGCTTGGCCAATAATGTAAAATAGACTTTGGGCTGACTTGGGCTGAGATGTTATCTCCATTTGCTTCATGACAACGACCTTTGATCCAACATTAGATTTACCTTTGTGTAACACTCTTTTCATTGAAACAGTTTGGCTAACCAGTCGGCAGACTTCTACTGAAAATACCCTCTTCGGAACCGCGTCGTACTCTCTCTCGTCGTCTACCCTCATTCATAATGCGTACTCTGATAGTAATAACATCCTTGGAAGATCATACTCCTCGCCACATTGGCGTGTACCAAGAAGCAGTAACTTCAATCTCTTGCGGCAGATGATTGCGTCAATTACAATCAAATGAAATCCGTCAAGTACAACAATACCAGAATTATACTTCTCGACCCTACACCTCAGTCGTAGTGGAAACGGTGTCTTCAATCCTGTATGGAACTCTAAATTACGACACGATTATAGTAACACAGACGCCCATATACTTCGAACACAAGTGCGGGGTTTCAGGGCAAGGGCACGATGTCCGTTGTATTACCTACATGAACGGCCATGTCATCGTCCCGCACAAAAACATCATTTCGATCTACACCCCTCCATGTGGGTGAGCGACAGCGTCACAAAACGACGATCGTAGGTTTGGGTGGATACCTGCAATCAGCTGACAGGCCTCAGACACCTCACCTCACTGCAAACATATCCCCGTGCTCCATACCAAACATACAAGCCGTCCCTGAATCCGTTGACGCACCTCGCCTACGTCAAACACTACACACTCCCAGACGAAAGGACAGAGGTAGCACAGAGAAGACTAATTGGCGGGATAATAATAGTGCGGTTGGTTGCTCGAAACGTTATCTCAAACGTTGAGTGACCTTCGAGAATACTTCCCATGCGCGCTGTGCAGCTTTACACACAACGACGTACACGCAACTCCGCGGTGGTGCCGTCGTAGCAGGATTTCGTGGGGTACAGAATGTTTCTTACATGGACAAGGGTTGTGGAACACCAGGAGAAGAATTTGAAACATCAAATCTCCCTCCCATGTTCAGTCTGCTGCACGGCATGCGGTTGGTTCTCGCGTCTTGCGCAGCTGCTAAACTTTGTTTTTTTCCAGGCAACTGCATCAGCGCGTGTGTGCAAATGCACGCCAGAGATGCTGCACATCTCGTCGCCAACGCCCAGGTTCTGCACGCACACACTCGACGTTCCACCAGCTAGTGTTCGATAAAGCTTACTGTCGCCGACATGAACCCGAGCCCCTGCACTCGGGTCCTGCGTCCTTGCGACGACGCTATTCAAACGTTCCATCTCCGCCCCGGCGTGGTCGCACGGCGAACACCAAACATGCGCACGCGATACCTGCCTGACGCAACGCTTATGGCGCCGTGGGGTTTGCGGGCGCACAAGCCGCTGTGTTCCCACTATCTCATTGGCAATATTTTCTCGTTAATATCACGACAACAAACGTAGCGAAAACAATCCCTGCAGGCGTAGGAATGAGAGGCGGCTGACTCTGATACAAAAGTGGTGGCCACGAGGTAGGGATAGCCGTTGCGCGACGCTAACGCGCTATATTTAGGCCCCGCAATAACAGCAGCAGCATCGAATCGAACAGGGTGTTTGTACGAAAGACGGCATGGCCGAGTCGTTTTCACTGGACAATGCCCCCCATGTGCGTTGGAAGCGAGAGCAGATCCACTATGGCATTCTCCTGAGTCAAGGGCCTGCGCTGAACGGCCGGTCGGAACAGGATGCTGCAGAGCCAGAGGCACGGCATCTTCGGTCCCCGTGTGGACCTTGTGGGGATTGAATTAGGCATCAGTGACGTACAGGATCGGTGTATCGGTGAGACGATAATGTCTTTGTCATTGTCAGAATGGAGTAACATCGGCGTCGTCGCAAGTAAGCAAGCGAACAAAAGGTAAGGGTCCGGTAGCGGTAGCGGAGCGCGTCGAACATCACCACCGTCGATCGGTGTCATGACACCGAGGCATAATTCTTTTCGGGCAAGGCTTCGCAAAAGCTGCCTTGAAGAATTGTATCGTGTGTTTGTACACAGACGGCAGACCAGGGCAGAGCGGCGCATGGCTACCTATGCTATGCTATGCGAGAGTAATGGCGACTGTTGGGGCTGGCCTGTTCATTGGGCTAGACACGCAATTGAAGCAGTCTGCAGGCTTGTCTAGGACAAGCGGCTGAACAGCGCATACGACGACATACGGCTTCGTCGGCGATGCCGGCTTCTATTCCATCACGCACTTTTCCATCATCAGGCCATACTCGTACACTTTTTCTTCCCAAACAAGCCAAACTCTAATGATCCCTACTCCGCTCGCATATTGCTCGCTCTGTTTCCCACCAACGGCCGTTGAAACCCACACATCGTTTTTCTAAGCGACGTCGTTTTGGGGTGGTGCGCTGACCGCATTTGGTTCGATGAGCACTCTATTCTATATGACCCGAAGCGCCGGGTGGGAGGATCCCAGAACGGCTGAATCCCGTCTGCAAGATGATGTGTGCGAACTCTGCGTTGAATATGGGCGGGGCGAAAGAGGAAAGGTCGGATGACGGATGCGGCTCTTCCGTTCAAAAAGAGTTTGGAGCGTCGTTGCAAAGAGGTGGCATACGTCCGTAAGCGATGAGGGAAGTGCTGAGTTTGGCCCGAGGTGTGCAGTGATGTGCGTCGCGTGCAGCTGGGGCGCGTGGGCGTCTGGATCATCATGCCATGCTATGCTATGCTGGAGGCAGGCTGAGTGCTGCATCTAACCGCCGCCGATGAGGTGAGTATTGCAGGTGCATTTGTAGCAGGCTTTTAGGCCGCGGTGCTATTTGCATGGGGAGAACCTGTTCGGAGTTGGCAACGCTCGTGGGGGTGGGCGAGAGGAATGGGTGATGAGTTGTTCTAACCAACTTTCATGTGCGTTGGGTGGGAGGGTGTGTGTAGGGCTGCGCGGAGTCACTGTAGAATGAGATGTAGACAACAATAATGTGAAAGAGAACGATGTGATCGTGAGGTAGTTCTCACTTCTCTAATCACATACTTTGATTTTTCGCGTTCAAGAAAAAACGCACCAAAGTACTTCCAACGACAACACTACGAATCTTGACAATGCATCCCCAGTTCCCTCAGAAGCTCATGATACTTCTCCCTATCAATCCTGTCCTCTTTCGAAGCAACCTTCTGCCCCTCCCCATCGTCCCATTTACCCTCACCACCACTCTTCCAACGCCTCAATTCAATCACCTCACCTTCCAGCCCCCCCTCCCACTGCACATTACACCCCTCACCCCTCTCCTGCAGTCTACACAACGCACATCTCCATCCCAACTGTGTTCTCGCGCCCCCAATCCCCGACATAACCCACAAGTAGCAGTCGGGATGGTAAACCCGACAGGTTAGTCCTCTCCGCACACATGCCACGCAAGGCTTAGATGCCGGGATACCGTATTTGCCGTTGATCAAGCACTGGTGTACACGCCTGTGTATTGCTTTCTCCAGGCTGCGTTTCTGCGCGGGCGTGACGTTGGCGAACTTGTCTCCGACGTGGTCTTGTTTGATGCGATCGAAGTCGGATAGCCAGGTCGTGTATGTAGCATTTGGTGAGAGGCGTGGGATGCTGTGGTTGAACTTGCTGCTGAGCTGACTAGCATGAACATACTGACCGCTGCGGGGATGAAGATGAGGTTGAGATGTCGTGAAGGGATAATCTTCATCCACCGTATCGCTCAGTGAATGATCGTCGGTCTTTGACCCCATGTCCACCTCCCTCTCCACTCCCAAGCAGCCTATACTCGTACCAGGCGACGACACATCACGCTTCTCCTCCCTCCCTCTAGCCTTCTTCTCCGAAAAATGCGGTATCAGCCGCAGACTACCATCCTGCAACAGCTTCTGGACAAAGTACGAGCCCTTGTCCCAGAGGTTTGGCTTCGCTCTTGCCTCGCATCGGTCATGGCCTTGGAAGTGGAAGTGGACGTTCTGACGGTCTTTATCGACATGTAGAGATTCGAATGCTTTTTTCTCTAGGTCCTGTGGTTGTTGGTTGTTACTTGTGGACTTTGGAAGGTGTAGGTGCGGGTCATGATATACGTTGTAGGACTTGCAAGGACCTAGTGAGACCCAGGTGTAGTTTTCAGTATCGGTTGTGTCGTCGTGCTCGCTGCGCAGTTCGATGGGTGGGGCCTCCATTATTTGACTATGTTCAGTTGAGTGTTATGATGAGGAGACACTGCGTCGTTAAGGGTGCAGAAGTGTAACTGAGAATTTGCAGGTGAATCAAGGCATCGATAACAAAAAAACGCTGGATCCTCAGACTGACTTTCACTGAGAGAAAGATGAGCGGATCCACGACCGTTCCTTTCCGATCATTCACTCTCATATAGGAGTCTTGGCGGACTGAAGTACAATGAAGAGAATGAACCACAATATTCTTGCCTGTCAGTATGATACATGTATAGAAAGTCTTAAAGATCATATATACTGCTCAGTTCCGACTCATCAATCCCTATTCCTGCAGTGAGGAAAACTAAAACTATATACCCCTATCATTCCCCCTTGTACACTTTTTACATGCATCACAAGACATGCTCATTCACTGTAGAACTTCTGATCCACTGGATCATGCGATACAAGTAAATTTCTCAGGCAAAAAGCGAGCAAACTCACAGAGCCTATTCATCGCAAACTCTCGGCACATAACCCACGTCTCTACACTTGTTTAGAACCACCCCTTGGTATCACACTCAACACTACCCGCACCCTCCCATCCCTACAAAACGCCATCACACACCAAAGAAACAGACACACACCAGTCACTAACCAACCCAAAAACGCTGTAAAACACTCACCAGACACCTCAACGCCCATTCACTCTAAACCTAACCTCCATCCCAAACCCAGCATAACAACATCCAAGCCAGCAAGCTGTATATCACAGTCAACGTAAGTACACCCTCCTCAACCCCCGCGCCCAATCCAGATCAGACAAGCATCGCGTAGAATGCTGAACACGACATCCACCCTCCCCACCCAGCCCAGAATCTTGATGTACTAGTCCATTAAATTGGATATAGTGGTTCGACTTGTCACTCACAGTTCTTTTTCTCAGAAGCCATACGTCTTCCTTTTTTCGTTTGTTCTTGATAGCGTGGTGTGTGTGTGTGTGTGTGTGTTTCTACTTTCTCCTCAAGCAGTGGAAGTGAGTTCCTGAGTGGATTTTTTTCTCTGGCTTGTCCTTGCTGCAAGCTACTAAGGAACGAGTAGTCAGTCATAAGTTCCTCACCGTCTTTATTCATTAAGAGGTAGATGGTGATTGATATAGCCGTGCAGGCTGGCAAGTAGATGTGAATACATCGCCCTCTAGTATATAGACAAGGATCTGGAGCTTGCTGTAGCACGTTCACTTTCCAGCTCTATGCATAAACGCTTATGCACTGGTTATGGAACCAATGGCCCATAAGGTGTCACTTATCATACGCCTGATATCCTTCATCCAGGAACCTGAAGTACTATACCTGGTTGTGTATATATTATATGACTACATGTCAGTCCATTCCGCCCCTCTGCTACCCGCCAAAAATATATCTCCCCATCGTCTGTATCAACAAAAAGGCAGTATCGTCCCAGCACAAAAAACCAATACTCACTCCTACGCAGCCTCCTTCAACCGCGTTCTTTCTTGTCGTTATTAGTAAAGTCCAGCCGCCCAGCAGAGCCAGCAGAGGATACCGTATCTCAGAGTAGAACGTTGCGTATATGCGTAAGTAAGACAGGAAGCTGAGAAATGAGATAAGCAGTAGAGTATAATCGTGCAGAGATGGATGGGGGGATAGTGATAGCGATAGCTGGCTACGGAGCGGGACTGCTTGGTGGATGGGAGGATGGTGTATGTGTGGACGACATGGAGGGTGGAAACAGAGCAGTGAGCGTGGAAAGTTAATCGGGACTTTCATTCATGAGGCGGGGGGCATGTATAGTACAAATGGATGGGGAGGGACACCGTGGATGATGAAAGATAAAGGCGGGATTGTCGCTCTTGAACTGAATTGCGTCTATAATAGCGAGTCACTCCAAACAAGCAAGACAGATCTAAATACAAAATATTCATTCCCTCATACCCATCCCATTCCACCACCCCATCCACACCCCCCACCTACGCCTCCCCAGTCCCCATATCAAACAGCAAAAACTCCGCCGGTTTCTTCCCCACGCTCTCAATCTCCAAACTCTCGGGCCCACTAACACCATCAACATACGCGCCATCCCCCTCACCGAGCAGCGTATCCCCAACCCTAATCTGCGCCCCATCCTTCCCCTGCTTCCTCCCACCCATAACAACATGAACAAAGATCTTCCTCAACCCCTGCGCAACAACCTCATGCCTCACCTTCTTCCCCGGCGACAGAATCGACGCATCCATACTAAGATCGGCATGGAGACCAATCGCCTCCGTGCCGTTCCCCAGCCGCTCCGTACTCTCCATAATACGCACAAGAGCGTCCTTCTTCTGCTCATCGCTAAACTTCTTCGTCTCGTACCGCGGCGCAAGACCGCGCTTATTCGGCTTAGCCCAGATCTGCAAAAAGTGGCACTCAGCGCTGCGATCGCGGTTATACTCGCTGTGGCGGATCCCCGTGCCGGCACTTGTAAACTGGACTTCGCCGCGCTTGAGGTTCTCCAGGTTACCCATGCTGTCCTTGTGCTCGAGCACGCCGTTGACAATGTACGAGAAGATGAGGAACTCGGCGTGTGAGTGTGCGCCGAAGCCCGTGGCGGGCTTGACGCGGTCTTCGTTTATGACGCGCAGGGGCCCGTAGGACTCGTGGCGTGGGTCGTAGTAGGATGCGAAGGAGAAGGTGTGGTAGGTGTAGAGCCAGTCGTGGTCGGCGTGGCCGCGGGCCGACCAGGGCCGCTTGGTGATGGTCATGGATGTTGTGGACATTGTGCGGGAGGTGGGTTTGGTGAGGAAGGTGGAGAAGGCTGTGCGGAGAGGGGTGAAGAGGGCCAGGGTGATTGCGAGGAGGGCGACGAGGGCTGTGAGGGTTTTTGTTGTGGTGAGGGCTGGTTGGTGTTGTTCAGGCGCTGTGTCTGGCATTTCAAAGGAGGGGTTTGTGATGGGGACTGCGTGGTGTCGCTTTATACATGTTAGCTGGAGGCGGTGTTAGTGCGGCCATGATGAAGACGCTTTGCGCATTACACTAGCATTGGCAATGGTGAATAAGTAAGGCGTTGCAGACGTCGTCGGGCTTACAGATCAATGACGAAGCCGCCTTAGCGGGGCAGCGGGATGCGTGATTGGTCTGATGCGCTCTACTCCGAATACTGTCCAGATACGGCCATGGATTTGCGAACCACTGCTCCCAAGCATACTACAACAAAATATCCAAGTCTTGGGGTAAATACATCGACCATGGCCCTCAAGTCCTTCAACGCCGCCACCTTCCTCGAAACCTGGTCCGACGAGAAATACTCCCCGCTCCACAGCGGCAAGACATTCGCACAATGCATACGTGAAGCCTTCGACATCCCCGCGTCAGACACATACATCTACCGCGCGCAAGCAGAAACAACCCTAGACGTCACACAGCGCGCAATCGCGGGGAAGCGAGCCCACGGCCTACACGCATGGTACCACGACGATGAGGGGAAGCCCGTAAGTCGCACAACCCTCCCACCCATACCCATTCGCAAACTAACACCCAAAAAGACAGACCCTCCCCACCCCACTACCCCCGAAATAACCGCCTACACAGCCCTCTTCCTCCCATCCGTCTCCCTCCCCAAAGCCCTCACAAGCCTGCGCGCAAACGCAAAGTCGCAAACCCTGCGCGCCCCAATCTCCACCCACCTCCTCACCCGCTACCACGCTTCCTCAACCCCCGGGCTCCTCCCCTCAAAGAAACCCCGCTCGCACAAAAACCCCTACCTCACCCTCTGGACCTACACCTGCCACGAGCTAGAATGGGCCGGCCCCCTCCCCTCAACAACACACACACGAACATCGCACCACATCCTGCCCATCCTGTACCACCACTTCGGCTGCGTCGTCCCGTCGTACGCAGCACTGCACGTCCTCGCGCGCCTGGCACAACCCGCGCGCCCATCGAAAGAGAGTGTGCGGCCTATCCTAGACATTGGAAGCGGAACGGGGTACTGGACGTTCCTACTGCGCAACCTCGGGGCAGAGAGCGGGATGAAAGCACTCGACGTGCGGGCCGTGGATAGCGGGGTATCGGAGTACAGGGTGATGTGGATCGGGGATACGATTCGAGCCGACGGGATGGGGTATTTGCGCGACAACGGGGGCGGGAGGGGGTGTGTGTTGTTGCTTGTGTATCCGCAGGCGACGGGGGGGTTTACGGAGAGTGTGCTCAGGGCGTATGAGGGCGATACGGTGGTTGTTGCGGGGACGCAGAATGGGAATGGGTTTACGGGGTTTCGGGATGTGGGGGTTGATGAGTGGGTGGGGAGGGAGATGGGTGCGTTTGAACTGGTGTTGAGGATGCCGTTGCCGAGTTTTGCGGGGAAGGATGAGGCGCTTTTTGTGTTCCAGCGGAGGAAGACATGAACCATTTAACAGACAGCCATGGGGTAGATAAAAACAAGTGTCTTTAACATATTCGTTGAATTTATATCATCCATCATGCCTCATCATCTATTTTCAAGGCCAAGACCAAGCGTACAACAACAAGATCCCTACCACTTAGCTTCCTTCCTCACCAAAAACTCATTCAGCACCGCAACAACCTTCTCCAAGCTAGCCAGCCACTCCTCCAGCTGCCCCTGCGTCTTCGCCTCATCCCCACCCAACTTCGCGTAAAAATCCTTGCGGTACGGCGTCGCGCTCATCGCCGCGCTGAACAGCGGCTTGACGACAAACGAGTGGTGCGGCTTAAGCGTGTTGCCGTAGGCGTCGCGGAACGAGTCGGCCAGCTCCTTGGACGGGTTGGACAGGTTGTGGCGGAGGGCTTGGGCTGTGAAGTCTAGGCCGCTATTGTGGTGTTAGTGCTGGACTGGAATAGTAGGATGGTGGAGAGGGAGGGGGGGAAAGTACCGGTTCAACCACACCAGTCCCTCAGCAGCGACGTGTTTCTTCTCCTTCAGCTCGTTGACAACAAGCTCCTGTAGGGTTTCCGACAGCGCGGGGGCGGCGAGTTGGCGGTCGCGGATTTTCTGGCCGGGGAGTTAGCACATATGCATATCCGTCTTCATGTCACAACGTACCTTGATGTTGGTGGTCATGTCGCTCTTGACGGGCTTGAACGCCGCAGAACCAAGAACATCTATCCCCCATAATCAGCGCAGTTCCACACCTCATCCAAGACGGCACAAGCTCACCGAACAGCGTGATCAGACTCTCAGCCGCTTCGAGGAACTCGGTCGTCGCGATGGCATTGTCCTTGCTCGCGTCGACGGGCACGTCGTTGAAGCTCTTCTTGAGGTTGTCGAAGAAAGTCGCCATATTGAGCACAATCTATACGAGGAAAAGTAGAGGGAGAGGGAGGGATCTGAGAGGAATTGTATGTAAGTTGGGTTAAAGAAACAATTGCAGAAGAGAGAGAAAGAAGCTGTTATTTACCTTCCTGGATGGACGCGAATACAGAGGTGGTCTGGTCTCAGGCGGTGTGGAATGCACGCAACGTGGAGCTGCTGGTGGGGCTTGCGGAAGCGGGGCTCTTCCGGACCTCCCTCTCTGTGCCTTCTGGGCTGCACAGGACCAGGGTCCACGCAGGAGCGAGGAAGGGAAGGAGGGAGCTACGGGCGCACATGCTGGTTTGTTTGCAGGGTGGTGTATATGCGGGATTACGACGCGCATGTTGTGCATCTACTGGATAATTACCTTATGAATGTATGCTCTTCTATCATCGTCGAGGCAGACAGCACAATACGCGTTGTTTCGACTCCACGATGAATCCAGATGCGAACTCCGGAGCTTAGAAATGCGTCCGAACACCTCTCTCTCAATGCGGGGTTGGACGTCATCCAGCTACAGGGAGCTATATAAGACGCGCGCAGGACATCCCTCACGAAACCAATTGTAGCCTCCAAGATGCCGTCAACCGTCCACTGCAACGGAAAAGTGCACCGCATCGTCTGCATCCCCGGCGACGGCATCGGCGTCGACATAACAGACGCCGCCATCAAAGTGCTCACCACGCTCTCCAAGACACTGGGCGGCTTCGAATTCGACTTCACAACCCTCGACTGGAGCAGCAAGAACTATGTGCAGCGCGGCTGGTACATGCCGCCGGACGGGCTGGCCCAGCTCAAGAGATACGACGCCATTTACTTCGGCGCCGTGGGCTGGCCCGACGTGCCCGACCACATCTCGCTGTGGGGATTGATCCTGCCGATCCGCAAGACGCTGAACCAGTACGTCAATGTGCGGCCTACGCGTATCTTGGAGGGCACGAAGAGTCCACTCGCCGACTGCAAGAGGGAGGATCTCGACTGGATGATTATCCGCGAGAACAGCGAGGGCGAGTACTCGGGCCAAGGCGGGACGTCGCACGAGGGCTCGCCGCACACGATAGCGACGGAGATCAGCATCTTCACGCGCGCAGGCACAGAGCGCATCATGCGCTTCGCGTTTGACACGGCGCGGTCGCGCCCGAGGAAGAAGTTGACTATGGTGACGAAGAGCAATGCGCAGCGCCACGGCATGGTGCTGTGGGACACGATCTTCTACGAGGTCGCCAAGGAGTACGAGGATGTTGAGATCGATAAGATGCTTGTTGATGCCATGACGGTGCGCATGGTGCTCAACCCGAAGAGTCTGGATACCATTGTGGCGACGAATCTGCATGCGGATATCTTGTCGGATCTTGCTGCTGCGCTGTCGGGCAGTATTGGTATTGCCCCGAGTTCGAACTTGGATCCTACGAGGGCGAATCCAAGCATGTTCGAGCCGATTCATGGGTCGGCACCGGATATCGCAGGGAAGGGAATTGCGAACCCAGTGGGTGCGTTTTGGTCTGCCGCGGAGATGGTGCGGTGGGTGGGCGAGGAGAAAGCAGCCGATGCGCTGATGAAGGCAGTGGAGAATGTTACTGCACGGGGAACCAAGACAAAAGATCTCGGTGGTAGCGAAGGGACAGAAGGCGTGACAGACGCTGTGTGCGCAGAGATCGAGACGCTATTTGGCAGCTCTTAGAGGTGTTAGCATATACAATACAATGAACAGCCCAGAACAAGACATACACATACCATGACATCCGCCAAACAACGCCTCACTCCAAAAACACATCAGGCACCACCGCCTCCCCCTTCCTCTCCACAACCCTACTCGCCCCCTTCCCATTCCTCCCCCTCTCATCACCCATCACCCTAACATCAAACCACCCCCTCCAAACCGCCACCGCCCTCCCCTCAACAACCCCCCTACTAACCGGCCCAAAATCCCTACTATCAAAGCTCCTCCGCCAATTATCCCCCTCAACCCACACATGCCCATACGGCACGACAATCTTACCCTGCTCCCTCCCCCACGCCACCGAATCACGATCCTCATCCGGCAGCCCATCCATCCCGCCCTGCAACCTCTTCCCCTGCTCCTCCAGCGCATACCCACGCTTCGGATACACCGTGTCGCCTTGCAGAGCGACGACGCGCTTGATGCCGACTTGCTCGGGGTTGTGCGGCTTCCAGAATGTGACGACGTCGCCGCGCTCGAGGCCGCGCTTGCTGCTCCACGCTTCGCTGTAGGGCCGCACGAATACCCAGTCTTCGTCTCCTGTCTCGTTTGCGTCGGGACTCAGCGTCGGCGCCATGCTGCTCCCTCGCACATGGTCGAGGCGGATGTGGTGGTCGCGGATCCATAGGAGGAGACAGAGGCCGGATAGCCCGTTGACGGTGTATGCGAGGCGGCGCGCCGTGGGGGATTGGTACCAGGGCCGACGTGGAGGGGTAGTGGAGTGCGATGGCTGTGGTGGTGGAGCTGTGGGAGCGCGTAGTGTGGGTTTGGCGACTGGAGAAGGTGTGAGGTTTGGCTTCGCGGGACGGACCGACTTGGTAGGTATTGGGATACGGAGAGGAGGTTTGGGAGGCATATCGAGATTGGCGCGTGCAATTGTTCAAGTCGCGAGACAGTTCAGAAGCTTGACGCGGGCTAGTGTCACGTGTGACTAGATCAATCAGATAAGATGCGGAGATCTCACGGCTGTCCAACCTCATTCGCAGCTTCACAGTATCTTGCCTATTACGTGCACGTGCAGACAATAGTTACCAATTCGAGAGGTATCAAATAATAGCAGACAGATGTTATCTACAATGACTGTTCCGTGTCCACAAATATACAATCGCTACCATCCCAGAACTTCAGATGCTCATCAGTCAATAAACGTAATCTACTTCTTCAGTGCCTTGATGACCGCATCCGCGTACTCGAAGGTCTTGGACTTGCCGCCGAGATCGCCGGTGATGGTCTGTGGATGAATTAGCAAAATGGCATGACAAGGTGTGAGCAGAAAAACATACCTTGCCCTCGGCAAGAACCTTGAAAATGGCCTGCTCGATGTTGGCGGCCTCTGCGGTGAGACCCATGTGTCGCAACATCATGATGGAGCTGAGAAGGAGCGCGGTAGGGTTGGCGAGCTGCTTGCCAGCAATGTCGGGCGCGGAACCGTGGACAGCCTCGAAGATGGAGCACTTGTCACCAATGTTTCCGGAAGGAGTCAGACCAAGACCGCCAATGAGACCAGCGCACATGTCGGACAGAATGTCTCCGTACAAGTTGGGCATGACGAGCACCTTGTCGTTGTATGGGATGGGGTCAGTGACCATCTTCAGGCACGTGTTGTCGAGCAGCTCGGCGTCAAAGTCAATGTCGGGGAACTCCTTGGAGATCTCGCGGGCCGTGCTGAGGAAGAGACCGTCAGACATCTTCATGATGGTGGCCTTGTGCACGGCGCGGACCTTCTTCCTGCCAATCTCACGGGCGTGCTGGAAGGCGTAGCGCAGGACGCGCTCCGAGGCCTCGCGGGTGATGAGCTTGATGCTCTGCACAACGCCGTCGACCACGACGTGCTCGATGCCCGAGTACTCGCCCTCGGTGTTCTCGCGGATCAGGACCGTGTCGACGTCATCGTAGGGTGTCTTGAAGCCCTGGATGGAGCGGCACGGGCGCAGGTTGGCGAAGAGGTTGAAGGTACGGCGCAGCGTCAGGTTGAGCGAGACGTGGCCCTTGCCGATAGGCGTCGCGAGCGGGCCCTTGAGGGCGACGAGGTTGCGGGTGACGCTGGCGATGGCCTCGTCGGGGATGACCGTCTTGCCGTCGGCGTTGAGGCGCGGGGTCACGTCGACCGACTCCCACTTGATGGGCACGTTGGCGGCCGAGTAGATGTCCTTGACCGACTGCGCGATCTCGGGCCCGATGCCGTCACCCTCGATGAGCGTCACCATGTACTTGCCGTCGCTGCCCTTGGTGCCGTGGAACTTGGCGACCTCGGTGGCATAGCTGCGGAAGGAAGCCTGTGCGTCACGTTAGAGCGGCGTCCCATCAGCGGCTCCATCCAGGGCCGACGGGCTCCAGCGACGCAATCGCCGGCTGGGGGTGCTATCCGAGGCGGGCCTCACCTGTGCGAGTGCGGGCGCCCAGCGCGAGCTACCGTTGGCCTGGCGGAGGCATTGCCGCGCGGGGGAGGCGAAGGATCGAGCAGCCAGCATCTTGACAGTGTGTGAGGGTCCTGCTACTCAATGGCAGATGTAGAAATGGGCAGTCGAGGCCGGAGTGGTGGTGCGCAAAGCTCGGAGATCTGAAAAACACAGCTCCGCCCACCTTGCGTCGCGTGCCAAGCCTCCTTCCTCTTCAGTCCTAGTCTTCCTGACGTCTGGGTGGCAGTAGGGCTGAAGGATCCAAGCAGTCGTATCGTGACTTGCAGGATCGAGCTTGTTTGTCCAAACCTTATTCTGTTCTGTCGAACCTGTAAAGTGGGTGCGGGGTAATTTGACAGAAGCTTCACGTCTTCGAAGCAGCAGATCGTGGTGTTGCGATTGGGTCAATATTGCCAACAACCGTCGTTAGTCCAAGTATGATAGGAATGGATTGGTTTAAGATAAAATGTGTAAACGCCATTCAGATGTTCAACATGGCCTAAGGAGGAACGACCTGTTGTGAGACCTATTTCTGTACGTATTTCGAGAGCAGGATACAAGGCTACTACAATTCCCATTCCAATTATATATGATCAGATACTACAACTGACTATGTATCATCGATGGTAGAAGCCTAAAATATCGTTGAAGCATACGTCATATAACCCCGATATACTAACGTTGAGATGTTTCGTGGTTGCAGGGCTGAAGGGTCAGATTGAGATATTAGTGTAGCTTAATGCACTCTTCAATATCGAGATGCTAGTCTTGTACAACCTCGACTATGTCAAACCTACAGACAACTACTGTCTAATCAGTTCGCCTAATGTAGCGATAGCTTCGATTTACAGCCATTCGATGTGCCTTGCTGCTACGGACTTGACCTGAGTGAACTATCGTGGATGTGGATCCACGTTAATAAACCGCCAGATATAGACAATCCGAATATTGAATATAAATGGGCTGAGAAGCGAAGACGTATAAGCTTCAATCTCGCTGTGCGAAGACTGATGTTAGACTCAGAGCGTATTCCATTCATCTTCCTGTGCGAGGATGTAATCGAGAGAAATACGTAGACTTGAGATGGGCAATGAAACTGCGTAGAGGAGAAGAATTGTGGCATTGCCTGTTGGTCATTTGGAGCAGAGAAGCAAGAGTGTCATCGAGAAAGGGCAAGGTTAGAAACGTCTAGGAGGGCTCGTCTATGTGCACTTCACCAGGCTACGAAACTGCCGTCACGCTTGTGTTGACACGCTATCTGAAAAATGTGATCGATCAACGCGTCGAGGTCACCCGAAGACGTGGCAATTACGATCATGATGAAAAAGTCCGTCACGACAATTGAGGAGTGCATGTCGAGCTGCAACTATACCATACCTAGCCACGAACTCGAATAAGCTCTCCAGAGTATGTGGTCTGCAAACCCGTCTGAAGAAAGAAGTAGAGGATTCGAGAAGCACAAACCGTCAAACGCCCATTGAAGAGGCAAACTCGTAAAGCGATCGTAGAAGGTCATCGTCATAGTCTTCTTACGTGAGGTGAGATCAGGGGGTCCGGCAAATCGGCCTCAGTTTGATTGTCTGTGCAACCATCGCAGAGCCGCTTCATCCAGCTGCTTCCACGAATCTGATGGTGTTCCTGGCCAACTGCATCATCAAATGCCATGTTTACGTGCTCTTTCCATCATTGCTTTAATTTCCTCGGTAGAATTTTCCTTGGTCGCGCCCATGCCTGAAGGTAGGCATCCCGCATGCTTAAGATGAGACGCTGCGAGACAGACGTGAGATATGACCTCATCAATATCACATCATTCAGATCACCCTACAGGCATGTTGTGTTGTCCTGACGCGACTGTGGCTAGCAGTCCCGATTTGAGGTGGATCTTCAGCCGCGCCTTGTTCGAAAAAACGCTGACTGTTTCAGGAAGCATCGGTCGCCTAATGACTGTTCCGGGCTCGAAATAGCAAATCCCGCCGTGCAAAGCCCCAACGTGAGTGTAGTATGATAGCACACACTGCCCGTATTGCTAGTTAAAAAAAGGGTTCACTGTTTAGTGCTTGTGCTAAGTTTGGGGGCTTTGCAAAGGTAAGCGTGGCTTGGTTCACGGGCATGTTTGCCGCAAGACGCGCGTCGGGCCTAATTGGAAGGCACGCAACGGTCGAACTCGCTCGACTGGGGCTGTAACCATCGTCATAGCCAAGGAGCAGGGGGAAGGATCTGTAAACCGATCCCCCAGACCCAGGCTGAAAGCATTTCTCCATAAAAAGCCTCGCGGAGAAGTAATACTGCCAATCACAGCCGGGCTTCGAGGTACCAAATTACCGCAACCGGCTTGGTGCAGCTGCTTTTCCTAGATCGTGGCGGTGTCGACCAGTCGGCTTCCACTTACGTATGTGAAAGAGAAGGCGGTGCACGGTGACTAGCGCGTGGCCAGGGTCTTTTGTTTGTTGCTGGGCCAGTGCTCCTGCAGAGTATAAGACAGCATCTTCTGCCCTGGTGTCTCTCATTCTCCACCACTACAACAAACTCAATCAACTACATTCAACTTTTAATACCAACTCTTCCAAACCTCCCCAAACTTCAACAACCATCAACATGCGTTTCTCCGTCCTCGCCACTGTCGCCGTCGCCGGCCTTGCCAACGCTCAGCTCCAGTCTCTTGCGTCTTCGCTCCGTGGCGATGTTACCTCCCTCATCGGCTCGGCTGGTGGTGATGTCACCTCAGCCGCTGCCTCGTTGACCTCCGCTGCTGGCTCTGCTCTCGCCTCCGTCACCGGCTCCGCTGGTGCTGGTCTCAGCTCGGTTCTGTCATCCGTCGAGGGTGCCCAGTCGTCCCTGCTTAGCAGCATTAACAGTGAGGCTGCTTCCGCCACCGGCTCGCGTGGCGCGCAGTTGAGCTCCGTTGGTGCTTCGTTGTCCTCCGCTCTTTCATCCAGGACCGCCAGCGCTGCCTCCGCCGCCTCGTCCGCCGCCGCCTCCGCTGCTGGTGCCCCCTACGACAGCGTGCCCGCCATGGGTGCCATCGCTGGTGGTCTCCTCGCCGTTGCCGGTCTCTTGTAGATGTGTTCTACCTCTCGACCTTTCACTACTCTCGATAATCGGAAAGTTGTCTACTGCAACAATCGCTTCTTCAAAATTATACCACTATCAGCCTCGAGCTGACTTCACTTCGTCTCATTGAGGCATGGGCTAGGACAAAGGATCAGGGCATTTGGCGGTGTTAATGGATATGTCTACGGCCATTCCCACGCCGTTGGAATACATAGTCTCAATAAAATATATTGAAACATGACACATTAACTTTCTTCTCAATGTGTTCTTCCTGATAATCATGCTCCTTTGCCTTCACAATTCGACTGAACAACTTTGCCTAATCTTATTTTTCAATTGTTAACATTCTTGCATAAACTGACACAACTCCCCTACTGAATCATCAATGCGATTCAGCTCAGCCACCGCTCGATATCATTGGCCCATCGCACACCAAGCAATTATTGCCGTCTTCCCGTGCGGACAAAAAGTTCCATCTTCAGACTGACGTCAGGGCGCGTAACCCCATCGGGCAGAGCGTCGCTAATTTTACTCCGATCTGCGACGCGCCACTTCGGTTCCTGCCACCCGCCAAGTCTCCTCGTCTGCGTGTGTGGATATTGCCAATACGTTGTCGTGTCATGCATGCAGGGTGACAACAATGCAGTGTGTAGGAGATGGGGGTTATGCGAACTGACTGTGTTTAGGGGTTAGAATTGTGGTTTGTTGGGAGGGGAGATGGTTTAGGGTATGTTGTTGTTTGTAAAGTGGGTAATGAGATTTCTAATGTGGAGTTGTATTTGGATGCGAAGTTTAGAGTGTTCTGCTTGAGGGATGTGTCGGTGGAGTGTAACTGTAGCACTATTTGCGCAGAATGTATATAATGTCTAGTGTAGTTTGTTGGCGATAAGCCTAATATGTGCAGTCTGTATATATGTACGTGTATGGATCGCATGCATCGCCAGCCTCATGGCTACGATGCATCCAACCCGTCGTCTCTTTCGCTACTTTCTTGCAATCAACTCTCTTTCATATTTCTCTACATTTTCTATATTCTATTGTAGACGAAACCTCCAGTGTAAAGATGATGGATTTGTGCATTCCGTTGTTTGAAAGTATCTGAATCATGTATGTTTTCACGTTCTGCTGAGGGAAATGGGTCGCTGTTTTCATACGCTTCTCGTCTAAGAATATTTGCTGTACGCACCAAGAGTTTTTCAAATAATTCCAAGACGAAAGTGCTTCCGTCGCTGGAGCGTCAACAATGAGATGCCAGAGACAGGCACAACGGCTCTAGCCTGACTCCGTTAGCGTTTCAAGCCACGTGAGATGGCGTTCCGGAGAAAGCGGGAGCGTGTCCATCGAACGCCTCCTCAGCCTGCTCGTTCCATCGTCATCATCAGCATCGGTATCAACATATCATATAGACAAACAGTGCATAGGGCCCTAATTTACCCGCGTCATCATACAAACCTTTTGTGACTCGGCCGTGTTGCGCCAGCCACACGCGACGTGTGTCGCGTTCTTCATGTCAGGAACCGGGAATGTCGTCCGGTGATTTATATGACCCGGATCAGAGTGCTGTCGATACTCGTTTAGTGAAGCCTTGGAACGTAGCGTTTAGGGTGAGTTAGAGCGGTGACATGTTCCTTGTTGTGTTACAAGAGGACGTGTGTGAAACCCTTGTTCATGGATTACACTAACCAATCATTAGGCACAGCGTGATGTAGGATTGAACATTCCCATCGACTTTCGTACTGGACCCACAGTCTCCTTGAGCCCGGCTTGCTTCTACAACAATCAGTACGAACATAATGCGTTTCAGAAATGCTTTTCGAATCTTCTCGCTGTCGGCTTCACGAGATTCACTGTAGATGTCTACTGGGATCCACTTCAATCAGTATGGAGTCTATGTCCAGTTGAATTGCCTCCACTAGACAATGAAGTAACTGAGACTATATCCATAGTGTCAGGGCCAACGCTCACAATGTCGACGGATACATTCGATGCGAACATTCCGTTGTCCACTGCTCTTCCGCCTAGGGACATCTTAGAATTCGAGCGGCGTCAAGATGGGCCAGGTTCAACATCAGTCGCCACACCAGTGGATGCATCATCAACTGCGACGTCTTCAGGACTGTCATCAGCTGGTCCAACAACATCCTCGCTTTCTACAGCTGCGCCAGCCAACCCAACTATCGTCAGCTTTCCTACCACTGATGGCCCACCCTTGATGCAGATCGGTAGCTACAACTGCACTGCGATGATGACATTGGGCTTTCTCACTGGACTGCTCGAAAACTTCTTGGATGTCACGTCTACTACAACTGATACCGCAATCACACTATTGACTCTGAATGTTCATGCTGCATCCTCATGGCAGGATCCAAACGCTCCCGCATCACAACTGTCTCAAAATCAACTCCCGGAATCCGGCGATCTGCTTAGCGACGTCATGAAGGGAAATCTTACGGACGAAACATACACCCCATCCATTCTTAGATCACAACGTGAAAACCTCAATGAGTCCTGGTTCGACGTGGACTGGGAGAATCGCCCCAGACAAGGATACTACAACTTCTCGAAAGATGCTAATGATAACCTCTACACGGTCAATGGGTGGCCGTCAGAAGTATACATCGAGTTCCAGGAGCAGTACAGGCTTGTCGTCAGTTATGGCACTATCGACCCACAGATGCGACTGTATAACATCGGGACTGATTTGGACTTCATCTTTCCACCAGGAACAATCTCAAATTACCAAAACGTTTCCTTTGAGACGGCAGGACAGTTGTCATCGGGCTGCCTATTCGCGGCTTCGGAAACTACAGTAACTCCAGAATCGAATTCCTCTTGGGCCATCTCTACTGCACCATCACTCGATATAGGTGCAACTCCCAACCTCCTGGTACCTATTCCCTCCATCGCCAACCTCACCTCCTGCGGCATCACTGCGTTACTCAACGAAACTCTGGCCAACACGACAGCCGACAAGAATCCCCTACCGTACGCTGCGTATCTACACTCCACACAATGGTCCTGGGCCCCAGGCGAACCACTGAACGCCACATCCAGCGGATCTGGCTCCACCGGAAACCGCTGCGCAATCATGACAATATCTCCCTTCCCCGGACGATGGCATGCGACTGACTGCAATAGCCGTCATCAGGTAGCGTGTCACGACCCAACACAGCCATACCACTGGGAGATATCCTCTGGAGATTCCGAATACGAAGCCGCCGAGACGCTCTGCCGCGCACCCCTAACATTCGACGTGCCACACACTGCGCTCGAAAACGCACATCTCCTCGCAGCTATGCGCAGTCGGCGCGAAGGGACCGACGAGCCGGTCTACATCGATATCAATAGCCTTGATGTGGCGGATTGCTGGGTCATCGGTCTCAACAGCACGTGTCCGTATATACAGTCCATCGACACGAATCGAACGAGGATCGTGGTTGTTCCGACGGTTGCGGCGGTCATTATCTTCGTGCTGGCGGCACTGACGTTCTTCATCAAGTGTGCGTCTAATAGAAGGAAAAGTAAGAGGGGTAGGAAAAGGAGGATGGTTGGCGGCTGGGAGTATGAAGGTGTGCCCAGTTGAGAGGAGGGAAAGTTATGTCAGGCCGCATCACGACGCAGCGTATCAAGGATTGCAGGAGTGGACATGCATTGAATACAGGTCTTGTCAGGGTATAGATCCAAAGTTTTTCTGCCTCGTACAAGATATTGTTCGCCTCTCGTTTACTTTCCGTTCACGTGCTTCTCCTTCACAAACACCAGGAGAGAGTTGAAAGGGTCTTTGGCCGGGTCCGTGGTGGTCGAGGTTCTTGTACGTTTGACACCATTGACACCATTTACCTGCTTAACCACCAGCTTCTCCACGACCGGCAATCTCTCTGGAGTCTTGTTCTTCTCCTCCTCCTCTTCCTCCATTCTGTGCTCCCCTTCCGCATGACTTTCTTTTCCGCCCAGTTGCTTCCCTATCTCCAGGTCGCGCTGCAACTCGACCTTCCTCGCGTCTTCAAAGCCCTCAGCCCTACCCTGTATCCTTCCAGCAGCGAAGCCTTCCACCTCGCCAACCATCCTTCCCCTTATCTCTCCCTCTTTCAGCCCATCTGCTTTTCCATCGTCTAGTCCACGCTGATACGCCTCGTGCCGTGCTTGTTCGAGGAGCTCTTCGAAGCACACAGACTGGAGTTCGGTCTGCGTTGTTTGCGAGTTTGTGTGCAGAGGCACTGTCGTTTGCGTACCTAACTCTATTCTCAGCATTCCACACAGCTGGACATCAACTCCTCTCTATCCCTACCTTCATCCCGAGAGACGTTAAGTTCATTGAGGGCGTTACGAAGCGTGTCGCAAATCAGCTCGCCCACGGAAAGCTGGCCGGTCAGTGTCATGTTACGTTTATCCTCGCTCGTACTTACCTTTACCTGCTCCGTCTGCACCGCACTCGTTTCCGTACGCTCCCGTTGTAAACGCGTCAAGAACTCCTCGAGCGAGATGCGTTCTTTGTCGACCTCGTTCGCTGTGCGAGTAACTTGGAGAAGACCTTGCAAGCGCTCGGACAGGTTCGAAGTGTCGCCATCACGAGGGACGGTGTCAGCGTCTGAGGTGTCTCTACGGGCCGTCTCGTACATGCGTGAGAACGCATGGGAATCGTATTGGACTAAATCCATGCGATGCGGTGTACGAGTACCAGCGGTGACTGTACTTGTGCGTGACGAGCCGTCGAGGACGTGACGAAAGGCGGCAAGAGAATATAGACAAAATCTACTGCGTAAGGTGTTTTTGTCAAGGGTCCATGGCGGTGTGAAGGCGGCTTTCCTTCACCCCTGATATGGGACGGCGGTGAGCGGGCGGCTTTGCGAAGGGATTTGTTTGTGCAGTGAGATAAGACGATGACTTGGGAAGAACTGGCGAGAAGATGCTCACCAACCTTTTACTATAGATTTCGTGTCTGGCTGGACATGGAATGCGTGCTTTGAGTAGAGAAGGCGCATCATACTGAGAATGGAAAGATCGTGGGTAGTTGCAGGTAGGAACCCACAAACGAAGCAACACTAAGTACATCAATCTGATGATTGAATCTAATTCCGTAGCATGAAATGAAATGGCAGCGGTAGACACACTGCACACAATGAGAAGTCTTATGCATATCTACTTGCCCTACCTGTGCTCAAACCCATCTTCCACTTCAAATACCTACATTTACCGGCCCTTGCGGTGAGTAGCACTACACATTTGTTAAGTCTTTGACAACGTGCTCAACCGAGTTATCCCTCCGCAGGCTCCCAGTTATGTTGACATGAATGAGATCGATACGGTGTGCAGGATTACCGACTACACCGAAGCTCCATCTCACACTCAATCATTCGTTCAGGATGTCTTACGGAAGTTCAGAAGGAGATTAAGAAGACAGCATTGATTAGCGAAACATGACTTGAAATGGGATGAAGGAGGGCCGTTCTCAAAAAGGTAACTTCACCCAAAAAAGTATATTTTTATATCATACAGCGCTATCATACATGATCTCAATTCAATCCTTTTTGTCGCACACCTTGTGGAAGTCTTTGTGCGCTGCCGAACCCTTGCCAATCATCTTCTTGAACTGGTCAAACGGACAGCTTGCACCAGGCCCGCTCTGACATTCTAGAATAGGTCGTGGCGCCGTGTTCGCAATGAAGCGTACGAACTCTCCAGGACCATCGCCAGACGCTGCGCTTCGCTCACACGTCATCTTCTCCATACCAACATGGCCCAGGAACGGGATAAGGTCAGACATTTTCCACGCACGCGTCCAGTTGATGTGATCTGTAGGGAACTCCTCTGCGGCAGAGGATGAAGAGTTGAACAGACCGAGTGCTGTGGCGACAAAGGGGGGAACCTCGCGATGCGTGAAGGATAGGAAGAAGCGTTGCTCATCAGGCCAGCCACCGCCAGGCGCATCGTGCTTGCTGATGTGCGAGAAGAGCTCGGCTTGAGTCTGCAGCCAGGGGAAGCCGAGGTAAGACGAAAGTGGGTTCATCGGTCCAACCATATAGGCATACTTCAGGTCCCAGGCATACTCATATGCCATCCACTCTGCGTCTGTAAACAACGCACAGATTTCGGAGCGTTTGCCAACGATGGCACTTTCGTAACCGCAGAGCATCTGGAAGCCAACGACGTCATTAGGTGTAAGTTCGAAGGGCATCATGGGTGCAAGACGCTTAGAGACGCTCGCACCGTAGATGTTGATGAACTCCTTCTGCTCCTTGGTTCCTGGGTCCTTGTTGAAGGCCTGGCAGGATTTATGGGGAATGAGCGCTTCCATGGAGCCATTTTCGTTCTTGGTCACGCGAACGATTTCCATCTCTTCGCTGTGCGGAAAAGCCTTGATGAGGTTCTTGGCCGTGTCGTAAGTACGCGACTTCTTGTCTGTAAGAACACGCTGTGTATCGGGAATAAGATCCGGGTAGTGTTCCATGAAGTGTCTACCCATCTTCTCGGCGGCAACAGCGCCACTTGGTGTGAGGTCCTCGAGCTTGTCTTCCAAAATCGGGCTTTGCCATTTCTCCATAAAGGCTAGCGGACCGGACCAACCCTGACGTTGCTGTTCCAGTTTCCAGAGGAAAGGCTTGATGTACTCCGCGTACTCTTTGTCGTTGGCATAGATCGCGCCATGGCGGATGATGTACGATACAGCTGTGACTTCACAACCGACGGGCGCATTATGATCCAGGCCAAACCCAATAGCATCGAAGTAGGGTGATATTCCGGGGAGGTGGTGGAGAGCGTCGAATTTGTATCCTTGCGAGTGACCGAGAGGCTGAAGTGGTGTTTGTGTGGAGAAGAATGCCGGCAGGGCCGAGGCGGGTGCCGCCAATAGAAGAGCGATGGAGATCATCCTAGCAAAACACGACGCAGTGAGTGAGGAGCTGAGTTTCACACAATCAGATCACCCAAATCTGGGGGATGAGTGTAGAAGGGATGTCAAGAAGTTTGTTTTGACTTTCTGTTTTCCGTGACGTCAGCCCGTCGCGTGAAGGCGCGTGCGTTGCTAGTCGTGATGATGTGCCGCCCAGGCTTTTAGAGTTTCGCTGTCCCCCGTGTATCGAGGCAGGAGGTAGAGGAATAGACGGTCACAGATCTGTAATAACGAGAGCACTGTAGGACTGATGTGCGCTGCTGTTTCAATTGCACTATTGGTGTGATGTGCCAACGACAACACAGCTCGTTTGATCTGAGCTTGATGTGCCACTAGCCACTACGCAGGAAAGAAGAATCATGAGCGATTAATGTGAAAGGGGCTTGATGTCATTCGCACTTCAATCTGGGAAGTCGTGGTACACCTTGGCACAGGCTCGTCGTCGTTCCATTGAAAGACGCATTGACGGTGCGGTTCCATCCCGTTGCCGCAATGATCCTATCCTAAAGTACAAATCACGAACAGCTTTGCCATTCTAAGAGGTTTGTACGTCTATGCATCGTCCGTAGCTTTCAGTGTAAGACATATGACTAGTCTCTAAACGTGATGAGAACGCACACTACCTTGCACTGCGGAGAATACCATAGTCAATGCAACATCTCTTTCTCGCCAACCTCTTCAGGACCACCCCCAGTTCTATCGGCCAAAAAAACTCCAGGCTATCCACAGCGCATAGTCTTCACAGTCCCTACGCGAAAAGACTCGAGCGACGGCAAAAAAGAACTCCCCCGGGAAGGCTCGAACTTCCAGCCTCCAGATTTGCTTGTACTTGCGGACTAACAGTCTGACGCGCTAGCCAATTCTATATTTCGTTAGTATGGTGTCTGAGTTGCAATGACTCGGAGAAACTTACGCGCCACAGGGGAAAACCCAATTGAACCATTTGGTGAATGGAATTTGTTGAGGATTACGGCAAAAAGTTGGTAAATATCCAGACACGTTATTGCAAAGATATCAGTGCCATTGGCCTAAAATTCGGTCCCATTCGATGCAAACTGCGTGGGTCCCCGCGTTTGTGTGTCGGTGGATCGTGCTCGCTTATTGTGTTGTCTAGCCCGTTGGGGAATAAGATCCCACAAGCACATCAACCTGACACAGCTCCTCCAGTCGTCCAGCGACGAGCGATCAACTCTACTTTATAATCACCCTTACAGTCTGCTTGAATAACATGATTCTCCCGCCAATGAGAGACTATGGTTGGTCTGAGGCGTATATGAATGTGCATTCAAGTGTTTAATGCCATGCATGTAGGAAATCATCCGTCAAGACTCCATATCAAGCATGGCAGCAGCTGCGAATCGTGTGTGCCACAATAAAGACAGTGTTCAATTTGATCAAAGTAAAGTGAAAAGAGGGTGTACTAAAACGTCATGCTCCACCATTTTAGGCCAGCAACCCTCTACTTCTCCTCTAAGCCGGATGGAATGCAGAGGTAAGCGCATCGTCGCTCCTCGGCCCAAAATCTCAATCGCGCTCGTCGCGCTCTCCACTGCTGACATGCTTCTATCTCTGACATGCGTATAGCATACTTACCTCCTCGCTGATGCAAGGCCGATGTGATGAACGTTGCTTGCGACCAAATATAGACCCGGACGCTTGCAATTGAAGCAACTTCATACGCAGTGTATGCTGCGCGCAGAATGGCTTTCGTTGCCTGTCCCTAGTCGCGAGCAAGAGGCGATACTCATGTCGTTTTCGTTGTGATGCTGGCTGTAGCATTGCAGATCAAGTAATCATGTCCTGTCAAATCAGTCGCCCATGCAGGGCCTCGTGGTTAGCCTTTGACGATAAAAACGCGCCCAAAACAAAGGCGTAAACGATCAAGACGGACGCGAATACAGGGGAGGCTTTTGAAAACCCTGGGATGAGTGGACGCTGTCTTTTCGAGCCTTTCTTGCTGCTTTCCTAGCAGCGAAAGTGTTGGAAGAAGACAGGCCAGTTCCAGGGCGATCTTGCCGAACAGACAAAGGGGAGTCGTACCAGTTCACATCACTAAGCTGCAACTTCCTGGCACGCTGGTTGCTGCGGTTGTTGCCAGCTTTGTCGAGGCGCGGCTGCGCATATGGATTGGGAGTCTTGTCCAGACCTTGAGGAGTTTCAGTACGCTTCTTATTGGTGTTAGGCGAGAGAATATAAGAAAATGGTGTATCACCAGTGTCGTCAACGTCGTCTCGAGCTTCGTTGTAGTTCAGTACAAGGTTCTTGATTCGCTGCTGTTCCTCTTTTTCGGCTTGCTGCTTGCTGCGCATAGCAACGGCAAACGTAGAGTCTGAGGGCAAATCGATAGATCGTGCCTGCGTCTTGTTTCCGCGCTTGCTAAGAAGTGAGAACTTCATTGTGTTTCCCGGAGTAAATGGAACAGGCACATCGTTCACGCTGTCTTCTGGATTAGCTGTTGCCTCCCGAGCGCGACGCATCGGTAGTGGCACGTCAAACACGGGCTTGCGTTCGAATTTGCGCGAGTCCGCGCTCTCTGACATGAGCTTAGCCAGTTCACGATCGAAGTCAGCCTCAGCTTCAGGGTCGCGCTCGTCTTCTGGGCGCGTCACAACAATCTGCTCTTCCTCTTCGTCCGACGAAGCTTGTTTGACAGGCTCGTCGTCATCCGAGTCCTATGATTGGATTATCAGCATGCGAAGTATACAATATGTGGAGAAGAGAAATCACAGACCTGTTCATCTTCATCGGAGGACTTCTCGTCTCCTTCTGGTACCACCACGTCTTCGTCTTCAAGACCCTCAAGATCGTCATCGGAGGCAGAAAGATCTTCTTCATCAGGTTCAACTGCCTTGTCGGTTGCAGCCGTTTGGTAGTTCTGCTTGACGGCTTCGGCGAAAGCATGAGAGGCTTCGTCCAGGTCAGTAATCAATTTCCACTGTGGTCGCGTAAGATTGTATGCGTCTTGCACGATAAACTCTACATCCATTGGCAGAGACTCTTTCAAGCAAACGTAGTACTGGAAGTATGTCAGGAAAAAGTCGAGCTTCTTCTTCGCTGCACCCTTGTCGTAGTACATGCCGCATGTCTCGAGCAGACTGCACACCAGACGAATGCGGAAGTAGTCATCTGGGAGGTCAAGCGGGTTGTAAAGTCCTGGACGGGCGTAGCCTCCCTCCCAGCCGTAGTTCAAGAGTTTATACAAGGTATCGAAGATAAGAGGGGAGTCGACTAATCGATAGAGGTATAGCTCGCCAAGATACTTGATCTCTGCAATCCTTCGTTGGTTGAACTTGAAGTCGTTCAGCTCGAGTCCGAAGGTAATGGACTCTAGAAGGTCATCGATGACCGAAATTGCAAAGTCTTGATGGTATCGATGGATTGTTCCAAGAATAACAGCCAACAGGTGGATGTTGCTGTATTTGACCTTTCCGGGCTTCGAAAAGACCTTGTGCAGGAGATCGACTATTTCTGGTTCCTCCCAATGCATCTTGCGGATTTGCTTGACAGACTTGTCCAACGTGCGACGGGTGAGGTCCTGATACATCATCTTGCGAAGAAACAGCTCTATTGGCGTGCGCTCTTTCTGCTCAATAGCCGCACGTTCTGGCGGATTGACGTAGTAGATGGCATTTTCAATCAACATGCGCTCTTGTTGACCAAGAACCTGAGCACCCTTTTTCCGTTGGAGTGTTTCCAAAAATGAAGCCATACGAGGAGAGGTTTCTGGGTTGCGAAGGAGATATCGCCCACAGTTCTCCAACAGGTTGCAAATGATCTCAATGTTCATTCTTGAAAACTCATCCAAGCTGACTTTGAGGCAATGGAAGATGACATGCTCCGGGACCACACCAAACTTGGTCAACTCCGCGAGGTAGCGCACATTCTGTGTCCGCACCTGTCCAAGGAAGTCCTTGGATTTACGTCGCTGCAGGCTTCTAAACTCATCATCGAGGTACGAAACCAGGCCTTGAGAGATGTCTGGCATGTATTTACCGAGGGTTGCGATAAGCCTGGAATACAGAGGCAACAAGTCGGAACGGCCCTTTGGTATATCCTGAACAGCTTTGATGAGACGGTTGCGAGACGCTTTGGAGTTTAGAAAGCAAAAGTCCATGGCGGTCTGATCCACTGCATCCTTGGTGTTGAGCTCAGGTAATCTAGCAAGAATAGCATCCACCTGTGCTCCGACAGACTTGTTCGCGATAGCAGTGGACTGATCGTCTGCTTCGGCGGTTTTTGCTTCAGTAGCGGCGACCTCTGTTGCGTCTTTATCCCCTGCGTCCGGTTTGGTCTCAATCTTCTTGCCCACCTGCTCATCGCTGTCGACTTTTTTCTTAGAGGGAGCTTCGAGGAGAATTCCAGGGACTCGGTCTTTCAAGTCGATCAGGTTCTCGTAGAAGCGGCGTTCGTCCTCGTCTTCCCATAGTCCAGAACCGTCGCTCTGACCTCGCAAATATTCGCCTGTCTTGACCAAGCCAATGGCACCATCACCAGTGTTTCCGCTACCGTCCTTCTCTTTCAAATCCGGCATATCCACACCTAGTGCATCAGACAATACTTGAGCATTGGCGACCAATCGCTCCTGGACTTTCAGTTGCTTTTCATAGTTGGCCTGCCGATCTTCGAACACCTCCCCAGACTTGACGTAGGCTTCAGCATTCTTACGACTCTGAGCCGCCAGGTGCTTTTGGTCGCGCAACAAGTGTAATTTGACGTCCTCGAAATAGCGCGTGAGAATGTTTGCAAAGCGCTGTTGTAGCTCTGGAGACACAATGGGAGGGTCTTTGCTGGGCGTTTCGTCGTCCGTGGATGATGTGTCTCCGTTCTTCTCCGCAGTGGTTGTGCCATCTTCGTTCACAGTTTTACGACCCTCTGTGGAAGACGTCTTTGTTCCAAGAACATCCCAAGCGAAGGCCTTGACGAAGATGACCACCAAAGGCAGGTTGACATGATCCCTGTCGTGGCCCAGCATATCCTTCAACACTTCCAAAGGAAATGGCTCAGCATCCGCGTTCTCTGCTCGTGCCCTGGCTTTGTTTGGCCCCTCGACGAGCTTGCCATTGTCCTTGCTCTTGACTGCCTCCTCGGGTCGAGCTACGTCATCCAGGCTCCGCAAAACTCCCACAAGCCACAGCTCGGTAGCCACGCGCAACAACACACGCTGGCGAGCCAGACGCTCCTTCTCTTCTCGGTCACGGACCTCCTGCGCCAAAGTCTTCAGGTGAGATTTGTCCGGCGTGGCCAGCCCTCTGCCGACGTACCATGCGATGTATGCAGTAAAGTCTGTGGGCCCGAAGCGCTGGTGGAGGGCGCTGATGATCTCGACACCTGCCGCAATCTCGCCGGGAGTCTTGAGCTTGCAAAGACCCTCGTAGCAGGCGGAGATGATCTCGGAGAGGTATTTGTGGAGCGATAGCGTTCGGATCTCTTGGAGGAACTGGGCTTGTGCGGGCGCGTTGACGGCGGTTCGTAGGCGCTTTATGAAGGCCGTGTTCTTCTTCATGGAAGAGTCGAGGGAGCCGTGCACGGGGAAGACATCTGCGTCAAGTGTGAGCGCAGAGGCTGGTGGGGTGCATGCTGGGCGCATACCTTGCTCGCCATCCCACGCTCTGAAATTGAGCTCTCGAAGCTCTCCTGCATATTGTCAGTGTGATATAGCTTGGTTCAGAAGGCTAAACACACGCTTCCTATGCCTCTCCATGGCGGGGTTGGCGGCCTTGCGACTGCGGAGGGGCGAGTGGTGATAGCACGGATCGGCTACGATATGCGCACATGGAAAACCGGAAGAATATCAGGCGCGACTTTTGCAAGCATTTGATCCGAGACAGCTGGGCAAGCTCGCGATAGAGCGAAAGTATTCGTGAGTGTCAGTATCAGTACAGCGGGCGTGGAAATTGCTGCTGTTTGCGGCCTGTTGGAGGGTTTGTGATTCTGCAGGTACAAGTTCCGCGTTCCTTATCGAGTCTGTGCGCCGTTACGCGCTTTCGGGGAACTGCACGTGACCCAAGTGACGCGATGAGTTCATGTGCTTACAACGCGGAGAGCAGAACATGTCTAAGGCTCACTTGTCAAACTGTGTTTGACTTTGCTTCTCTACACAATATGACCAAAGATGACCGTTATTCCGTCAAAAGCAAACACTCAATATCCCTGTACTTGTCTGAGACGCCCGATACGAGACAGATAACGTGAAGAAGAAAACATGCGTCCGTAATTGTCACGTTTTCTCAAATGTACCGTGGTTCATTGTCGTGATGTTGGAACGCAAGACACACACGCCCAGCTTCTAGCGTACCGTTGTGCAAACCTTCCGTGTGGGAGGCTTTGAGCCATCGACGCCTTGCCACCTCCATTTCGGCAAAACCAAGCGGCACGGCTTGGTACATGGCCTGGATGAAAAAGGAGGTATTGCCCTCTTGGCGCTTTCATGCCTTGCGAATCAATTGAAAACGCTGTTTTGTATGAAGGTACTGATTTGCGGGATGCAGTGAAATCACTGAATGTCGTGCGAAACGACAAGCAGAATATCGAGCAGCGGAAGAGGAAGGCGTATGCAGGTTTCATACAAATTCGATCTTATCACACCCGCATCATGGATCAGGGGTAAGACTGACGTTGCTACGAATCTTGTTAGTGTCTGCGCCAGTAAAAGAACTACTACTAATTTCAACCTAAACCAAAACATATTAGTGCTATATGCAAGAGGTAACGAAAATGAAGGCTAGGAAGACCAAGTTGCCAAGTCTCATATAGAGCTAGGACTCTTGGGTTACAGTTCTATTACTCTTAGAAACGAATTTTCCCCGGTAGGATTATACTTAGCATGAAATATTTCGCGACTATTTTGCTTAATATTAAGTTGGTATCAAAACGCTTTAAGAATGTTACAGCAAGCGTGGTCTCGACCTAATAGCGGTTCGACGTTTGCCAGTCCCAGCGACATAAACGTGATGTCAATAAGGTCAATTAGTCTCATACAATTATCCAATATTGTGGTCACGATCGGAGATATAGCCGAAACCGGATATTCGAGCACACATACATCCCACTGCAACTGCCAAGAAAGCTGGTAAGGGTAACAGTTATCCATTAAGCACTGTTCTTACTCCGCATGGAGTATGCCATCTTGTTTACACGTAGCCTTCCTGAGTCTCAACCCTCTCTTAAGTCCCAATGTAAGCACCAGACAAGTGCCAAACATACAAAACAGTACCCAGGGTCTATCGACTAACCACAATACGACAGCCACATCACTGCCGTGCCATGTCCCTCCGGGACTGTGCCCGAAGAATGTATACTCTTCCGAGTAGAAGATTCGTGGAAGTATTCGAAAGCTCGCAGTATCTGCTCAGACAAACGTCAGCTACAACACATCGGTGTCTGGAGAACCTCAAAGCACTTACCATGATCACTTCCAATTCTCTTACTATGCCTCCACCACCACGTCTTCAGCATATCACTGCTGAACTGCGGCCCTGTGCTCCAAAAGATAGTAAGGTACGGAAACACCAAATTCCAGTTCCTTCCCACCAGCATAGTTGTCATCTCCAGCAGTATCGGATGCCTAGGTGCACTCGCCATCAAATCATTGTTCACCCCCAGCGGGCTCGCCTCCGGCCACCACGCCGAAAACTGCAACAACGGATCCAACGGCCTTCGACACGCGATATCGAGGTCCATATACACACCGCCAAAATGGTACAGCGCGAAATACTTCAGCGCGTCGACGCACTGGATCGGATATGTGTAACCATCGTATGTGGGCAGGAACCAGGGGTATTCTGTCTCGATGAACTTATGCGCAGCTGTAGCGTTCCAGATGCGGATATCGTAGGTAGGGTTGAACTTTCGACAGAGCTCTGGGGCATGCGAGCGCGATGTGCTTGGAAGGGAGGGGGTGCCGTTGCGGTGATGATAGAGGTCTGCGAAGTAGATGAAGTGGATGGTGCGTGGGATGGAAGGGGTAGGCAAGGACGTGTTGTAATCGAAGTTTAGGAGTGCTTCGCCATTTGTCCGCGATACGTTTAGGGCGCTTGTGTAGGATGGTGGGAAGTCGGAAAAGGAGATCTGGAGGTGCGAGAGTGCGCGTTGGAAGACGTACTGGCGTCTGGTGTAGTAGGTGGCGAGGAGGAGGGGGATAACGATGGCAGTGTTGATCAAGACAGTGCGCGCTCGCATGATGAAGTGGAGTTGCATGAACACTGATCAGGAGGGATTGAATAAAGCGGATGATGGGTAGCCAAGGTCACTCTGAATATCAATTATTGGTATTGAGATGCTATATACGACGTATAGGCGTATCAACTGACAGCACCATCATATCCACTTGTCGGTGACTGTTTTCTGCCGTGTCGTCCTCGAACTAATCCCGCTGAACGTTTGTGCTGTTCCGTCCATGATCAAGGGGGTTGTATCGCATTTGCGTTAGGTAAATGTAGCTGGAATTATGTAATTGGGTGTGCCATAAGGCAGATATTTCAGAGGATACGAGATGAATGTTAGCGTAAGGTTGTTTACTCTTGTGACATGTCTACAAAACCCGAGCGTAGGTATGTGCCGCGCGTTCAACGTGGATGGGGTGGAGATAGGCGTGCCATTCTCTCGTGTTTGCACAGAGATGTGTGGCTATGCAACGTTTCAGCTCACAATCACACCTAGGACATCCATGACAGATAGAATGTTTGGTAGGTATTCCATAGACTCTGCGCTCGGGTGTTGTGGACAGGAAGAAGGTTGTGGGGTACTGTATTTCGCACAGTGAAGGATTACAATAGTGAACCTGGCGATTGAACAAAACCCCTCCTTCACAAACCGAGTTTTGTCTAGTCTGTAGAGCCTAATAGGCAGTGAGACACTGTTAAGAACTTTGGAATGTTTAGAAGAGTTCTCCTAAGCCCAGCGATATACGTTTCGGCCACATGAAGTCCTTGATCAAATGCTATCGTTAGAGCCAACACAAGGGAGGCTTGATTTGAAGCTGAAAATCAACGACTCAGATGACAACTAGATAATAGATTACTCGCACAAGCAAGGGCGTTTGAGTCCAACCAAGTGAGCACTCTAGTAACGCTAAGACTATTAAAGTAGATATTGAGTGAGTAGCTGCATTACAAGCCTAGTCTGCATTACAAGCCCAGTAGGTATCACGTTTAGATGAGCAAGAGGTCAAGAAAGCAGCAGCAGAAGCTCTTAAGAACAACTCTCTGTGCGCTAAGTAACAAACATGACATTAAGTAATGTGGTGAGCTTAGGTGGGATCGGCGAGTACTACATGCTGTCAAAAAGTATGTAGCAGAGCTTAGGTATTCTGCACAGCCTGGCAACGAGAGTGGGACTTTCCTCCTGCGCACACAGTGTGAGCCTTCTGTAAGTAGTAACTATATTTCAGAAGGCGGTTGTAGCCCTCTCATATCCAGTCTGGATTATCTTCAACTGAGTCAGACACCCCATGTAATGCAAGCTTTCAAGCATTCTCCGAATATCTACTTTTCTGGACGTGAAGGTTTGGCAAGGCTAAGAAGTGTATTGCAATAATACTTTGGTTGATCCATAGCGTTCTCACTACAGAATATGCCAAGAAAGGTCAGCACATAATAGCGTAGCAAGAAAGTAGTTTACGTGTGGAAGTTAAGTGAAACACGAATCACCGATATCTTAGTCGCGCCTCTTCAGCTCTAGAAAACTCTTCCCGAGCTCGAACGTTCGGAGGATACGGCCACCGACGATAAAAAATGCTCCTCTTACTTGCCCGTTTCGTGCGTTGACACTTATAGAGAGAGAGAGCTCTCCTTGCCATGTGTCAAGAACGTGGTACAGTCTGTTCGGCCGGTTGATTGTTATCGCGTTCTTCCCGTGTGATCGCACAGACTTGACTCCTACAGACAACGGCACCTGCAGTGATAGGTTTCGGTTCTTCACCCGATAGGATGAGGTGGTTCTCGGGGGAAAAACGATAGAGTCGCCGTCAATATAGTGAGTTGAGACTCATGACGATTTTCCAGCCTAAAACTTGAACGGTAACCATTCAGAGCCAGTCGGACGCGAACATCTATGTGCTGTACTGGGCGGCGTGCCAAACCTTCTGCACATCTCCCAATACGTCTCTCAGACGATTTAAAAAACCGTTGATTGACCCCAACGACATGATGGCCTCGATGCCATCATCTCTCATGAGCTCTTTGACAGCCTGGACTAACAAATAGTCTTCGACACTCTTTTCTTGGTCGTGCAGTACTAACAGAATTATACCTCGCAGAAAGCTGTCTTTGTTAGGTTTAGTACGCTATTAGTACTTGATTCATGGAAATTCAACCCATAAGTTACAACTGAATCAGGACATGACGTCAGCTGAAACTCAAAGCACCTCAGTTAATTCAGAGCGGCTTTTAGTCTACCACCACGTCTCGCAACAGAGCTCACATGATGAGACTTGGCATAGATTAGCTAGTTAAAGCAATCACGTGATGGAGTTCCGTCGCGAGACGTGGTGGTCGTGTTCGCCTACGACCGCTTTCCGATTGTATGGGCGATAACACAACATCACCAATCGCGGATCGCTCTCAGCCTCAGTACGGAACGCATGTCTATACAAAGCGTTTTCGGGAGAGGAGGTTGCTGTAGTGCAACATTGCTTAACGCAATATGACAACACGAAGACGCAGCGGAGAAGCCCCTAGCAAGCGGCGCGTGGTCAACAGGTTTTCTGTCTCATGGGTGTTGAATCTTGGGTTCGCCATTCGGCGGGGAATCTGTAAGCGACTCCACTATGACCTCGTATCAGATTCTTCCACTGGTCTTAGCGCTCCATCCCGTTTCGACGTGACGGCGGCTGCAGAATAGGGGATTACAGCCAAGCTTGCTTCCGTGGTTGTTTTCGCGGGTGTCAGATCTGACAGTCAGCCCTGACCGCGAAAGCTGGAGGGGATAGATATACCGACGACCGGTAATGAGGGTATGAAGCTTGTCTAGTCACAATTGGCTGAGGAAGGTGTCATCCTCGGGAGTATGCTGCTGCCCAACCCCTGTACGAAATCAATGCGTTTGGCGACTTGGCACACGAACCGGCAACGGAAGGGCGGCAAAAGAAAGCGAAACGCCCCCTTCCAGAATGATGGCATTTTGCATGCAGTGAGCAGTAGCATATTGAGCAAATTTTCCACAAACAACGTTGTTCCGCTGACGACGCACGCCACTCTTTGAATCGCAGTGGTTTCCCAACCTCAAACTCGCCTACAAAGACACTCCCAATACAGTAAATAGCAGATAATAGGGATCGTGGTGGCCAAATCATGCGAAACCGAACAAGCAGGGGCCATGCTGTCTCAGACAGCTAGCTGCAGACACAACCAAAATAGTTCTGCTAGCGCTTCTCGTAGCCATTCATGCATGTCACGGCGGTGTTTGGGGTGGAGACGGCGCGGCCAGCTTGCCCGAATTGGCCAACTACCCCTGGCGATGATCGCAGTGAGCTCGTATAAGCTAACGGCCTTAGTTCTCCCGCGCCCTCAGTTTGGCCCTGTACAAACCAACCCGACTCCCTCGTGCTTTGAGTTCCTCTTTCTTCCACAGGCGCTTCTTCCTGCACATCTTCATACTGCAGATCTGCAATTAATGATATTGTAGACATCTTTGCTTATCTTGTTCCGACCCCTCACACTCGTTTACCTGAGCATTGCACACCTGCACCCCGTTATTACCGTTGTCGACCCTACCAATCGTAGTTTATCCACCTTCACCTTTCTTTTGGAACCGTATTTCGCCTCGGTACCAACGTCGATCTTCCAACATCGCGCAATACGCACGGCTTTCTATCGCCGAGGGACTGCACCTGCACCCTTCTACGATCGCTGCGCGCTGTTTGTAGCCATCGCGAGACGCCCCCTTTCGACAGCGTTAGGCGTGTTCGACTCGATCGGTCCCATCCCGCTATAACGACACAAATTTACCCCATCCTTCACCATGGTGTGGCACGAGGTCATGGGCATCTTTGCCCGAGCAGATAGTAGCATACCAGACATCGACGACCCTTGGCCGGTCAAGGATGTAAGTCTCGTAGTTGAACGAGAAAAACGCAATAACTGACTCTGATAGATTGTATACACCTCCATCGTCGGCGCTGTCATGCTTGCCGCTTTGCTCGAGTGGTTTCTCTGGGTTGCTGCCTTTCTGTACTGCATCGTCAAGGTCTTTCAAAAGGCCGAGACAATCAGCGTCCGCATCCTTGCTGTATTCTTTGGGATTCTTTTCTTCTGCCTCCGGTAAGCTCCATTATCTAGTCGCTCCTGCGAGACGCAACTGACAGCAGCAGTGCCATCTTCCTTCCCATCATGGTTGTTACGCTGCCCCTGCCTGCCCAGGTCGTTAAGTACTTCCCGCAAAACATGGTCGACTTCCTGCAATGGTTCGCTTTCTGGTCCTTCGCTGGTCTTCTGACAATTCCCTGGTTGTTCTGTGTCTACCAACTCGTCACCCACTCCGTTGGTCGATCCAGGAGGATCAAATCGGTTCTTGATGAGGCTTCCGCACCCAAGGTCGTCATTATCATGCCCTGCTACCAAGAAATTCCGGAAATTCTTCTCCGTACTTGCGACTCTCTGGTTGACTGCGAGTACCCTCCGTCCTGCCTGCACATCTTCCTCTCTTTCGACGGAGATGCCGAGGATGAACTCTACTTGAACACCATCGAGAAGCTCGGTGTACCGTTGACTCTCGACTCCTACCCCAAGTCCATCGATGTCATCTACCGCAGCTGTCGTATCACCATTTCTCGATTCCCCCACGGTGGCAAGCGTCACTGCCAAAAGAGGACCTTCAAGCTCATTGACAAGATCTATGCCGAGTACCTCAAGCGCAACGACAACCTTTTCGTGCTCTTCATCGATTCCGATTGTATTCTTGACAAGACCTGCATCCAGAACTTCATGTACGAAATGGAGCTCAAGCCTGGTAGCAAGAAGAACATGTTGGCTCAAACTGGTGTCATCACGTCGACAACCGAGAAGAATTCGCTCATCACCCTGCTTCAAGATATGGAGTACGTCCACGGCCAACTTTTCGAACGTTCAGTCGAGTCTGGTTGCGGTGCTGTCACCTGTCTGCCCGGTGCCCTGACTATGCTTCGATTCTCCGCTTTCCGAAGGATGGCCAAGTACTACTTCGCTGACAAGGCCGAGCAATGTGATGACCTCTTCGACTACGGAAAGTGCCATTTGGGTGAGGATCGTTGGTTGACGCATTTGTTCATGATTGGCGCAAAGGAGCGATACCAAATTCAGATGAACACTGGAGCTTTCTGCAAGACCGAGGCCGTGCAAACCTACCAATCTCTACTCAAGCAGCGTCGTCGATGGTTCTTGGGTTTTATCACCAACGAGGTTTGCATGTTGACGGACATTCGTCTCTGGAAACGCTACCCTATCCTCCTTATTGTTCGATTCATGCAGAACACCATCCGAACAACTGCGCTGCTCTTCTTCATCTTGGTCCTCTCTCTCATCACGACTTCCCAGAGGATTGCCAACCTTCCGGTTGGTTTCATCGCCATCTCTCTCGGACTAAACTGGCTTCTCATGTTGTACTTTGGCGCTAAGCTCGGTCGCTACAAGATTATGTTGTACCCCATCATGTTCGTCATCAACCCCTTCTTCAACTGGGTATACATGGTTTACGGTATCTTCACCGCTGGTCAGCGTACATGGGGTGGTCCTCGTGCCGACGCCGGTACCGCTGATACCAAGACATCTCCCCAGCAGGCTATTGAGCAGGCTGAAGCTGCTGGTGACGACCTGAACGTTGTTCCCGAAACCTTCAAGGCTTCAGCGGCGGCTGCCAAGGGTCGTCCAGCTGCTGTGCCCCTTCAACCTGGAGACAACATCGATGGACGTTTCGCCGCTGCCGAGCAGATGTCGAACGGATGGTACCAACAAGGAAACGACTCTGGTTACACTCTGCCCAACACACTGCCCCGCAATCCCAACGTTCCTCACGTTCCCCTGCACCCGCGCTCATCTATGGACTCGTTCGTTTCAGGCACCTCCGCAAACAACTCCATCTACATGCCCCGTCGTGTCGAGAGTTTCATGGATCCTGAGGATGCGCGTATCTACCACAAGACCCAGCAAACACAAAAACCTGCCGGTGGAGCTTTCTTCGAGGAAGCACGCCAGGGACCATATGAAGTGGGAACGGCTTCGGGCAAATCCCCATACGAAGAGTCTGTAGCGTCCGTGTCTGAAGAGTCTGTATACTATTCGAAGCAACCTTCAAGACCTCAACAATCACGCATGAACAGCGATGGCGGTCATGTTGCCTCTGGTCCCCATGCCCCAAGCACAAACTCGCCTCTTTCCGCCGAGTACGGACAGAGCGGGCTTGAGGCACCAAGGGCTGCGTACAACCAAAACGACCAGGGCTCGAGCGGCCGCAGTGGACGTAGTCCCCTCGCACGCCAAAGCTACGTCCGCACCGCTCCGGGTGAAGACAACGGATACGAGCTGCAACAACCACAAGCAAGCAGTCTGATGCGCGATGTCTCCCCCGCACCAATGGGCCAGTCTCAGGGACAGCCAGGTCACTCGCGAGGCGACTCGGAGGAATCGAAGCAGCGGAAGAGACTTACCAAGGATCGCAAGTAAACGCTTCTTCGTTTGCGACTTTCACTTTCTTCAATCCCTCTTCCTAACTATGCACCCAAAACATCCATAATGGGTGAAAGGCGCCGGAGTCTGCTTTCTTCTCACTTTCGTTTGCATGGCTTCATGGGGGCGTTTCAGCAAGTCGCTGCCGTACTCATCACATCATGCGCTTTGTCTTTGTACATACTTGTAACATTTGGGGAGAGGTTGCTATGGTCGATTCATCGCATTACGGTACGGTACGACTTGATCATCAATGACGATTCTGTTTTTTTCTCTCTCTTTCTCTCATCGCCTTTGAAGAATGACATACGTATCCCATCGCTACGGGCCTTTTGGGTATTTTGTGTGAGGGAACCCCGGTTTGGGAAGAACCGCATGTCTGGAGTAATGTTTAGAAAAATCAATTGCTATGTTCAATCTGTGTTGCCACTTGTGTCTGTGATTCCGTGATGATCTACACGGTAGGAGGATAATAGAGTTGCGTCGGTGTTTGTAGTTGATTCCTATGTGCGTTACCGGGTCGCAAGTTTCTCGGCCGCGTGCCGACCACAACCGGGATCGTTCGGCGCAGAAAGAGAGTTTGTCACCGAATTTGAGTTCGGCGGACCGAGTCCAAGCTCTTCCCGCCTATTGAGTTCAACGCAGTATTAGACTTGAGCTAACAACAAGAGCTGTCTAGGTACTAATCTCCACCGTTCAAACCATGTACACACGCACGCACACGTACAGACATACGTAAACGCACACGTACACGCA